ATAATGGACCAACAATTCATATGAAAAACATCAGTAAGCATTTGACTCATGATAAATTGTATTTGCTGACAAGGTAATTGTATCGACCGTAGTACTTACAAAATAATGACTTTAAACGAGACTGCTGATTTTCTTGTTTTATCTACTTGCCTGTCAATAAATTACCTCGTTTTAGAAATTGTTCATACGTAGAGTATGCTCTTGTGTATCGAATCAACTGAGATATATAAACTCGGTATGCTGGTGATGAAGGTATATTGCTGATTAAGTAAGGGAGGTTGACGATAGAAAAAATAAAGACATCAGGTTTATCATAAAGCTTGGCTGTTAGATAACCAAAGACGTCTTTTTCAAGTAAAATGTTCAAGTATGAAACAGATGTTTCAGACTCTGTGGTATCTTTTATCTCAAACTCACTAGGATATATCGTATCGACGTAGGAATGGAAATGACCATTGTTAACCGACAATACGTCGTCGATATATCTAAAGTCGAGTCGAAGGCCACAGAAAGTGGGTTTTTTTTCTTTTCACGTATAAGATTTTGCTCAAATTCTGCTTCATATGAATATATAAATAGGTCCGCTAATAATGGAGCGCAATTGGTACCCATGGGAATTTCAATAGATGGTTGGAAGACCTGGTCTCCAAAAACCACATAGATATTGTCAATCAGAAACCCAAGCATCTTTTTTTATGTCAACTTCAGAGTACTTGTGTGTGCAATCAGAACGTGTTTTAACAAAATAAATTTGCAAATGACTAATAACCAAGTAAATAAATTTACGAGTTTCATTGTTATAGAAAAAGTACCTGTTAATGATATAAAAGAGCCTGGACTATAATTTATCGTGGGAAATGGTTGTGTATAAACTTGAAAAGTTGTAGGTTTTTAAGCTGTTGATTTTAGAAAAATCTTGTGATTTCAAATCGTCCAAAAGTTCTTTGGAATTTTTGATTATTCAATTCTGATTCACACCACTTCTTGAATACAACTGTATACTGTTGCACAGTACTTTTGAAGTTTTTCATTTGGTTTCTGCAAGCCAAAAATAAATCCATTTCAAATACATTGATTGTGATGCTACTATAAAGATATGCAATCAGATATAAGGGGTGTTAAGAAAGTTCGTTCCATGATGGAATATTTTTAAAAATTTTCAAAGTAGTGCTTAACAAAAAAGCAGAACATTTCTAACACTTTTAAAAAGAGTAAGTTTGTCACTTTTAATTTTATCGATAATTTTCGAATTGATAATTTTTGCATTGTATTTGGAAGGATGTTTTGGCCTGCATGCTTAGTATATGTCACAAATATGCGTCATCCCTAATTTCTCTGTACACACATAATCTTTTTAATACCTCCCCTCCCCTTATTGATTCAACAAGACAGGTAGAACCTTAGCAGTAGAAAGAATGGACCCTATTAATATAAAAATAAAATAAGATAAAAAAAATTAAAAATATCACAAATTGTAAATAACTACACATCGTATTTCTTTTTGAAAATAAAACAAACATGTGGAATTAACTTTCTTAACACTCTTTATGTTGGAAAGGATTAAAGTACATAAAAAAAGTCCCCTACTTACATTTGAAGAATGAAAAAATACATCAGGAGACACAGATATAAGGTTTTATAGTATAAAAAAGAAGGGGGTCATATTTCTATGGGGGTCATTTTTCAACGTGTGTCGAGTCGTAGAATTACTGGTCTGGAATGTTTTTCTACAGTCGAAAAATGACCCTACTTGTCGTAGAATATTGACCCGGGGTCATTTTTCTACGTAGAAAAATGACCCCCTGGTCAATATTCTACGGGGGTCACTTTTCGTCGTTACAGCGGCCGCCAGATAACATATTTTTCATACGTGGCACCAACGGGCTTCCGTAGAAACCTAATCTAGCTTTCAAAGGTAATTCGGGAACGACAAACCTAACTCTGTAAAAAAAAAAAAAATGCGCGCCGTAGTGACAGTGCACACACGACCCAAAATAACATTAGTTTCCGTATATTAATAACATACCTGTACCTGCAAAAGTGTCTCAATATGTAGCTTATAAAAAGGTTAAATAAGAAAAGGAACTTGAACTAAGTTTTGATATTTTAAGATTAAGTGTTTTGTTATTCTGCATTTCGATTATTTGTATTTTGCTTCATTTAAATAGAAAAATATATAGAAGTGTGTGTGTGGGGGGGGGGGGGAGGGGCGCAAATTTGAGTAGGATCTTGGGTTATTTTTGTTGGTATAATACATGTATGAATTATATCAGATATACCAATAAAAAATCATAAAGTCCTTTTACTCTAGTAGAAACAGTATACGTTGATCAGGCAAAGAAAGGCAATTTCAGTGCGGGGGAGGGGAGGGGCACAACCCAACGTAATTCCCCTGACAAGGAATTAAAAAAAGGTCACAGTTGTCTTTATTGAGGGAGCACTACTGGATATAGTACATATTGGAAATGGCCCACCACCACCACGCGGACGAATGTTTTTACATGTCTAACATTAGCCATTAAAACAATTTATACATGACACGTGTAGATATTCCCACTTATAAGTACTTTTCCTATAGGGTAAAAAGAAACACCGAAAGATATTAATAGATACATGTGTATTTACACTTGGCAAAGTATATTATTTTTTTATTATAACTTTCAGTCATATTTCAAGTATAAATACATATACTAGTACCAACAAATGTTACTCAGGACCATTCTCAAGTTTATTCTTTTGTCGTATGTGGACCCCCCCCCCCCTTTTTTTCCCCTCGTCCAAAAAAAAGCTACCAAATTATTTGTCTGCAACGAAATGCAGAAAATAAATGTTTTCCTTTCAAGAGGAAATACTCATTCCGATTTACTCCCTCCTTGCCTTAATCAGTTTAAAAATTCCCAAATCCTCCATTTGTTATTATTGTGAGAAAATTCACATAAATATCAATATGAATAAAAAAAATTTATTCAAATATGTGTGGCAGTTGACAGTAAGCAGTGAACAGTTGGCAGTCAGCAGTGAGCAGTTGGCAGTAAGCAGTTGGCTGTCGTATATGGAATTCCATACGTATTCATGGATATATCGATCATACAATAAACCAATAATACTTGATGTCTTCTTTTGACTTTTACCTTCAGTCAATAAATAACTAGGGTCTTCGTCATATTCACGCTGTAATGTATTCAGTTCCCTTAAAATAATTATTTTTAATTGACTAATTGAAGATGCTAAAGCAAGTTCATATTTAATTTCTTCAACTGCAGAATGCATGCACGCCATAGTGTTCGCAATTCTGACTCTATTCGTCGTTCTCTAAACTTTTTGCCAACAAAGGAATACTCTTACCAAAATACTCACCTTCTGGCAACATCTTCTGGCATTATTGCCGCAATATTGCAGCAACATTCTGGCAATACATTGCAGCAATATTGCGGCAATATCGTTTTTCGTATGTAAATTAGATTTGCGGCAATATTGCCAGAAAAGTGTTGCGGCAATATTGTAGCAACATTCTGGCAGCAATATTGCGGCAATATTGTTTTTCGTATGTAAATTAGATTTGCGGCAATATTGCCAGAAAGGTGTTGCGGCAATGTTGCTGCAAAGCAATTGCAGTACATGTATTATTTCAGGTTTTGCTGCAGCAATATTGAGGCAACACTGTAGTACTACCTATATAAATTGGTATTTAATAGAAAAAATTATCTATCAGTCATAAAACCATAAAACACTAGAGGTACTGTGAGCAATGAGCTCACTAAATGATACCCCCCGCCTCCCATATGAATAATAATGGCAGTGTCCATGTTTTGCTCTGAAAAATCCAAAATATATGTCAGATCAAAAAGTAAAATAGGAGGTGCACAATGGCAATATGCAATAATAAAGATTCTGTGAAAGTTTCATTAAATTTCCTTCAGTGGTATGGGAGGAGTTGCGGATAAGAGATGGGTACCTCAACGCGTAACAGACGGACGGACAGACGGCTAGACGTACAGATGGACGGAAATTCCGATTACTATATACCCTCCCGCTTTTCAAGCGGGGGGTATAAATATATAGCAACACATGAACATTATGGGAGGCGGGGGGTATCATTTAGTGAGCTCATTGCTCACAGTACCTCTAGTTTGGTTGGTGATATGGCTTTTATAATTCACATAAGACGTGAGCTTGTGTTTTCATAGTAACAATAATTTTGAATGGTTAGATAAAGAGCTTTAACAATACACGTGAATTTCTTGGGAAGAAACCTTCCTTTGGGTCCTGGGGTGGGGGTAGGGGGTAGTCTATGACTTCTATTGCCTCAAATCTTTCACTTTTCATACCCATTTCACACATATTCGTGTTTACCAGGGGGGTGGGGGTGGGGGGGTCAGCGTTTTCCAAGGGGGGTCCATGGTAACTTTTTTCATGCTTTAGTATATGTATACTTGTAAATTCCAAGGGGGGTCATGACCCCCCCCCCCCCCTCTAGATCCGTGCATGCTAGGATATTCCTGTTTCACTTAATGTTGGGCATAACTTTTGATCGTCTGTAGTTATGAGCTTTTATTCTTTTAATGTGTATTCCTTGTGATCAGAACTTCCCTTTAGAATATTCTTGAAATTGGCAGTTTAAGCAACTTTTAAGAAACTTAAACCTTGAATGAACGTTTTAAATTATTGAAGATAGGGTTTCAGATTACAGGTGCATTTCTCTTACATGGCCTTTCATACTGTATTTCTTTTGGCAGTCCTACTTTGAGCACTATTGATTTTCATCCTTTGACCTTGACCATGGAGTTTGACCTCCATTTGTTAAAACTTCCACCTTAGTCATAACTATGAACAGTGTGTGCTAGGTAATAAATATATTTTACAGATTAACTATGAATAATTTTATTCACAAATAAAAGTGAATGGGATTAGGCAGCTTGCAAAGCATATATTTTAGCTGAAAATCAATTTTGATAATAATTTACTCTCTATAAAGGCATGCTCCTTAAAAATGCAATAAATGATCAGCAAAAGCCCTTTATTTCTAAAAAAAATCTTTTTTTTCATGAATTAAATATACACCTCTATAATTATGTACAACATTAACCATTAATAATCGTACAAATTTTTACAATTTCAAAACTATTTGACTGGCTTGACAGACATCGGTCCGTATTTGATTTTATTGATGATACTGGAGTCTGTGTGATTACTTAGTCTCTGTCTCAGCCTCTCTATCAGAGACATGGGGCTTTGCTTACTACACTCCTCCCCTCTGTCACTCACAACATTCTCCTTCCCCCCACACGTAGGAGAACTCAGGCTGGAGACCCTCGTCTTCTCCTTCCTAGACCCAGTCTGTGGACTCTTGGAAGATTCCACGTTGATTGTCCGTAATGCCGATATCGTTTGTGTGGAACCTTTCTGTTTTTCATCATTAATCACTATGCTGTCACTATCACATATGGAGTCACTATCATTAAGAAATATCACAGATGTTTGGTCCTGAGTATTGTTATTGCACTTGATTTCAGAGGTTTCCGAATGTTTTCCATTTACCTGACTATTAACCCCAGAGGGAGTTTTCGAGACCTTTTCCTGAAAACTATTCATCATAGATGACAGCTCCCCTTCTGAGATGTTAAGTTTACTGAATGAATTCAGCAGTGAAGTCTGTACTTCAAAGTTACCAAAATTAATGGGGACATTTGTATTGTTGAAGGAGTGGTTCTCCCACAATGCTGACACACTAGGACTACCCTGCAGTCTTTGACAAGCGTCTACTGGGCTCTGCAAAGAGTCTAACTTGAGAAGGGGTGAGATCATCACATCCTCTGACAGGTGAGGACTTAGATTTGACAGATTGTGTGAAAACCTGGACACATAGTCCTCTGATCTGTCGGGGGTTGAAGCAGATATTCTTGATTTGATCCCAACCATGGGTTCACTTCTATCCTGCAAATCTGGTGTCACAACTGAAAAGTTCAGCTTAGGCATGTCCAGAAATTCTGTCCTGTCCAACTTCTGTAATTTAGAATTAACTAAATTTTGTTGCCACATTGGAGTTCCCAAAGAAGTATCGTGATTGTCACAATTTCCAGGAAGTGATGTTTCCACACGTGAAATTTCTTGATCTAAACCATTCACATTCACGGCACTATGACAATTTCCTATTATATCATCATCATCATGTCCCACATTTCCTGCTACATCCCCCTGACCATTTCTAGTTTCTGGATGGGAGGGAAATGTATACAGATCTTCAGCCTCACTGTCACTAGAGAAGCCCCTAAGAGTACTAGACACCCCCTGAGATATAGCCCTCACCATCACATCCTCTCCCCCTCCAGCCTTACCCTGGGGCTGACCCAGGGACCCACCAGATGGGCGGTCACTGAATCCACTCGATTTGGCTATTTTTAATTGGAGTCTCTGTGACAAGGGGAGATAATCCCCTTCCTCCTCCTCACTACTGCTAAAGTTTAGATTCCTCTCCATGACCACAGAATTAGATTTTATCGACCGCTTGACAACAGATCTCATTGCTAGCTCTAGTCTCTGCATTGGTGAAGCTTTAGTCTGTTGCTTTATATTTACAGGTTTATTGTGTAAACTTACTGCAGGGTTATCGACAGTCTCCCTATTTGACTGTGTACTTTGTATTGCACTATTTAATTCCTCATTGATCATTTCTTCATCCTCCTCATCTGTTTCCCCACCATCATTGTTATCCTCCATTTCATTTTTCTCCACCAAATTTTCACTCAATGCTACAGCTTCTGTCTCTTTCACCTCGTTTGCCATTTTCTTTCTTGATTTTCTTCCTGTGAATTATTCATTGAATTTATGAAGGGAATTTTTATCATGTATTGTAATTCACAAATATAAAGCCAAAACTGTTCATATCTGAAAAATTTTTGCTACAAAGTTAATTATAATATACAGTGTTAATTGTATAAGCAAATACATGCTTGAGTTTGTTTTTTTTACCATTTTTAACAAATAAAAGAATTCATAGTAGTTTGTTTGTCATGCTTTACCTTTGCCTTTGGTCTTTTTGGTGGCCTGTTCCATTTCAAAATCAGTAACAACCTGTGGATAACTTCTTCTGAACAGAGTCTGTTCCTCTATGGTTTTATATAGATCTTCACTGCAAACGCTGTCTCCAGCTGTAACAGTTTATAAAATAATGAAAAAAAAAGAAAAAAAATCAAAAATCTGCAGAAATAGTCATATTAACTCAAGGTACCTGGTTTATTCCATAAAACTTCATAGCAGTTTACTCCTTGTCTAATGCGGCACTTGACAATTCTGAAAGACACAATTTCGTGCAATAAACTTGATTATAGAAGAAATTTTTAAACCAAAATGTTTACATCACAAGTCATCCTGCTAATATGTAACTTTTCTTTAACAAAAACATATCAGTCATGGAAGTTTGATCTGCACAAAAATCTTTAACCTGTTCACTAGTCCAAAACATAGGTAATCAAAGATTATGAACCTCACCTCAACAAATGTTATCAGTGTAAGTAATGCAAATATCACGTCATATTTTCTTAATATTTAGTATTTATCCCAACAACAACATTCTTGCAAGTTGTGTTTAACCCCTTACATGGCATATACACATTTCTACTCATGTAGCATAAAAAAATGTATAGTGTAAACAAATATTCATAACTTTGTTAATACTGCAGATATCAAGGACTTCAAGTTCATTGGGATTGATCTAAAATTTAACCTTTTCTTGTATAAATAAAAACATCTGATAGTGTCCATCCCTAGATGCATCATCCATGCAAGTTTGGTTCAGGTAGGGCTTATAGTTACTTGGGAAAAAATGTAGATCTTCACATCCGAAAAGTCTGGTAGTGTCCATCCTTAATGCATCATCCATGCAAGTTTGGTTCAGGTAGAGCTTATAGTTACTTGGAAAAAATGTAGGTCAGATCCAGCATCTGAAGCAAGCAGCATCCCTAGATGCATCATCCATGCAAGTTTGGTACCTATAGTTCCTGTGGAATATAAAAAACTTTAACCTGGTCACTCTCTGGAAAATGTAGAGATCCAGAATCCGAAGCAAGTCTTGTAAAATGCATATCCATGCAAGTTTGGTTCGGGTAGGGCTTATAGTTCCTTAGGAATAGACTGCTCCTTTAACCTGGTCATTCATCTGCTAAGTAAGCATCTGAAGCAAGTTTGGTAGTGTACATCCCTACATGCATCATCCATGCAAGTTTGGTTCAGGTAGGGCTTATAGTTACTTGGGAATTGACTTGCTCCAAAACTTTAACCTGCTCCAAAAACTTTAACCTGGTCACTCATCTAGAAAATATAGGTCAGATCCAGCATCCGAAGCAAGTCTGGTAGTGTACATCCCTAGATACATCAACCATGTAAGTTTGGTTCAGGTACGGCTTATAGTTACTTGGGAATGGACCTGCTCCTAAAACTTTAACCTGGGACGCCGACGCTAACGCCGACGCCGGGGGTATAGCATAAGCTCATCTCGACTTCGTCGAGGTGAGCTAAAAATGTAGTCAGATTCAGCATCTGAAGCAAGCAGCATTAGCCTTGTAGTGTACATCAATATAAGCTCTGTTGAGGTGAGCTAAAAATATTTCTTTTCTTCTGTCACCATCATGCTTAGTAACTTACCTTTGGGGGACCAGATGCCTGCCTGTGGGTGAGTTGTTTTTACTGATGTCTGTCATGTCCCACAGTGTGATCAGAGGGAGGACCTTCTCCAGGGTGTACTCCAAAGGCCACTCCAGTTTGTTCACACAGAACACCTGGAACAGAGAAACAATTACACATTGTAACACACAACCTCATAGGTGCACAGCCCTTAACAATGCTGATTATAAACATGTCAGTAAGACTAGAGTGAAATCAAGATTTTACAGTTTACATTTCCTCTTCATAATTAGCACTGGCACTTGTTTCGGAAATAAATTTGAACCCATAGTATAATAATAACACAAGGTAAGTAACTCCGAATTACTTTTGGTACCCCTCTCCTCAGAAACGCACTCATTTACACTTTCAGAGGAAATGCACTGGCAAACTATTTATTACCATTTTCTTTTATGATAATTTATCTACACAACCATATATGACATGCATGTCTTTGTCTTCTTTTATCTCTGTTAACAGCATCAAAACTGCTCGCCGAGTGAGAAGTCAAACTCAACCATAAATGGTATGTAACCTTGTGCAAATAATATGATCCCGAATTTGATTGGCTAAAAATCTGTTTCTAAAATGACATCAGAAAAATGTTGTAGTGTTTTTATAGAAAAGAAGACTTAATCAAATTTTATTCATTCAATGCTAGGGATGTGCAATTTTATCGGTATACCGGTATATCACGATTTTTTGTTGCGTGATACGTATCGTGATACGGAGACCTAAATAACGGTCTTTAGGTACATATTATAAAGTCCAGAAATTATTCATTTATTTGTTCAATCTTTCAAATTACAATTACAGAATGTATAAAAAATGTTGTAAAAATTGAAAAAAACAGCATCTTACTGTCCAAACATAATTGATTTTATATACATAAAAATTTCAAGAAAGTAAAATTTTGTTTTTCTAGCATATTTTTTAGAAAAATAATGACTTTTCATATAAAATCATTGTAAAAACTGCTTTTAAAAATATCATGATATTATCATGATATTGTGGGAAAAAATCGTGATACGAAATTTTTGGCGATACCCAGCCCTATTCAATGCAATATTTAAAATCTGGAATTGAATTTTTAAACCCACTGATTTTTAAATTTTGCTCTTTGCCCGAGATTAGCACATACCGTTTTATGGTTGAGTTTGACTTTTCCACTCAGCGAGCAGAGTTTTGATGCTGTTTTCGGATATAAAAGAAAACAAAGTTTAAATGAGTGCATTTCTCAGTGATTGGGAAGGGTTTGCGCCATGCCCCATAGTCGCATTGAAGTGAAAATGGCGCATTAAATCAATTAATCATGGCACCAAGGTGCGCATTCAATTTTTGCGATGTTTTTTGGAAATATTTTGCGTACGACTTTCTTTCTTGTTTTACTTTCGTTTTAAATGCAGTCAATTTAAAACAACAAATCTCATTGGTTGAAACCTGTCAAAAAGTACTTCCGGTTAAACGAAGTGATACTTCATTCATTTGTGTGGTAGGGCTGTTCCCTTTCCAAAACTGTTGTAATTTTAACACAAAATACGGGTCAGTTATATTCTAAGCAAGTTCCTTTAAATTTGCTGCATTTCATGTGTTAAAAATCAGATTCAGTCAATCAAAAACGTGTTTTCTCTCGTATTTCATATTTGTTTGTCACTATGTTATTTCTTGAAATGGCCCTTCAGATTATACTGATGGCCCATTCATTTTCGAAATGGCCCAACCAAAATGTTGACAGTTGCGCCATAGTCCCATTGACCATTTTGGCCTTCCTAATCACTGATTTCTGAGGAGGGGGGAGCCGAGAATAATTTGGAGTTTAGATACCTTGTGTAATTATTATACTATGGGTTCAAATTTATTTCCGATACAAGTTCCTGTGATAATTAAATTGATTCATACATAGAAATGATCCGAACTACTTCAATCTTTACAAAACTGTTCCTGATTTAAATTTCGAGATTTTTAACAGTTTTTATTTCAAGAATAGAGCAGAGCAGTTTTCAAACCGAATTAAAAATCATCCTATGATTTTTTTGTCTTTTAAAGAAAGAATACTACCCTAAATTTTGAGTGGGTGCAAATTAACAGCAAGCTCATTAAAATGCTTATTACTGTAGATCACTATATTTTCGCGACATCTTATTTTCGCGACTTAGCAATTTGATGTTCATTAACGAGACAAAATTTTCGCGGGCTGTGGTCTCTTTTGTACATAAACATTAATAATACAAATATACGCGAGAATAAAATTTTCGCGAGCAGACAGACTCGCGTAATTATGCGAAAATAAAGTTCTCGCGAATAAAAAGTGATTTACAGTACATTAAATTTCTTGTGTTACCTGAAGATCAGCCATAGATGGCCTACTCCATCTTGAGACAGAGGTCGCACATTTTTTCATGTCTTGCAGAAATTCTTGCACAACCTAGATGAGGGAATACAGTGAATGATCAAGTTCAGTGACCACATGATGAAACATAAAACAAACATTTATTTCTATATTTGCCACTTCCAAAAACTTTCAAACTTTAATGAAAGCCATCTTATTTCCTTAATACAAGGGTGATTTCTTGATAAATGTATTATTTTTACACTATAGATGTAGATGGCTTTCAGCACTACCTCTTTCTGTGGGAAGTCTGGTACTTGTGCAGCTTTACGTTTGATGAATACCTCCACCTTGTCTACACACAATGTCTCTGACATAGACTTCCACATCTCAAACCTGAAAGGTACATTACAATCATACATGTATTGAGTGAACTATATTTGCTGAAAGACTTGTAAGAACTTCCTCTCTGCTTATTCACGTTTTTTAACCAGTGGAGACCAGGCTTGGGATGAAACCATAGAGACAGACATCCTGGGTTGCAGTGGGTGCTGACACAAAAAAGATCCCTCATTGCTTGAGGGCCTTATGTGACAAATACAGGTCAAAATTTGCAGCACATTGAGAAAAATTCTTAAAGGGACATTTTCTTAAAGGGACATTTGACAAACAAAAACAGTTTCATCTTGATATCTATACCTTTCCAGAACATTTGATGCTGGTAATGAGTTCATCAATTTAACAACCCTCTCCACTCCTACTCCAGGGACACCTTTGGGTAAATAGTCACAGCCCAGTAGCAATGCCATGGCAACCAACTTCTCTCTGGTCAGACCTAATCTGTCTTCCACTTCTGTCATACTGTAACACTCAACGTGAGGGTCCTGGTAAAACCAAAAAAGTACTCTAGTTAAACTGCAGATTAACAGGTGATTATATTGATGTAAAATTTCAAAAGTAAATATACACAAATAATTTTGCCATTTGAAGAAGTGAAATAAAAATTTAACAGTAGGAGAAGATGATCTTTTCTGGTGATATTTAAATAGTGTATATTTCCGCATTATCGTACAAATTTAAGGCATCACTCACTTTAGTGTTCATAGTAAAATTTCTGTAAACAGTCCTTGCTCCGTATAAGAATGCATCTCCGTCATTTGTTAAACAGCCATCCACAACCTTTACAAAATCAGAAAATTCCAACAATTATGTACATCCTAGAACAATATATGTTTGAGCAAAAAAGAAAAAAAAGAATAGCATGTTTTGTTAACTAACACTTAGAACAATTTGTATTACCCCTCTGGCATTCAGGGCTGCACAAGTAGCCTCAGCCTCTCCAGAACTCTGTACATAGGGAACTCCTAGATAGTCCAGCATTTCACAGCACTGAAATAATCCAATATATCACAGACAGGATCAATATAATACATCAGTAATAACAAGTGAAAGAATCATTTGTTTATTGTTCATCATGGTCTTTGATAAAACAATTATACTTGAGAATTTTATTTTTGCGAGCAGACTTGTGAATAAAAACTGATTTACAGTAGATTCTGGTCTTGATACTTTCTAAGTTTATTAAGCTCTACCTCTTTTAAGCAGGCATTAAAGTTCCTCCGGCCCCCCCTTCTGTGGCCCCCTACAGCCTTCCTGTTGGAGTAGCGAGTCTCCTGGCGTTTGGCCATCACCTGCTGTTTTAGCTCCGGGGCTTTCCCCTCTATCACAAACACCAGATGTATTCCAAGCTGCAGCAAGTGGGAAACCCGAAAGAAAAGATTCCTGTAATTTCAAAAAACAAAGTTTTAAGCTGATGAGTACATGTAAATCTGATTTTGAGAGATCTGTCAATTTCATGTTTACATTAAGATTGACACATATACCTTAAGAAGGGTTTAGAGACGACCCCCTGCATCTGTTTGACACATTGTGTCTCACACACCCAGATGCTGAGGTCCACAGCCAGGGTTTGGCCCTTCAGGGAGGACAGAGTTCGGTGCACTTGTACCGGCTCTAGCACTGACCACAGGTTGGTAACACCCATTTGGGTGACAAAGGATAATTACCCTGCAAATAAAAATTAACAAAGTTTCTAATGAGACTGAAGCTCTACTGGTGTGTACTTATACTGTACTTGTTTTAAAAAGTCTTCTTGAAATTGGATCAAATCTGTAAGAGTACAGTTTTCAAAGAATTTGAAAAAAATTTCTCTTGCAAGTAACCATGGTAACCAGAACAGCCTACTTGTTGAAATCAGAATCTGACAAACAGAATTATGCATTATAAAATATGATGTTCAATGTATCAAGTTTCATGGGAATAAGACAAAAACTGAAGAAGTAGCATTTTGAAAGTATTTCAAAGAAATTCATATTTTTTGGTAACACTGTCAAAATCAAATACCGTATAATCCCTGTTAACCCCCCCTGCCCCTATAAGCGCCCCCTTAGGTCTTTTTCAATTGTCAGGAAATAAGGGCCCCCTGTACAGTTATTAAAATCAACAAGAATCATATTGAAAAAGTGAAGAAAGTGAAAATGAAACGTGTCTATTATCCAATTTCTCAGTGGAAAATGAAACATTTAGCATAATTTGGGAGGATAACCTTCATTTTAAGTAAAGTTAAACATTAATTTAGTGGTTCCTTCTATTTCAGTGTTTTCCCTTTATTTCAAAGTAAAGGGTTAGAGATCAATTGTAACAGGCCAGGGGCTTAGGTTTATACACAGAAACTCTGTGGACATTGCAACAAGTTTTTATTTCAAAGCGGCATTTTTGTCAATTGAAGAGGTCAATTTGGCCGGTAGCCGGTTCTTAGGGAAAACACTGTGTATTTATTTTTTTTTTCAAAAGATTTCTTGAAGTTAAAATTTGTCCTTAAATATCATAAAGAGACTACCAAAATAACCGCCCCCTTTCTGCAATTTTCTAAGCGCCCGGGGCGGTTAATAGGGATTATATGTTACTGATAAAAAGAATTATGCCACTCAATAAAATGTTCGGAATAAAACCAAAATTGGATGAGGTGTACACTGAAATTTTACCTTTTGAATGTCTTCAGTATAAAGGTTAAAATAGGATTTTATTTTGTTCATCGAGAAATGAATCTAAAAAATGGATTGGACAGGTCCAGTCCAAAGACTATTTCTACCTACGTAGGTATTAATAGCTACCTAGGTATTTAAAGCTACCCAAAGTAGCTATTTTTACCTACTTTCTGCTTTACTTGCATTTTGTGGCCAAATGCAGGAACGGCGCAACATGGTGAGCACATAATTTCTTGATACAGTCACACTGATGATATATATTTGGCCAAAATATATAACTTCGTATATATAATTTTGCATAGAAACTAATGTAAAATTGCCGATTCACCAAGTTATCATTTTTTGGCCAAAATTTTGTCGTATTCATCATGTGTGACCGTATCAAAAAATATATATTCACCATGTTGCGCCGTTTGGTCTTTTGGTCGCAAAATGCAGAAATTATATAAAGTAGGTAAAAATAGCTATTTTGGGTAGGCATAAATACCTACGTAGCTATTAATAGCTACGTAGGTAGAAATAGACTTTGGACTGGACCTGTTGGACACTTTATGAAAGTCTAAAGCTCAGTCAATAGAGCACCAGACTAGATATCCAGGGACTAGGGGATCTTAATAGAATCTTGGTCAGGTCCATCGCATTTTTCTCTACTTTCTAATACGTCAGGTCAAGGTAATGGCCAGGTCAAGGTTAAAATTGATGTTATTAAGTAATTACAAGCAGAGATAGGAAGTTAAATTTATTGCTATATAAAAAAAAACTGATAGACAAATACAGAAATAGACGTAAAAGCATTATTTATCCATTGTCTGAATATGCACTTCGCAATGCATCAATGATCAACTGCATGTAACCGACAGTGACTGGATGAGTAATATAGTGACTAGAGAGACCTATAGGACGGGGCTAAGGTAAACTGCATGGTTTAATACATTTACTTACCAATCATTACATACAACTTCATCTTCATAAAGAATAACCGGCTGAAATTGATTAAAAGCTGTAAGTGAAATTGATCTTGTTCTATGTTTACATCCACCATGTATACCATGTGATTCTAACAAAATGGCGGGAAATTATTGATGATATTTAATTCAGTTTTTCTTATGAAAGCTACCCAGTATGATAGCTTTTTAAGCTATATAAAACAGATTTAAATAGATAGTGCAGGATCATATGTGAATACACAATATTTTATCACGTTTTATGGCAAAATCAACCATAAAAATCTCGACATTGAAATCCGTTTTTATCCGTATTTTTTTTTAGTTCCCATTTTATTATCATTTTTTTTTTATTTTTATTTTAATCGGACAAAAAAAAATAATACATACTTTTTCAAGCTCTTTTATGTATTCCATCCAACAACAATTAATCGATGTCTTTTTTTGTTTATTGTAGAGGTTTATTTATGTCACGTGATAAATTGCAGACGAAACCGCGAAGCTGCTTCCGCTCCTTCGCGCCAGATTTCAAACAACGGCGAATTTTTATGTTATTTATGATAGAAAAGGATAATGCCGCTGTTTGGTAAGAAGATATTTAGTACAGTAAAGCCTTTAACTGATAAAGAACCGAATGAGACGATCTACACGATACCACACACGAAGGAACAGTTCAGATCTAAAGAGTATCCTTTGAAAACAATCACCTGTGAAAAAAATTCAACATGGCCGCGCTCATGGCATCAACAGCGCAATATTTATCGCTATGAAATTAAATAAATAACTGAACTTTGTTCAGTGTTAAGTTAATTTTTTATATCCCTGTACACATTAAGCATTATAAAATAAGTACAAGTAAGAACAAGAGACAAATAAAGTTGGTTATCTATGGCCGGCAAGTCCCTTTCATTCCACAAAAAAAAGTCTGTTGTTCAAAAGAAAAGAACGACAGAATTGGATTTGCAAAGCATTGTTTTCACAAGTGATTATGATTGTCATTTGCAATAAATTTCTTTGTGCAAATAAGATTCTTATAGAAATATATGCAGACTTGTCTGGCAGTATGCATACAGGTTTATTTGTTTTGCTGTTGTAACCTTTTTTCTTTACAAAATAATTATATTCTTGCATAAGGAAATATATGAGTATTGTTAAAATGACACAGAATAAGGTATGATTAAGAATAATTTTTTTAACTTGAATTTTCTCTGTCTTTTCACAATCAATAACAAAATGAAAGTTCATAGGATTTTGTATATACAGAATTAAAAACTGATTGCTATAACAGCCTTAACAACATGAAGGGAATACACAAAAAGGCTGTCCTGGTATAAGGAGAAAATCTGGACATGCAAGTGTACAGGCCATGTGAACCTGACACATGAAGAAGCATGGAATTCTGAGAAGCAAGTTCTCAAAGTCCTAAAAAATCAGTTCCAGTCTGCTTATGAGAAACCAGTTCTACAACTTGTCCATCATAGTAAGAAAATCTGTAGCATTGTTTTTCAGTTATTGTTCATTTCAATCTCAATAAGTTGAATAAAGGCTATGATTATTGATATGAAAATTGGAGTAACCCCCCTTGTATGTTGGCTACTCCAAATTTTATGCTTGAGATGTAAAATGATTTATATAAATATGAATTATAATTGTACTTTTGCCCTTTGTAACAGGTACACTTCCCCTTGAAAGCATTGTTGATCAAGCTTGGCTCAAACTGCAGCAGGTACTCTGTATTGGAGAAAAAGTTGTTTTAAAGATAAAAGCTGCGGGGAAAACGTGAGTAGAATTAAAGTACATGATGACTACAAGATAAAGGGGAGCTTAAAATTGCACAAACTATTCATTGTAATGTTTTAAAAATTCTGTTTTGGATGTCACTTTCAAAATTATTTTTAACACCCTTATATAAGATTTAATAAAAAGATTCTTTGTACAACAGAATTCAAGGTGTGGTTGTGAAAGTGGATACTGCAGGATGCCAGGTAACTATCAAAAAAAAAATATAGCAATCATACATATATATATATATATATATATATATATATATATATATATATATAGCCCAATTGAATAATTTCATGACTCAGTCTTAAACCTTTTATTAATTCTTCTATGATTACAAGTACTTGTAAAAACATTGAATGATATAAAATTGAATGAGAATTTTTTTCAGGTAAACCCTACTAGCAACTGTAGCTCTCCCTCAAGTGACAAAGAAAACAAGGCTGAAGAGGGAAACTCACCAAAGAAATGGACCCCACCCAAGGTAAGGAAGCTCAGACATAAATAAGACTTTACATGTTACTGAGCATCAATAGTTTGATGAGAAGACACAACAAAAACATATTAATTGGATGAGAAGATGTTACACATGTAAAAGAGACTTGACATTTAAGTGTGAATTTGTCCTTTTTTAAGTATGAATTTAATTTACATTTAAGTGTGAATTTGTCCTGAAGTATGAATTAGATTGACTTAAATATTAAATGTTGCCTTTGTCAGTTACTGCCTTACAAGTACAGCTTCCGTCTGGAGGGAGAAGACAAGATTATTAATGCAGTCCCAGCTTCAGATCTTCAGTGAGTAAAACAAATATGTATTGTTTAAGTTATGCAAGTGATAGTAGGTAAAATGAATACTGTTTAACAGAAGGTAATTTCTTTTGCTATCATTGAATAGATTGGGTAAATGATAAGGTAGATATTTAATCTGATTTGTCTGCTTGCAGGAGAACAGATAAGCCCCCATCTAAGGAACTTATCCGACTGTTCATCCGAGCCAACTCCGTCAGATCAGGACAGAATCCCACCAGTCCCTGGGTCGTGGATGAAAATAAAGTCAAAGAGTTTAATTTACCTAACAAGTTTAATGACTTCTTCTTGTCACCAGTCAAGGTACATATAGATTATCAGATTATCAATGCAGTTATACAGAAAGGTGTGGAAGTATTTTTTTAATCACCACTTTTTTAAATCTAATAAATTTTTAATTCAATAAAAAAGTCTAAAGCACATGTTTAAAATATGAATTAAAACTAGATATATACATGAAACTGCGATCAATCGACAGGTGGCAGAGGTGGCCAAGAAAGCAGAGGAAGAAAGAGCAAAGAAGAGAAAATCTACAGGAAAGCACGATTCTTCATCTGCCAAAAAACTGAAGAAGATGAAGAGTGAAGAGAAGAGCAAGGATAACAAAAAACAAATGACTCTGTCACCACTGAAAAAGAAAGTGTCCAAGACGCAGACCAAGTCCTCGGACGATGACGTACAAATTATCGAGGATTCAGACTCTGAGAGTGATGAGGACAAACCGCTGGCCAAACTGAACAAGTCTAGTCCCTCCAAAAAGATCTCCGACAAAAAAGAGAAAAAACAGAAAGTTAAAAAGGTAACTATTCTCTCAGATAAACCATGTATGCTGAATTCTTACTTCAGATAGCATATACATGTATGATGTTAAAGGTGATTGTTTTGTATATGGTTTTTCTCTGTAGGAAAAGAAAGAGAAGAGTCCAAAGAAAGATGGAAAGAAGAAAAAGGAAAAACAACAGTCTGTAGACAGTGATGATGAGCCACTGGCAAAGTTGAAAAAATCCCCCTCTAAAAAGGTAATAAATTACAATACTGTTCTCTGTATTCATAGTGTCTACTTCTTTTGATTACATACTAAGTTTAAGATTCAGATATTTGATGTATAGCACTGATGGAAATCTTTGTGTTCTCTCGGTAGGGTATGAAGCAGATGACATTATTTGATTTGTCAAAGAAGAAAGGAATGAAAACACCAGAGAAAAAGAAAATGGGATCTTTAAGAACACCAGAAAAGGGCAACAAAACACCTGATAAACCAATTAAATCGCCTACAAGCAAAACCCCAGCCATTGTGTCTAAAATGGTCAGGGCTTTCAAACTGAAAGAGGAAGCAAAATTGAAGTCCTTGGCACTGAAAGCAGCTGATATATTGACTGTCACTCAGATGAAAAAACTACCATCGGACATTAAAGACCTTGTCAACAAACGATTCGAAAAGATTCAGGAAAAGAAGAAACTGTAATTTGTGTATTCTCTAGTAAATGATCATGGTAACACTTTAAAAATAACAAGAATTTGATTGCAAGATAGAATCAGACACATTAGTTGATTATTGTGTATCTTATATTTTCTTTTACCTAGTTAATTTTTATAGGATCTAGATGTATATGTTACAAACCTTCAGATAACTAAAAAAAACGGCTGTGAAATGTCAATTTTTTCCATACATTCTTGACATATTTTATATTTTAAAAGAAACTTTATTTGATAGTGCTACCATGACTGAGGAGCAAAAGGCAAATTACATGAAAGAGAAGAAAGAGAAACAAAAACAGGAAATGAGAGAAAAGCAGCTGAAACTCAGACAGGTACGTGCTGGTACATCTTGAGCATCAATATCACCTCAGGTGTGTGACAGGTGCATGTATAATGTTAATATAAGCTCAGACAAGAATTTACCTCTTCAGTTAGAGTAAAACTTACCTATCAGTCCTGAAACATTCAGTATCAAGAAGTACACGTTTTGTTCAAGTATTTTGAAATCACTTATTTTGGCACCATGTTAACCTTCCAAAATACGACCATACTCTGCACAAGTCCAGCAATTATTAACATAAATTCTGTGCAAGTTATATTTAAAATAATTGATGACTACTGTGTAAAGGTACATTCTAAATAGAATTGAAAGGGGGATACATCTATTTTTTTTTTCATGATACAAGTTGCAAAAAAGGAATGTTTATTTACATGTTAGAAATCGATCTTTGTGTTCCCATAGAAATTTGAGGATCAGGAGTTGTCTAACTTGAAGCCTCTCCCGGCTCCTAAATTAGTGACCACCCCCGAGGGACTTCCTAATGAGCTGTTTGGGGACATCACCATGGTAACAGAGTTCGTCAGCTGTTACTCAGGACTTCTGATGCCAAAAGATGATTATCCTATTTACACGGGTTAGTATGCATCATTATTTTACTCCCAAAAAATTGTCAAATTTTAAAATATTACAGTGAGCTGAAAATAGTTGTACACTTTAGAAAAAAATCTTGTAGAAGTTTATTAATTAGCTTATGAATAAAAATATGAGCTTTTCTGTGAAGATTTTTGAATAATAGTAAATATGGTCCGTAGAAAACGGTCACTGCAACAAGATCTTTGTCTTGAAACTCTTGATTAGATATCATATAGGCTGGTCACTGTTGCATTTCTTTAAATTCTTAAAATACATTTACTTGATGTTTTGATTCGTGAACTTTCGACATAAATGTTTTATAGATAAAGGTCTGTTACAATGTAACCTTTTGTTCCTTTGTCAGATGCCCTAATGAAGGCCCTGTGTAGTGGTAAGGAGGGCTTCCTGTACATCGGTCGTGTCCTGGTCGTTCTACTTCAGACTCTTCTGCAGGATCAGATTTCAGAGGTTTGTCTCTCTCTCTCTTATTTTATGAGAAACTTATAAAAGACAACTGTTATTGAAATCAATTTTTAATTAACCCAAATGTACATAATATATTGTTTACTATTTTGGCAGGATTACCAGGAGATGCGTGTGTCCCTGAGTGACATTCCGGTGAACCCCTACACGGCCTCGGAGTTGGTCCGGCTCTGTCTGAGGAGACAGGATGTGGAGGATCAGAGTACGAGTAACGTCAGCAACGACACCGATCTCGACGAGGAAGTGGTAAACATGGCTTATTAAATGTAGAATACATGTACTCTTAGAATAGCTGATAAATAATTAGAAATGCTTAAATTGTATCTTCACTCTTTTTCTCTGTTTTTGAGAAGTCTTTGTCACTAATTGATAGAATTCTTTATGCTACATTACAACATACATGATTAAAAAAACATGAAAATTGTGGTAAAAATACCAAGTCTAACATTTGACACTTAGAAATTTTTTTTTTTACAGTCGGATGATACTATTCAACAGTTGGAAACACAGGAATTCTTTATGTTGGATCCAGTACAGAAAATTCAGATCCTTAAGGGCCTTTGTCTGAGAATCATGGGAACTTACTCTGTCCAGGATTACATGGAAGAAAAACAGCAGGAGGCCACACAGCTCTGGTCAGTACTGTTTGGACTTTATCTAACTTGAGCCAGCTCTATTCGTGTCATATGGTACTGGTATTTAAATGTGGCTTCAACTTTATTTGCAATAGACAGTGCATGCATTTTGGACAGAAGACTCAGAATACTTGAAACTACAAATTTTCAAAGAATAAAACCAAAACTTGAAAAGTAGACAAATTTATATTAACTGGTTTTATTGAATGTGATTTTATGTTCAGGAAAACAAAATTAAAAGAGATGAAATCAAAGAATGACGAACTGAAAAAAGTGAAGAATAAGAAGGGATTGGTGAATGGGGAGGAAGCAACCAAAGCCAAAGAGGGGGAGGGAGAAAGTCAGGGGAAAGAGGAGGACGCAAATAGTAAGTCATCTACTGAAGCTGTTACATATATACATATATTAAATAATATTCACACCGAGAATAAGAAAGTATATATTGTTCAATTTAGTGTTGTAAATGAATTATTTTGCAGTGAATTTATGCATCCCAAAGGCTTAAAAAAATTTTCTCTTAATTAAACAAATCCAATCTAAAAAGTAATGCTTCAGCCAATCCTTGTTATCTCAAACTTATGTGGACCTTTTAAAAACCAGGTGTTCTAGGTTTGAGATAGCAAGAATTGAAAACCACCAAGAATGAGTGGTTTAGACCACAAATTCAGTTGAACATATCCATGGTATTGGAGATTAATTTTAGATATTATTGTAGTTAAATGTATTTGCTTTTTTCAGGAGATATTTTAATTACCCACTTTTATGGGAAACAAGGAGCAGAGAGTGATGGCTCTAAGCCAGGGACGCCCACGCCAATGGATTCCGGGGAGGAGAGGGATGACCTGGCATCAGTCGTCAAGAGACGGAGGATCACCACGGCCCAGGCATTAGCTGAGAAGAAAAAAAAGGATGAAGAGGAGAGGATAAGGTATCGGATTTGTGACTGATATTCCTTAATGAAAGTATACAGTAAAACTTGCTTACTAAGAACACGCATATTGCAAATTCATGGATACAGCAAAGTGATCTTGGATCCTCAGCTATATAAATTCAACAAATTTCTTCTACTGATATAACAAATTATGGAAATAGAAAAGTAATTTTGTAGGTTCCAGTGACTTCACTATAACTGATTTTTATTAGCTCTTCTGAGCCAAAGGCTCAAAGAGCTAATGCTATGGCTATTTGTGCGGTGTGCGTTAACTTTTTAGAATATGGGCCATAACTTAAGAACCCCTTGGCCAATCAGTGTCAAATTTGTCACAGGGTATCCTTGGCCCAAGGGCTACCCTTTATACTAAAATAAGGGTTGGGGCCCTTAAACAAGGGGAGATAATCAGGAAAACAAAACCAAAAGTACTGGTTGCTAAAAAATCTTCTTCTCTCTCCACTCTCTTATTTTCACCAAACTTACATACAAGGATCAATATGTTGAAGATTAAAAATTGTTCAAGGCATGACCCTGGGCAAAGGGCGTATTGTTTACTAGGTCACTTCAAAGTTGACCTAAATTTACAAATAATAAAAACGTTTATATTTTGCTTACTATTAGGACTAGGATCACCAAATCTTGTAAGTTGATGCATCTCAGGACTTCACATCATGTTAACTCAAAAGTAGGTCACGGTGACCTACTTTTAAAATTTTGTGGGCATTTGTTTTCAAATTGATTTGAAGGCATATTTCGGGCACTTTAAGGCCTATGATCATCAAACTTTGTCAGTTGATGCATCTTGGGTCCTTGAATAATGTCAGATTAAAAGTAGGTCACGGTGACCTACTTTTTGAACTTTATGACTAATTCTTCTTAAAACATTTAATCCAATTATTTCAGACACTGAGAGGTTTAGAATCATCAAATCTTGTTAATTGATGCATCTTGAGACCTTAAAACATATTTATGAAAAAGAGGTCACTGTGACCTACTTTTTGAATTTTGCAGGCATTTGTTTTCGAATCTGTTTAAAAGGCATATTTTGATTACCTTTAGACCTAGGATCATCAAACTTGGTCAGCAGATGCATCTTGTGACTTTGAAAAATGTCGACCAAAATATAGGTCATGATGACCTAGTTTCAACATTTTATGGCTATATTTTAGTATCTTAGGTATTTATTGCCTTAGAATCATCAAACTTTGTGAGTTGATGCGTCTTGGGTTTTCGGAGAGTGATGACCAAAAAGTAGGTCACGGTGACCTACTTTTGACATTTTATGGCTTTATGTAAGTATCTACGGTACTTATTGGCTTAGAATCATCAAAATTTTGTAAGTTGATGCATCTTGGGTTTTTGGAGAATGATGTCAAAAAAGTAGGTCACTGTGACCTACTTTCGACATTTTATGGCTTTATTTAAATATTTATGGTATTAAGTGGTTTAGAATCACTAAACTTTGTTTGTTGATGCATCTTTGGTTTTTAGAGAATGTCGATCAAAAAGTAGGTCATGGTGACCTACTTTTGAATATATAAGGTACTTTTTGGCTTAGAATCATCAAACTTTGTCAGTTGATGTATGTTGGGTTTTCAAAGAATGTAGACAAAAAAGTAGGTCACGGTGACCTACTTTTAAATATCTCAAATACTTATTGGCTTAGAATCTTCGATCTTTGTTTATTAATGCATCTTGAGTCCTCAGAAAACTTCAATCTTAATATAGGTCACTGTGATGTACTTATGGTTTTTTAGCTCACCTCAACGAAGTTGGGGGAGCTTATGTAATACCCTCGGCGTCGGCGTCGGTGTCGGCGCCCACGTCGGTGTCGGCGTCCCAGGTTAAGGTTAAGTTTTTTGGAGCAGTTTTCTTTTTAAGTACTTCTATGTCCTATATTGATTAGACATGCATGGAAGATGGTTCTAGTGTGTTTCATTGTATCAGTCAAAGTTTCAGATGCTGCAATTTCAGCAAAGGAATGACCAGGTTAATGTTTTTGGAGCAGGTTAACATTGTTGGTGCAGTTTTTGGTGTAGGTTTCATTTCCAAGTAACTATAATCCCTATGTTGACCAAACTTGCATGGATGATACATCTAAGGATGGATAATACTGGGCTTGCTTCGGATGCTGAATCTGACCTACATTTTCCGGTTTATTGAACAGGTTAAAGTTTTTGGTGTAGGTTTCATTTCCAAGTAAGTATAATCCCTATGTTGACCAAACTTGCATGGATGATACATCTAATGATGCATACTACCAGGCTTGCTTCGGATGCTGAATCTGACCTACATTTTCCGGTTGAGTGAACAGGTTAAAGTTATTGGTGCATGTTTCATTTCCAAGTAACTATAAGCCCTATGTTGACCAAACTTGCATGGATGATACATCTAAGGATGGATACTACCGGGCTTGCTTCGGATGCTGAATCTGACCTACATTTTCTGGTTGAGTGAACAGGTTAATGTTTTTGGTGCAGGTTTCATTTCTAAGTAACTATAAGCCCTATGTTGACCAAACTTGCATGGATGATACATCTAAGGATGCATACTACTGGGCTTGCTTCAAATGCTGAATCTGACCTACATTTTCCGGTTGAGTGAACAGATTAAAGTTTTTGGTGCAGGTTTCATTTCCAAGTAACTATAAGCTCTATGTTGACCAAACTTGCATGCATGATACATCTAAGGATGCATACTACCGGGCTTGCTTCGGATGCTGAATCTGACCTACATTTTCTGGTTGAGTGAACAGGTTAAAGTATTTGGTGCATGTTTCATTTCCAAGTAACTATAAGCCCTATGTTGACCAAACTTGTATGGATGATACATCTAAGGATGCATACTACTGGGCTTGCTTCAAATGCTGAATCTGACCTACATTTTCCGGTTGAGTGAACAGATTAAAGTTTTTGGTGCAGGTTTCATTTCCAAGTAACTATAAGCCCTATGTTGACCAAACTTGCATGGATGATACATCTAAGGATGCACACCCGGGCTTGCTTCGGATGCTGAATCTGACCTACATTTTCTGGTTGAGTGAACAGGTTAAAGTTTTCATCAAGAGATGAAAATTCTCAAATTTGCTTCAGATGCTGGATTTTGATTAAATTTTCATGAAGTTGAAGTCCAACTAGTTTTTTTTTTATGTAGGTATTTTCAAAGTATTATGATCAAAATTGCTTAAAGTATTTTCATTTTTGGAATGTACACTTTTTGTTGGTTAATTGTGTGAATTTGCCTTATTTAAAGACAACATTCGTTGAGGTGAGCTCTGTAATCTCTGATTACCTATGTTTATAGCTTTATTATTAAAAATATTTTCAGTCATTATTGGCTAAGAATCATCAAACTTTGTCAGTTGATGCAACTTGATATAACAAAGGTTATGGCTTCAAATAGAAAAGATAGATTTTGTACAATGTATCAGAAGAGCGATTCAAGGCCCTTGGGCCTCTTGTTGAATTATGGTTTTTATTTCATGTTTACTTCTTATCGAACTTGTGTGTTCTTATCCATTCACATAAAGGCTCTCATAAAAATACGATATTTTTGGACAAAAATCATATCCAGCCACAGACTGTAGGAGATCTTGTATATATAACGGTCCCAAGCTAACCAAACAGAAACTTTTTAAATTTTGACCATGTGCATGTATATATTTCTTCATGTTCATCATTTTATAATTTTATTGAATATGGTTGACATGTAAATATCTCCACAAGCATTGATTGATTTACAGGTTAGCTGTGTTAATAAAGCTATGTTATGCTTAAATGACTAGATTAAAGTGGAGTGTACAGTACATTAATATGTAATAAATTTATTTTATACTGTATTTCTTGTGTACCTAATATAGGCGGCAAAAAGAAGCTGAAATATACAAGAAAGAAGTAGAGATGGAGAAATTTGAGAAAAAATTTGCAGTAAGTTGAACATTGCAGAATCTACAGTGTACACCTCTGTTATTAACTTCTCTTTGTTAAAGTTATAATTTACACCTTCATTAATTGTACATTTTCATATACATTTCTAGTAAGAATTCAGACACATTGATTGTATTTAAAATTTGTTGTAAATAGCATTTTACATGTGTGTTTGTACATGTACTTTATTAATTTCAGGAAGGGATTGCTCTTGCTAAGGCTGTGCTAAGACAAACACCAATAGGAACTGACCGTAATCATAACAGATACTGGGTGTTTTCACAGACCACACCAGGACTTTATATTGAAAAAGGCAAGCTTTGAAATAACAATTAGCAGACATGTTTTTATTATGTTTCTACTATGTGATGTGCCATTTTTGCAGGAGTCAAAAGTTACCTCCCTTCCTTCTGTAAACTTCTAACCAAGAGCTAATTGTTTCTTGCATTTTACATAGGTTGGGTAGCAGATTACATTGACTATAATGTTCCCAAGTCTGAAGAGAGTGATGATTCTGACGATGATGTGGTCATGTCAGAGGATGGTCCTTTGTCAGAGTCACGGACACCTGCCGAGAAAACGTAAATGTTCTTGTTCTTTTCATCTGGTCAAAAATCTGATTCATTCATGTATTTTACAACTTTTTGTCTTTGATTTTTCACATATATTAAATTTTGAAATGGTCACAAGAAGAAAAACGGAGAAATAAGGTCCATGGGCCTTGCATTTTATAGAACAATCGGAGAAACATGGTTTGTTTGGTTTTAGGGCACACAAATCTTAGCCTATGTAAGTTTATGATTTGTACATGAGATGGAATTTCAATCTCCACTGTATATTGATTTCAGAGCCCCCAAAACTGGTCAGAATCTGTGGTTTACGTACGACTCAATTAAGGACCTCGATAGTCTGATAGACAGTCTCCACCCACAGGGGATCCGAGAAAATCATCTACGAGCGGAACTCAAAAAGAGATACGATATTGTACACAAAGCTGTGATACGGGCCAACAGGTACTGTACCAAATAACTGTAAGGGTTAGTTAATGGTTTCAACCTTGTTACTGCAGTATATTAATCATATTATGTTGAATGTACATATGTTCATGCAAGTGTATTTGTAAATTCAATTTTGTCTGGCTTATAAAATATCAATTGACTTACAAAAATAAAGTATTGCAATAAATTTGGAGATCTACTAAATGTGGTAACTTCTGTCCTTTTAGAACCAATTTGGAACTCAGGGATTGTGATGGAGAGAAGGGATTGATGGAAGCTTATAAAAAGGTGAGTAATATTTCAGATTCTTGATGCACATTTCAGATGTAATGACTGCCTGGTCCTTAGATAAGGACGATATTCTGCACTGTACAGGTGATAAAACTTGTATAACATGATGAATTTTTCCTTAAGTTATGACTGTTTTGTAGTTATAAGTTTATTCTGTAAATATAAATCATGGAACATTTCTTTTGAGAATAACCTTTTGTCTTCATTAGACTTCGGAGTACAATGAAAATGAGGCTCACTTTAAAAAGGTATGACATCACAAGCGTCATGCATCATCATTGTACTGCATATTAAATAACATGCAAACCTTCATTTTCATAGAATTTTTTAACAGCCCAGTAAGTTGTCACCTATATTTCTACTCTTAATTTGTTTAATTTTTTTTATTTTGATAAAATTGTTTCTGGTCTCTATGCACTAGACATGAATGAATCTAAGCATTTCATATGACACTTCATTTCTTCCTAAGCAACACCTTTAAAAATTAAAACAAACAGTGATTGCACTATTTTTATCTCTAAATTCTGAATAGACAGAGAGTATTTTTTTGTTGAAATTTTTATGTGAATGATTTGCATTGGAATACACTAGCATGAAAAAAATCAAGTCTTCTTTTCCTAAAGTATTGTTAGTAAATTTGCATGTTTTTGTAGCACAATGAACTTTTGAAACAAACTGTATACAAGGAAGGTGAGATGAACTACTGGAAATGCTGCTGTCACTAAAAGTTGGATTTGTAAATTTTCAGGAGTTATTGGACACTGAGCTGAAGTTACGGAATGGGGGACTAGGGGGGGTGGACGATTTTCCTGTGTGGGAGAAAAAACTAGAGACTTCAACAGACTTAACGGGCATGGTGAGTCTAAGTTCATGTAAAGGACTTTATGCAGCAATGGCCAATACTTGCACCCAATATCAAACTTTGACGGAGAAATATATAATTATGTTTTAAAACAAGGGGATATCTGCAGACCTCTAAGCACTGAATATTATCTTAAACCATGACGTCATATATTTGATATGACGTCACAAAAATGATGTTAGTTAAAAATTTTCATGATTTCTACAAAAAATGTTGAATATATGTCAATATTTTGAGCAAAAAAACACCGAGCTCAGGTCTGCTCAAGAACAATAGTTTGATATAATGTGTAGAATGATAACAACAATGAAATATGTAAATATTGTTCCTGAGCAGTCCTGTGCTCTATAAGTTTTATAGAAAAAAATTGAGCAAATTTGGTATATATTTTCCTATTTCTGAAAATCAATACAAAGTCCGAATAGTTTGTGACATCATAAAAACCAAAATTGTCAATAACTTACTTTAAAACTACAATATTTTTTGTTAATTTAGATTTCTCATACAATATATACAATTTAGCACATTTCAAGAAATTTTGAAAATACAGTGAAAACTGTCTAATTCGACACCTGAATAATCCGACACACTGTGAATTCCGACGTTAAATTTCTTTCCCATTGTAGTATTTTCCTTGTTTTTAACACTGTGCAGTCCGACACCCTGTCTATCGCGACAAAAATTTTGTCTCCCAGTGCATGTCGGATTAGACAAGTTGTATGACATTTTGGGGGGCAAAAATATGCAATAAAACGCATAAATTTCTTTATAAAAAGTTATTTTAGGTGTAGGAAAAAGTATATTATGACAAGTTCTTGTGACATGCATAATTACTTTCTTATCATTACATATATGCAATTTATGAAGAATTTTTCATTCGTTTAAAAAATGTTTTCTTTATGTAAATTGCTCTTGAAAAATAATGGAGTGCACAAACAGCGGGATTTCTCAAATTTTTTGATTTTTGTATTTTTTTAGGCGGAGTGCCTGTTGGAGGTACAGGAGAACGTGCTGGAGAAGTTCCGTCAGGGTATCATGGCTGTCAGTAAGAAGAAGATCCTGGTGAGATCGGGGGAGGACAGTGACGAAGAGGAGAAAGGTACACCTCTTGTACTGAAAGCCTTACACTGACACAGTCTTTTAATTCTCCATTAACATTTTCATACCCTTTTCATGATGGGAAGTACATGTATTATGATATGGCAAGCTTTTTTGTGTCTAGCTCATAACTTTAGGCCTCAAATCATCTTACTTTATCAACTGATAAACATGTATCTGTTTGTATCAACACATTCAAATCACTATGAATTAACAAACTTGGATGGATAATGCATCTAAAGCAGAAGTGTTACAGCATTAGGGTCACAAATTTTGAAGAAGTTTTTCCCATTATATCACAAATATGATATTTATATCCATATGCCATGAAAAACTGCTGAATCACGCCGGATATAGTTATATTTCACTGGAAACAGTTACAGTATATTGCCCTCCCAAACACAGTTATCTTCCCTCGTGTGCAATCATTCTGCATATTAAATACGTTGGGGTCGATATTCACAAAGGTAGTTGCTAATCAAACGTAGACAGTTTCGTGAAAATTAAAAAAGCGGGACAACGTCTGCGATTTGTTTATTTGAAATCAGAGGAATTAGATAATTTAATTGAGGGAAAAAAAATCTTTAAATACAACAAAGGTTAACAACACAAGTGTCAGCATACTGAAAACATTCTGCCATGAAACAGGATGGGATACAAATGTATTTCGGAATTATACTCAATGTACATGTGCACATAGTGTTCAAGAAATATGTTCGATGATCTATTTGGATTCAGTGTCTAAAAATGTTATATACCATATATTACATGGCTTAATTCTCGTACCAGAATAAAAATGGATTATGTCACCCTATTGGGCGACATAACACTATTTCCTGTCACCTTGGGGCAAATATTCTGGTATGCTGCCCTCGATGCCATGTAATATATGTATACTGTATTGAGTTTCTTTAAGTATTATTTAATTATACAGAGGAGGAGATTACAGTCTGTCTGGGTATATCTAAGTGGAGAGAGGCTGTTGAGAATGCCAGCACTCTGTCAAGACTCCACGTTCTGTTTGGTATACTGGATGCCTGTATCAAGTGGGAAAAATCAGCGGAAAATGCGGTAAAGTTTTACACTTTATATTATGTCAGATTGAATCACTGATTAAGATAAAGTATGAGATGAAAATAAAATCAGCTGAAAGTGCAGAATAGTTTTATACATTATGTCTTTTTTGAATTACTGATTATAACAAAATAGAAGATGAAAATATTTGAGACATTGATTTTTTTTTCTTTCCAGAAATGTAAGATCTGTCGTAAGAAGGGAGATGACTCAGCCCTGTTGCTGTGTGATGAATGTAATCAAGCTTTCCACATGCACTGTCTACGGCCAGCTCTCTTTGAGATTCCTAAAGGCGATTGGTTATGTCCTGCTTGTGATGTATGTTGACAACTCATCTTTAAATATTTTTAAAAGTCCAAGGAAAACTTTCTTTTGTTTAAAAACTTAACATTTCAATAACTATATAATTCTGTGTTATAACTTTTTTTCCAGCCAAATCACTCAAGGAGACGAGTGCGAGATTACCCTAAAAATTATCGTGTTTCAGACTCAAATGATGAAGCAAGTGTAAGTATGAATAGATAATTTAGAGGGCTTGAGGTTAATTATCAATCATAAAAGAATTTGAAGAATTATGCAAATCCCAATGCTGAAGCTCATTTCAATATTTTCACTTATCAGCTAAATCATTTGTAGTGTTTAAATATAGAATGATAAAAAAAACTGTACAAAATTACATGTATACAGTAGTATTGTATCGTTGATTTAGGATGATAGTGAAATAGAACATGAAGAGAAGTGTGTCCAATGTGGTCATGATGAGAATCTGATTCTTTGTGCCAAGTGTCCCTCTGCTTACCACCTGGAGTGCCACGACCCCCCTCTACGTCGACCCCCCAGGTAAAGGTCATAGGGTCAAAAGTAACAATGTCTTAGATGAATATTGGAGTAAAAGTTCCTTATAATTATGAATAAAGAAAATATACTAACCAAGCTATGTATGTGTTCTTCAATCTGTAGATACATGTTTGTAATAAATGGAACTTTATTTGTTGGCAGGGGTCACTGGGAGTGCAATGAGTGTAAGACTGGTGTGAAAAGGTCAACCAGGTCTAAAACAGCAAGGAGAAATGCTGTAAAGAATAAGAGAGGTACATACATGTATATCATTGTGAAAACAAAATTCAAGGCCAAAAAAAATTCTGTTTATAAAACCCTTCATTTTGAATTCAGTGAGAGTCCTATGACAAATTAAACTATTGAGATTAGTTACAGTGGACCTTCAGATATCCGGAGGATTTTTTTTCGGAACGAAATCTTTTAACTTCATTTTGTCTTGTTTAACTGGTAATTCAGATATTCGGACGCTTCACATATCCGGACAATTAATATGTTAAAATGGATGTAAACTTAACAAAAAATTCAATATTTAGCCCCTCCAAGGCGGCGTAATTATGAGGAGTCGGAGGGCAGCACAACGGAGGAGGAGGAAGAAAGTGAAGAAGAGGGAGAGGAGAGTTCTGATACAGAGGAAGAGGAAGAAGAACAAGCCCAGCCTCCGAGGAAGTCACAGCGCCGATCTCAGGACACAACGGCTCGGCGGGGCAGGCCGGCAGCTCAGGCCCGGGGCCGAGACAGGACCAGGAACCAGTCCATGGATGAGGAAGTGCCAGTGTCACGGTCTGGTTCATCCCGACGCGCACCCTCAGATCTATCTGTTAGTATTTACCTCTTCTTGTCTAAGGTGTTAAGTGTTGTGTTGTGTTAAGTGTTGTATTGATTTTTATTGCCCATGTTAATATAAGCCAAAGATGATTAGAAGAATTGCTTTTATGCTTTGTTAAGTAGAGTGATGATGAGAAGTTAAGGCTATAATGACTTGTACAAATGATTAGAAATCTGTTTGTTTGTTTTTTTTTTGCAATGTAGATATGTGAGCAGATTGTAGCAAACACCATGAAACAGAAAGCCTGCTGGCCATTCTTAAATCCTGTCAACAAAAAAGAGGTGAAGCATGTTATAATAATTTTTTTGTACCTTTTTTTTTATGAAAATTAATGCTACATGCTTTGGAGACTAAATGCTAATATGACTTTGGTGTTGAACAGGTGCCTGATTATTACCAGATCATCAAGCACCCGTTAGATTTCCAGATCATTAAGGATCGACTTCAGTGTCTGGTGTATGGATCTCCCCTAGAGGTGATGGAAGATGTGAAGCTGGTCTTCAATAACGCTGAGACATATAATAAAGTAAGATGGGTGCTCAGTACCCAGATAACAGATTTATTTAAGGAATGTTTTTAAGTTTTGTGTGAGGTATTGGTGTGTGAATCAAACAGACTTGTTACGTAGACATATTTTATGAAGTGCTAGTGCTTCATGAAAAATATGCCTATGTGCAAGTCTGTGTGATTCACACACCAATAATTCACAATAAACATCAAAACATTCTTTATACAGTGTATTTACATTTTACATGTTTGAAAGCACCAACAATATTCGAATTTCTCGCTGCCCTATATCGTTGCGTTTTTATATGCCCGTCTGAAGACGGGATGTATTATGTTATAGGCTTCATGTCCGTCCGTCTGTTAGCTTTTTCGTTTCCTGCTCATTCTTTAATACTATTAGGTCTAGGATTAGCAAACTTTGTCAGCTGATTTATCTAGGGTAGTTTTCTCAGCAAGTTCTCATGTGTTTGAAATCTTAGCACACACACTTTTTATTAAGGCATACCATGTGGTGGGATTCATTTTTGTTGGAGTCTGATGTTAACCTGTGTATACATGAGATCATTTATATTCAAATTAGATTGGGGGTACCGTATTGAAATTGCATATGCTAAATGTACATGTACATGCAATTCACTTTAAAAAATGTTGTTGTTTTTTTTTGACAGGAGGGCAGTGAAATTCTGGATTATATGAGGGAAGTGGAGACCTACTTTTCAGAACAAATGAAGAAACATCTCCCGACGTTTCCGTATTATCGCCAGAAGCTGACCAATGGCCATGCAGAATGACATTTCCAAGGATTTTTTAGAATACAAACATGTAGCATGTTAGTGAACGTTAAGATGGTTTACATGGCAAAGAAACAAGTGCTCTGTGTCCTTCCTTTATATGTGTTCTGTTTGTCAAACAGTATTTGTTTATCAGAAACAGACACAATGTACCAAGTAACTCCGGCTGTGCAATCATGTCAAGAATACAGCACCATACACAAATTCTTTAAACCAGTGGGAACATACTTCAAGGAAATCTTTTCCTTGGCCGAGTCTCAATATCAAAACTGATCAACCTCTCTACTTAGAAAATGGTTCATCTTTTTGTATACTTGTCGACTACATTAATTTGGACACCTTTATTTCTTATTTTTATATGTATATTAGTTTAATAAAAGAAGATTTCACATATTTTTATGATATTTTAAGTAATATTACATAATTTATTCATTTTACATATGTGCGTTTGTGGAAAAAAAAATCATGAATATGTACTTTGTACCTAAGACAGTGTAAGTCTTTCTTGTCATAGGGTATTCTCATCTTTTACTGTATAATTACACTGTAAAGTTGTTTTTTTTTAGTTTAAAAATGAAATCATGTTGTAAATGGTGTTAAAGATTTATTTATATCAAAACAAGTTTTCATCCAAAGCCCATTTCACATTAGTTTAAAAGGATTGAGTAGTGCAAGAAATGCATGTAAATTATGTCCATTTAAAATATGATTGCAAAATAGATTTTGAAGCTGTATTATGTTATAGGGGAAAAGTAAAGAGTAACTAGATATATTCAGATTTTTTTTAATTCAGATAATTCTTTTCCAAGAGTAACTCAAGGTGGTTTAGCTTTAATGCAGTAGGCATCAAGTAAAAAAATTCAGACTGCTAAAAAGAAAAAAAATTATTTGAAGGTTTACACATCATTATGTTCTCATTTTTACTCATCGTTGTATATGAACATGACAAAATCATGATGGGCATTGAAGCCTTATACCAAATCTGTAGTATCTGTTATTTTATGGTCGATGTCTGTTGAATCTGAAATAAAATGTCAGTAAATCTCAAAATTTTTCATTTACATATCCTCAACCCTTTTTAAGGAGGCTCATTACACCACTTTTTGATGACGTACTACACAAAAAAATAAGCATCCATTGTTTCGTTCGTTTTCCTCTGGGGGCGATTTGTCCAGGTACCTTTACAATATGACCCTGACCTTTAAAACGCTTGAAAAATTGTTGTAAACAGTGGACAAAGGACAAACTCACAAAGTATTTTATATACTTGCTTTATTGATTTGAATATGCATTTTGTCCGTCGTCCGTCCGTCTGTCTGTCTGTCCGTCTGTAAACTTTTCACATTTTCGACTTCTTCTCAAGAACCACTGGGCCAATTTTGACCAAACTTGGTACAAAGCATCATTGGGTGAAGGGGAATTTAAATTGTTAAAATAAAGGGCCAAGTCCCCTCACAAGGGGAGATAATCAAGGAAAGACAAAAATGGGGTGGGGTCATTAAAAAATCTTCTCAAGAACCACTGGGCCAGTAAAGCTGAAACTTATGTGGAAGCATCCTAGGGTAGTGTAGATTTTAAATTATTCAAATCATGACCCCCGGGGGAAGGGCGGGGCCACAATGGGGAATCAAAGTTTTACAAAGAAATATATAGGAAAAATCTTTGAAAATCTTCTTCTCAAGAACCACTGGGCCAGTAAAGCTGAAACATATGTGGAAGCATCCTGGTATAGTGTAGATTCTAAATTGTTCAAATCATGACCCCCGGGGGAAGGGCGGGGCCACAATGGGGAATCAAAGTTTTACATTGAAATATATAGGAAAAATTTTGAAAATCTTCTTCTCAAGAACCACTGGGCCAGTAAAGCTGAAACTTATGTGGAAGCATCCTGGTATAGTGTAGATTCTAAATTGTTCAAATCATGACCCCCTGGGGAAGGGTGGGGCCACAATGGGGTATCAAATTTTTGCATAGAAATATATAGGAAAAATCTTTGAAAATCTTCTTCTCAAGAAGCACTGGGCCAGAAAAGCTGAAACTTATGTGTACATGGATGGATCATGGGGTAGTGTAGATTTCAAAATGTCTAAATTATGATCAGTGGCCGGTAGGGTGGGGATGCATTGTGTATTAATTTACAAGGGGGAAATCTGGTAAAGAACAGAATGGCCAAAGCTTCTCAGGTGAGCGATATGGCCCATGGGCCTCTTGTTTCTAATAAAATAAATATTAGGTATTATGAGGTATTTTTATTGTGTTTACTTGTCTATAGGAGATGTTCATCATTTGACACAGAAAGTTCTGAAATTCTGGTAATTATAAACTTGAAATAAAACATTTCACTAAAATTAGAAAAAAGTTAAAAAATTCTCTAAAAAATATTTATGATATCAATACCTCCATTTGGATATTTGACATCTACATTATAAGTGATGCTGTAATGAAATCTAAAATAAACTGTGGATGTAATGAGCCACCTTAAGGCTCTCTGCCCTACATCTCCGACTTCCAAGGAGTATAGAATTTGTCTTTACAATATTACAAATTTTAACTAGAATATTTGCAGTTAATACGGGTATTTGTGTTTGTTTTGTATATTTCACTGACCTATGGAACTATTGTAAGTTTCCATGGTATCTTACTTTCCTGCATTAGAAGAAGTATATTGTATTTTTTTTTTTTTGTGGCTACCGAATGCTTCAAAGCACTGTCTAAGACATGATGACAGAGACTAAGTCAACAGCTTTATATAGGGGGTCATCATAAAGCGAGAGTCCAATCGAATATGGCGGACACATTGCTTTTACAAATGGCGTTCAGCTTGAAAGTACCTGGAAGTGATTATCAAGATTGACCCTTTCAAACCAGAGACATTTTTGGTCCCAGTGTCAAGTGATGGTAGGGGTTTATTATACCCCACACAACAAGTTGCGGGATGTATAATGTTTTTGACCAGTAAGTCACTCAGTGTGTCAAGTCATTCCTGTTCTTTTTTTTTTGTGAGCGCAACCCCTCATAAACCACTGAACAGAATTTCGTCAAACTTTGCAGATATTTAGAACACAATGTGTAGATGTGCGTATTACCAGGAAATTCCGATTCCTTTATTTTTTACGAAAATTTCGGCTCTTTTACACGTTGATTGTTGGCTACACCTTGCAACTGAATAAGATGTGAAGTTCGTCAGCGCAACTACTCATAAACCGCAGTACAGAATTTCGTCAAACTCGGCAGTTATTTAGGACACAATGTGTAGATGTGCATGTTACCAGGAAATTTCGATTCCTTTATTTTTTCCGGGAATTTCCGCACTTTTCAACTTAGATTTTTGGCCATACCTTGAATATAGAGATGAACAGTTTGTCAGCGCAACTCGTCTTAAACCGCTGCACAGAATTTCGTCAAACTTTGCAGATATTTAGGGCACAATGTGTAGATGTGCATATTCCCAGGAAATTGGGATTCATTTATTTTTCCCGGCAATTTCAGCACTTCGAGTTTTAAGGGAGAGTGGGATACGTGTGCTTGTTCACTTTTTCTTTTTTACATATAGTGTAAGATGAGCATATATTTTTTTTTTATTTCTGCTGGTACTGTGGAAAAATCAATAAACCAAGTGCATAGTTATGAGCTAGGGTGCCTTTTCGAAAATTGCGAATTTCACACACCTCCCTGATTAGGGATTGGGGTGGAGATCTATTGATTATACCTATTTTGTAAAATTGCATTAAACCTTTAAAAATCTTATCTGCTCCCGAGCATTTAGCAGATTTACTTTGTGCAAGAATTCTTCATCCAACATTGTGAAGTTTTTGGCCCTGGGGTTCAGGTGGGGGAGGGGTGAGGATCTTTTGAATACAGTATATTATGAAAATACTTCTTTTCTTTGAAAATCTTTGGCCCTGAGTATTTAGCAGAGAAACAAAAAGTTTGAGACTCATAGCCCCTGGCTCAGGGATTTTCAGGTAAGAACAGGATTCTTTGAAATATAGTAAAATGTATTATTTCTTGGAAATATTCTCTGTTCAAAGATCTTGGGCAATTTACGACGTTTTTGGTACCACCACCACCACCCCTTTTAAATCCGCTGCTGCCTTGTTTATAGAGATTTTATTGTAATGAAATTATTTAATCTTTTTTCAGAATTCTCTCGCATGAAAGTCCACTCGCTTTTCCAACAATATCTGAACCCTGTGCCATAGTTCAGGTGTCCCTAACATCTCGTCTTCCATTATTTCCGGTATGCGTTTTATAATGGATTCCATACCATGGACTGCAATTCTCTCATCGTCACAATAATACCCCTCACTTACAGGGAATCGTTCACAAACTTCAAAATAAAACAGCATAGAGTCCTGGCACAGCTGTTCGTAAAACCGGTACACATTATCCGCATTGTCACTTGCGCGCGCTACTGCAGTCTGGAAATTTTCCATACTACCATGGACCTGAATCGCCATGTCTTTTAGAGCTGAGTTGTCCGGGTTTGCCTCTAACAGACTAGCGAAATCTAGGACTTCCTGCTTCATTTCGTGATAGAGGCCTGCTGTGATGCAATGTCTTGCTAGCAAGCACGCGACCACGCTCCAAATACTCTCTCCGAGCGCCTCAAGGACCGTCTGCTGAGATAGAACCCCGAACAGCAGATCCGACAGGTCAGATAGCAGGTCAAAGGAAAAGGACGCGTTATCTTGAAAGAAGTTCTCCAGTTGGCTAACGTTAACGACTTCCATTTGAATAGCTGCTTTTTTCATCAGGCTTTCCTGAATATATTTGATGTCGAAAAGGACTGGCTTAGGATCCAAGATCCAGAGGCGACAATTTATTCCATCAATTGCAGCAGTGAAAAGATTTAGCAATTGATGAATTATGGTAAACGTTAAAAGTTTCAAAGATGGAGCTTGGCTCTCGCAGAAATTCTGAAGCTCTTTGTACAAACATTTCAAGGAACTTCCGTCCAGGGAGTCAAAATCGCCGAGCTCTGTGTTATAACAGTACCAGAAACACTTCTGTAGGAAGCAAAGCAGTCCTTGTTGAGTGAACACTTCCTTAAGTATCAATGACAGCTCTTCAATTAAATCTGGAGCCACATTTTCTATGATGTTCTTCTCTGGTATGAAGTAATCTGGCAAGGTTCCTCGATGTAAAAACTGGATTAAGTTTTCCAGAATCGCTCTAATGTCGTCTGTTAAATTTCCCCAGTCATTTTTCCTCTCGCGGAGCCAGTAGAAGGACGTCTTCAGCTCGTAAGACGACACAGGTTTACAGTTTTTGAGGCTTGGTTTATGCTGAAGGACTTCTTGGAGAGAAAGCTTAAGAATCATCTTAGACATGATGATGGCTTGTCTCTGTTCAAATGTCAAGGAATTAGCGAGAACTATTTCTGCTCCAGAAAACGAGAGCCGCCACTCCTTTTTCTTCAGATATTTTGAGCTTTCTTTGTGAGCTACGGGGACAATATGACAATCGGCACCAAAGCACCTCTCCAGCAAATCGGCAGAGGGCCAGTTCCCTGGTCTTGGGCGATTTGTCCAATCTTTTGCAACAGAGGGCCAGCTCTTCAGTTTTATTGCAGGAACGAAGTCATGATTGATGAAGTCTCGCATGTTCACATTCTCCATCTTCGTAATGGCAGGTCCTATATAAACAATAATAAAAATCATCAAAATTTCCATGAAATCGTTTTTGCGGAACGCGTATACCAAGCACGTGACATGTGCATGTACTTTATATAAAATGCGACTACATGTACAATATATTTTAACATGATCGATATCGTGACGGGAAGATTCTTTCGTTTTTCTTGCCTGATCTTTTCTCGCCCCGGCTAGGAAATTTAGTCCCTCTTCCTGTATATCGTGTATGAATTTCGATTTGATCGACAACCTCCTTCCAAAACTTTTTGAAGCCCTTCCCAGAAATGACTTTTCTTCCTTTTCCTTGACCCTTGTACACTCTTACATAACCAGGGTGTTCAGGAGAATATTCGTAAACGTAGTGGTTACCATGGTGACGACCCTTGCTCTCCCCGGCATATTTTTGGAGATCAACAATGAGGACGTCTACGTCGGAGTCGCACAGTCTACCCATGGAGTGGGAAGTCGAGGAGATAGGGTATCTCCAGTGAATAGCTGTCAGATTCTGCATCTGACTCCCTTTAATAAAAAAATTCAAGTATTGTTCTCTTGCTCTAAACACTAACAGAAACGGCTTTTTGGACTTGGTTAAACATAGGGTACCTGCCTTATTTCCGCAGGAAAATGTTCAAAGACAATGGACTAATTGTGAGCAAAATTCACTGCTGTTTACTTATATTGAGAAAATTAATGAAAATAATGAATTCAATAACTTATTCTTGATCTTATATAATGCTCAACGATTTTTAATCTATTACAAATCGTGTAATTAACTGTAAATAACTTTTTTTTTCAAATCTTCCTTGTAAGGGCAGATCACCCTAGCTGCAAAAAACTACCCTACAATTAGAACTCTTTAGTGTGCAAAGCTTAGAGCTTCCTTAATTGATAATGATAATCCAGTCAACCTATCTATACTTGTACGTAAGTCAATCCGATCATTCGGTCATCACCTGTATAGTAAAAACTAAGATGTGATTTGTTTATCTCCCGAAGTTTTTCCTCAAATTTTTTGTAAGCTTCGTTTCTTTTTTCTCGTTTGTTGAAGATGATATGCCTGGCGGTGTCTACATAATTCATTAAGACACTACATATCGCTGTCACTCCTGTATCGTACAGGTCGTCCTCGATACCAACTCGGGAGTAAATCTAAAATGACAAAAATGTGCAAAATAATCAACTCAGAAACACTTGGGAACCTCTATTATTATTTCAGTTTGACTGTCATAAAAAGTTTTTTTTTCTTTTTAGCATACCTGGGTTTCAATTCGACAAGTGGTTTCCACCATATTGTAAATCTTCGGCTATTTACAACTGACTGGATTGAGTTTCAAATCGAAAACGGAAGTATTTATACGACTTTTTAAGTTCAATATAAAGTTCAGTGAGTTAAAGTACAGAATTTGTAACGTACCTGTGTAAATAGTAATAATAAATTTCTCTACTTTTTTGTGTCGTTCATTTTTTCCCATTGATCTCTTTACTTTTTTATTACCGATATTACATTTTCTGTTATTTATTTCTCTGTATTTGAAGTAGGCTCAACATATACTAACTAGTCGACACATCCTCACTGTCACACTTAATCTCGAAAACTCTCTCTCTCTCGATCATCCAAAATTGTCTAAAATAATTAACAGGCACGTAGCATCAGGAAGAAAGGATTTTTGCCAGACATAACCTTTGACTTTTAACGCTCGGTTGTAACCCCCCCCCCCCCCCCCGCACTTTTTTGAAGTAAAGTTAAGAAGTCAAATCAGGGTATAAATTTAGTAAGTTTGAGTAAAAAAATTTGTAACTTTTATATTTCTTTTCACAGATATTTTTACTGTTACAAGACTTTAGCATTGGTTCTACCAATTTTGACCTTTTAACCTCGACCTTGTAGTTTGATCTGCTTCTGAAAAATTAAAACATGGCCACACATTTTGTTCAGTTGGTGCTAGGGCCGGGTTTTCACATGTATATTCCTTGTGACCAAACCTTCCCTTGGACATCATTAATTTTGAGCTTGATCTTTGAAATTAACCTAACTTTTGAACATTTAAGTTTGGTCATAACTTTTGAGCTGTTGGTGATATGACTTTCTTATTTAACATGTGTTGAGAAACTACTACAGCACATGTATAACCTTTGCAATGAGCTGTCATATGAGATTTCAGTGTTTCACCAACACATCTTGTTCAATTTATAAAAAGAGGAACAATTCACCTTTACTGTAACTGTATAAGACAAGTGTGTCCAACCTGTTAACTTAGTGAAATGTTTTGAGATTTTCTAAGTGAACATTACACATGCAGAATGGGTGATCTAATTATATGTCTTTTAGCAAGGCAGGACTATGATATGCTAGCGGGAAACTAATCATTAGCACAAAAATTCATTGGACTGGATTTGAATCTACTTGATCATATTTCCTACAACAAATCTCTCCTTCTGCCAGACTTCATATTTATATATACAGGTCCTTATAGGTTCCTTCTACATGAGGGTGTGTATGTATATTGATCAATTAACACTAAAGCAATTGACAGCTCTCATCTATTAATGACCAGACCATATCCAAGGAAGGCCATAGAAATAGTGTGATGCATCAATTATAGTTTTAATTCATTAAACAAATTTTAAAAGAATGTTTGCTCTGACTCAGGGTGAAAAAAAACGGGTTGGTAGGTACCGGTAGTTGGATAATTTTTTCCCTAGAAAATTTCAACATACTTCATAAGAAAATAATACATTTATAGGAAAAAAGGATTTTAAAAAAATTGTTTATAGCAAGTTTAAATAGTTTTAAGTTGAGCCATTTTAGGCAGTGGGTCAGGAGAGAGCAAACAAATTTTTGAAGATGACCTTATCCTAATCTTTTCAACATGCATGTATCTGAAAACTTGCTAAAATTTTAGTAAAATTTTATTCACATGTATATAAAATATTATAAATTGCATATATAAAAGATGACTTGATATGATCAAGGACATATAAACACACATCTTGACAAAGTAATTCATCAAAATACTAAATACAATCATTAAAAAATATCTGTACAATGTACATGACTAAAATGTTCTGGAATGCATAATTACACCAATGGTAGTACAAAACAGAATATATATTAAAAAGAACATTTCATTGCCTCTGTTATGATGGGATTAAATGTATGCACTAAACTACTGACTTATGTGAAGAAATAGATGAAAAATCACAACCAGTACAATGAAGTTTGTAAAAATGAAAACCTGGTCAACCCATGACAGTGACAAATATTTTAAGGATTTATGTACAGAATGGCACACTCTATCCAGTTTTAAGATTATACAAAATAGTTATGCTTGTGTTACGTGAGTAGCACTTGTTCAGACTGGGCCAGCCAAGTATGAGCCCATATCTTCAAATGGAAAAGATGATAAAAAGTTTTCAAAACTTCTTGGGAGTCAAATTCAAATGCAAACCAAAAAAAAATTTCCAGAAATATTGTTGCTGCATTATATCCACTCAATTATGCTATGAATATAACATTCTGTGATATGTAGAAAAATCCGTCTCTAATTAACAGTCTGTATAGAAATTAACAAATTAAAGTTAGGACGGTTATCTCCTAAGAAACCATGATGCTGTAAGACATGTAATTAGAATCACAAAGATGTTTGGAAGCAATGACCATCCACTGTTACAGTTGTCTGTACTACACAGACACTGAATATAGAAGCTGCCGTCACCCTCCACTGCTGTACAACCATCGCTGGCTCCCGGCTTAATCAGACAAAACCGGGAGGTCACAACAATCTCTGGTAAAGTAAAATAAATCAAGATATCACTACAAACTCAATGTAAAATCTATTACAACAGAGAGTTTCACAAGAATATTAAAATGTTTGACCACCAAATCAGTAAGCCATTCAATGGCTGCTTCATTCATTCATTAACTGTGTAATGTATATCAAAGTCTTTCAAACAATCTCACTTTTTAGAATACATGTTTCAAAAATTCATTTTTTTTTTAAACAAATAAAAGAACCAACAATGACCTGAGAGAGCCTTATTTACACTTTAATGGAAGATTTGACCTGAATCTGATTCTACATTTCAGTTCTGCGTGTAGAGTCCCTACACTCCATCTTAACCAGTGTTCTTACCTCTGGCTCTTCCTGTGATGAACCCAGAGTCCAGGAGATGCATGATGGTTTTGTATTTGACACAGTGTGTGGCTTTTTCGCCACATTCTGCTTCCCCAACCACCTCCTTCCGACTGTCTGTGAAGGGATCTAGGCACACTGTGTCGTCTTTTGATTGGCATTCATAGCAGTTTAAACTTAACCCTAAATAATGAAAAGTTGAATTAATAGATATTTATCCAACTGTTACTAAAAACGTACTATACCTTTTTTCATACATGTCCACCTTTCGCTGTCATTACCAATTTTAAAAAGCAGAGTTCCTAGTTATAGCAATTTAGCATGAAAAGTGGCGCTTGCTTGTATTGTAATTGGCCATATCTACATTTTAAAGCCAAACAACATCAAAATATAGCACAGCTAGGGCCTCTGGACCCCCAAGTCCCCCTCAGGATCTAATCATTTTTTATTCTAAATGTTGGCAGCTCTGTACATTACCACAATGGTATTTTTTCAATAAGTGGAATTTTGATGTCATCCTTGTCAAATATTCAATTCATAATAATACTGCGTTTTGCTTTCAGGTCTATGTTACTTCCGGTATTTTAACATACAACTTTAAACTTTCTAATGGTCATTTTCTTACCAAATAAATGTAAAATAAAGATCATTTCTCAAAACTTCATGTATTCAAGCAAAGAACCTTCATATAAGTCCAGTAAATACAAAATAAAATGTCAAAATATAAATGATTGTAGTACAGGTATGTTGATGTAAATAATGAGTGAGTCATTCCGTCAGGTAGATACAGTTTACATCGTTAAAACATGCGATGATATGGATTAAAGGAGATAATCTATACATACCATACGATATCAGACAGGATAAACTTAATAAATATAGCCACATCTCTCTGGAATGTGGCATTTTCCTACTTTTATAGGATTTTGAAAGCTGTTTGTCGCACCTGTTCACAGCGCCACCTTCATTAAAAACCTACTTACTAAAACGAGAACGATGGAATGATTTTTTCCGGAAAGAGGTGAAGAAAAAGGCACCTGTCATTTCTAGTTGTTTTATTTGTTTGGGAATATTACTGAATTACAAATAATTTCTGAAATATAAGATTTATATTTTACAATTAATTTTACAAAAATGCTCAAGATTAAATAGCAGAGAAAACATCTGACATGTCATTTTTATGCAGATCTACATCGCATAGATTTTATATGTACAAGTATATACTATATGCAGAGTGAGAGTACATACCCAACCAACGCATTCTTGCAATAAGAAAACGTCACGGTAAAATAGGCATTCACATGTCAAGAATATTTCTGAGAAAAATAATGTTTTTGCTATATGGAGTTTTTACTTGTCAATCTTTTCGGGTATTCCTTGTCCCCCCCCCCCCCCCCCTTTTTTTTTTAAACGACGCTAGTATGTTACGTTTGTTTGTTTGTTTTTTAGATGGGTATATAGGATATATCCTTCACATCGCCATCTGTCAGTTGACTAAGTACTCAATGTGTGTATAAATGTATAATGACGTATATATCGAGCTACTTATTCATTTTCACGCGCAACTTTGAATTTAAGCTATCAATGAATCAAGGAAGCACTCCACATCACACTGTTACATAATACATGTATATGCATATAGAAAAATATTCCATCATTTGGTATTGTTCAATCATCGCTCACTGTATCACTGATATGCACACACAAAACCCTTTAGTTACGATAATTTTCAGCTGCCATATATTTTTGCATACAAGGGTGTAAATATAATTAAGGCACATTTTCCCAGAATAACGAAGTTCTCCAATGAAATCAAGATCCTCTTATCCAGTTAAAAACAAAGAATGTGAATAACACTTGGAGCCCCACGGTGACGAGTGTTCGGTTGGAATTCTTGTTGGCAGAGTTACACCAATGGCTATAGCAATAACAGCGCCTGATATAACCTTGATCCGCCGACTTGGTATAACACCCCTCCTCCAGTTTATAGTTCATGTACTGAATACAATATTTAGAGATGACCGTCACATCTACAAAGAAGAGAGAAACCCCATTAAAATAGTAGTCGATCTTCCATACATCATAGTCATTCCATATTTTTGTCCCCCGCTTTCGCGAAAGCGGAGGGACATAAAAACTCATTTGTCTGTCAGTCTGTCAGTCAGTCTGTCTGTCCGTCACAAAAACTTTAACCTTGCTCATAACTTTTGAATTAGTGGAGCTATGACTTTCATATTTCACATGTGTATTTCTGGTGACAACCAAATTTGACCTTTTGACCTTGGAGTTTGACCCACTTTTATACAAAAATTCCAAACTTTTACTTTGGCCGTAACTTGTGAACGGTAGATACTAGGGCTTTCATATTTCACATAATTATGTATTCTTTGTGGCAAGACCTCTCACTGGATACCAACAACTTTGACCTTTTGACCTTGACCTCGGAGATTTCCGTACTTATGAAAAAACTTTAACCTTGGCCATAACTTTTGAATAGTAAGGGCTAGGGCTTTCATACTTCACGTATGTAATCATTGTGAGGAGACCTTTCATTGGATACCAAGAACTTTGACCCTTTGACCTTGACCTTTGAGTTTGACCTACTTCTTAAAAACTTTAACCTTGGCTATAACCTTTGAACGGTTCGGGCAAGGGCTTTCATACTTCACGTATGTAATACATGTGGCAAGACTTTTCTTCAGAAAATACCAAAATCATCTATTTTGTCATACGGGGTCATCGGGGTTGAGAAGAGAAAGGGCTTTCATATCTGACATGTGCATTACCTTTGACAAGATTTGACACAATATGTCATAAAAAAATGACATCCCGCCCACAAAGATACCGAAAGCAGGGGTTCACAATTCTTTGAATTTGTCTGTTTTTTTTACTACTGTATATATTTAGGATGAGCACGTGTTATAATGTGCTGTTTATATGTAAATCACAGGCCTTTGGACCGCTTTAATCCGACTTTTAAAAAATCAGGTTGTACATTTTTTAACACCTCAGTTTTTTTGTGAGCGATCTAAAGGCCTATAATCTATTGAAATAAGGAAAACCATTATTTTTAATCTGGATGTAAGTGAGCACCACGTCTTTTTGATTATTTGTTTACACAGAAAAATCAAAATGGTGTGGAAAATGACTTTTCTATTCATGAAAAACAGAGCCTATATTATAAAACAAATTTGCTTGATATGGCGCTTCTATACATGATGAGTACCGGTATAACGAACAATGTAATAAGTATATATACAGAGGTAAAGATGGGAAATACGAAGAATGAATCACAATTTTTTTTTCATTAAAGCTAAATGCAAAAAAAATTGAAATTACAAAGCCCAGATAAGTTTTGGACACTCAAAAATAGTTTGAATGCTTTTTATTTTTTCCAACTTTTAATATATTAATTTACTTTTTAATTCTTTGTATAGGCGACAGATCAAAACAAAATGAAAATCATCTTCTATGTTGGTGTTACATAATTCACGCACTATTCGTTCCTTTTACAAAATTTCTATGACGCCAAGTTTCATTAGCAAGGTTATGAGAAGACATTCTTATTCTAATTATTCGATTTTTATAAAGAGGAGGTATTGACTTTCTTAAATAATATTACAACACTAAATAATCTACATAATCTGTAAAAATACATTTTGTTGAACAATTAATCAATCAGTCATGAGGATTTGTATGAAGTTATCTGTTATTTTTTGTTTGATCTTGGGAAATTGTTCATATTAGTCATTCGTTTGTCCTGTTCAAACCATGCAGATAAATCCAAGTCATTTTCAAAAAAGTGTACTTTGATGTTTACAACCCAGTTGTCAGAGTGTTTGAATGTTCACATTCATTGAAAAGAAGATTTATAAAACATTTTCAGAATGTAAGCATGCGCATATTGAACACCAGTGTGTCACGGGTTGTCTTAATCGAATACACTCAATATAACATTTTGTAAAAGCTTGGGTCGAACACTCTTTTTTAACCTTATTCCTGACTGGCGTATTCTTTAAATCAAGTCAATCCACTTGCGCAGTTGATCTGGGTATAAATACACAGGTTTGATTAGAAAAACTTGTCCCACCAGCCAATATTAAGGTCACAACACCTCGTGATCGTCCTGTCCATATAGGTATCATATAGGTATATGTTTTTGTAATACTTTTCTTTTTCAAAACTTATAATGTTATCATTTATTTTCTATCTACTTGACGTTATATTTTGTCTAATGGGTAAAATAGTATGTATATTTTTTCTAGACACAAATGCCTAAAGTTGCTGTTTGCTTGCTGTCTCAAATGAAGAAGTAAACGAGAACCAGACTGTGTTGTTCTTCTGCTCGATTACATTATGTTTAATGAAAACGTACTTTTTATATTTAGAATTCCACATATGTATTTGGTACTGTAATAGTAACATAATTTAAATTATATCTCTCTCTCTCTCTCTCTCTCTCTCTCTCTCTCTCTCTCTCTCTCTCACGCCAACTTCTTAAAGAAAGTAAATGATTGCTTGATTCATTCATTAGTTCTATCATTCGTTTGTTCGTGCATTCATTCAATCATTATTGCTTTTAATTTTTTTTATTTATTATTTACACTAGTTCTCTTGTTTCTTTATCTATTTATTTATCATTTATTCATTTTTAAAACTATTTTATTTTTTCTGCATCCTCCTGTTTACATGTTGCTGTTTTAATTTTTTTTTTAATTCTTTAGCTGTCAACCATCATTTGGCAATGAAAAAAATCATACATTTTAGTTTAAAAATTTCCTCATTTTCGTATATCTTTAAATGAAGCTCTTCTTCAAAAGTAGGTACAGAACTGTAGCTCTCTGCTTGAGAAAATTCGGTCAGATAAAGCAGAGATCTACAGATCCAAGCGTTGTAAAAACCTTCGATTTACGCCGACGGTTTTTTGTCGCTACTTTAGGTATTTATTTCGTGTAGTTTAAGCTTTCTCTGGCTTTTAGAATGGTATCCTATAATAATTCATATGTTTATCTCTTATATTTGATACTTTGTTTACCTTTTATCGGTCCGAAATAGTCCTGTATATAGTTTTGAATGTCGATTTACTAGAGTCCATTTGTATTAGCGTTAAGGAGTAAGTAAATTATCAGGAATTGAAGTTGAATGTATGATTTATTTTTATAAATCATTTAAAAGTAATTTCAAAGCTGGGGAAAGTTTAAAATACAAGAAAAAATACCCGTATAGTGAGCGACAAAAAATCGTCGGCGTAAGTCGAAGGTTTTTACAACGCTTGGATCTGTAGCTCTCTGCTTTATCTGTCCGAATTTTCTCAAGCAGAGAGCTACAGTTCTGCAGCTACTTCAAAAGAGATCACTATAGTCTAAAAATGGCCACAACCACCCAGTCGATACCCTCTTAAAAATATTAAAAATTAAAGGACTGTTCGATTTACCTTTATCTTATTTACAAGTTCGTTTATATAAAACACAGTCCTTGAAATTCAAACGCCCTTCCCTCTTAGATAAGCTAAGTGTTAATCTATGAGATGACAGGGCCGAATAACAGTAGTCCGCTGATAAATAAAAATATGTGGCCCTAAAGGAGTCAAGGTTAAAAATACAGATATGCCCGATTTTCCTCTGTTTTATCACATACGAAGAGATACCAAGTCTATAATTATATTCTTCTAAATAGATATCAGCCTATTTATGGCGTAACCTAATGTCCCAAACTTGTACATTCTACCGCGTACGGAAGAACTTAATACTGTATGTTGGGAACTTGTTTTGGTTCACTATGTAATTGTCTCATACACGATACTAAGATGAGTTATAAATTGAAACGAAGTTGTAAAGAATTTTTTTTTTTTTAAATAATGAAGTACAAAAAATTACATTTTTTGTGTTATTTACCATAAACTAACTATAAAAAAAAAACGAATATTAATCAAGCAATTTCAATTCTTTTTCATATATTTTTTAATTGATACATAAAATGATAACTTTGATTAATGATGTACTTGGCAGTAGATGAGAGTTTTTTTTTTAATTGACCAGTTTTGATATGGTTTGTCCAAGCATTAGTAATGAAAACACCACAAGATATACAAGTTAACCCAATCAATAACAGTTGAGAAATATTGATAAAAAAATCCTTCAAATATTTTTAAAAATAAATTCTTTCCTGTGATATCTTTAGTATTACATGAATTAGATTAAATCTGTAACTAGGGACTGAGAAAATGTGGACTGGGTATTGCATTTAGAAATCATATGATCGTTATTGCAAATATTTGTTTGCATGAATTATACTTCATCCAACTGACGCAAAACAAACACGGAGTACTTGATGCAGTTCTGACACACGAAATTCGCCTAATAAATCCCTCACACAACCACTTTAATGTCCGTAAAACTTGGTTTTTACAAAACGTTCGAGATAAGGGTTTAAAATTTTTACCTGCTGCGTTTTCTTTTCAAATAATCAATTTTTTGCGCCTGTAGAAAGCTCCAAATTTCAGGCACGTAGCATCCGGGGGGGGGGGGGGGGATAAAAAAATCCTTCAAATAAATTTTTCCCCAACATTACCTTTACTATAGAAAATGTCTATTGAAAAGATAGTTGGCCCCCCCACTTTTGACAACAGTATATACACAGCAAGGAAATGTAGGAAAAAATTGGAAGTGAAAGGAAGTTTGCCTTTAAAAAAGTCCCCCCCCCCCCCCCCCCCCCCCCCCCACTTTTTTTTTTAACTTTTTGTCTCTTTAATTCTCAAATTTTTTTTTTTTTTTTTTTTTTTTTTTTTTTGCTTGTCAACTTTCTTTAGGTAAGTAAAAGAAAATTTTCTCAGGTTGGCCCCCCCCACTTTCAAAAACGATGCTACGTGCCTGAATTTAGCCAGTAAAGGATGATAATTTATCATTTCCTCCTTTACCTTTTTAAGTAATTTAATTCTTAGAAAAGCATATTTTTACATTTATAAAATTAAATACAAGCAGGGATGATAAAAGTATCTACATATACTTACACTTGTACCGGAGCCATTGATCGTGCATATATACCCGGGTCTTAGTTTTCATACAACCTGTACAGTTATACATTTTTCTCTCAGCATTAGCACAAAATTCCCGGGCCCCTTGATTGAACACATTACATTGGTAACAATTAACGGTACCACCTATTGTACATTCTGAAAAATAAAAAAATTAAATAAATATATGAGTTTAAAAATGTAAAAAGTCAAAATAACACGCTTTGGATAAACATTCACTAAATGAAAGAAAAAAGAAAAATTAATTTGGAAAAAGGGTGAGTAATTTAAAAAGAGGAGTGGGGTGAGGCTCGAACTTTCCAAAAACGGCTAGGAAAAGCATATTTAGATAAGTAAAATAACTTACCGGCTAAAGTAAATAGTGTACTTCCTATAAAAAGTAAAATTAAGGCGAATGGAACCGAATTCATTTCCTTTAAATGTTTTTAAAATTTGTTTTCCATGTCTCTGAAATAACAATAACACGCACCATCCGATATAACCGTTTTACTGCGCATCTCCAGGCGCAGGGCTTGTGCCTGAGGTCACCTCTGTAAGTATGGTGCATAAAAATGACATTGATTATCAATTTCATTTTTGAATACTTTGGTATAGTTAGAGAGTATAGTTTGATTTATTTAAATCTCTAAAATAAATTACATGTAGGTGGGGCACCTGTTCCCGAAGCAAGATTTATTTTCATATATGCATATAAGTGATTGCTATTTTTTGATAAGTTCTAAGAATTAGTACACTCTTTAGCTTTTTTTTCAAATACTAGTATTACTAAGCAAAAATTATATAGCAGCAATATACCGGTATAACCTTAGAGAGAAGAGTGATTATTTGAAATGGATATTTTCGATATTTTGATTACCTTTTTTTTGTTTGTTTGTTGTTTTTGGTTTTTTTTTTTTTGTTTGTTTGTGTTTTTTTTGTTTGTTTTTTTAATATAGGAAAGAAAATTTTAATTTGTATAAATTTTCTTCCCAAACCTCCTTATGCAAGGCTCATTTTGTGCAAGCAGTTTTTTTCCTAGAGAAAATTGTTTAATGTACATTTATAATGTGTTCTAAAAATCCATGTTTGCATTTATTTTGTCTCACAAAATTAAATCCAGATGACGTTTCAACTGGTCAAGTACATGACGTAATTTGATCAACAGGTATATCATTCCCTTCGAAAAAAAACACTGTAAAGACATGGGCATTTAAAGAAAATGTAATGAACCGAAAATCCATTGTTTTGTAAATGGATATGAAAATGTTTTCACTCTTGAGACACGTGATTTTTAATACATATATTTTCTCTCGTGCTTTAAAAATATACTTCAAAAACCCCGTCCTATTCTTAGTTAATATGGAGAAAGGATCGTTTGTACCCGAACGTTGTCCGCTACTATAATGATCAATACCGTGACTAATCAATGAAAATTCGGTTATCTCGTGGATTATTTCCTTCTCGCTATAATTAAACAAAGACAAACCCAGGCTATTCCTTAAAGCGGAAACTGAAAAATGTACGGATTAATTATGTTGTCCTTAAGTATAAGAAATAAAAATCCATCAAGAAGATACAGTTGTCCAACATGAAACCATAGATGATGCAATATATTTTCTGTTTAAGTGCAGTGTTTATTTGTCTTTCTTTCGGTTTTTATCATCATTTATCGGCTTATCTGGTTGCGTCATTATTATTTACCAAAAATGCCTATGTTGCCAGGAAAAGTTGTACATATAGATTTGACCTTGTTGACGCTCAATGCATTGTTTGTGAAGTCGCAAAAGGTTCACCATGCAAATCATTGAAGTAATACTAGTATTGAAAAAAAATACACCTATATATACATACATTTGTATATGAATATGATTATATACGTCGATTTTTTTAATTCAATATATATTTTAGTTATTAGGATTTTATATTTATCAAGCATCTTTTTTTGAATGAATTTTTAGGTAAAAATGACATTTTATTCACTTTTTGTCAGTATATAGACACCAAAATTCCTGTTTAATCTTTAAACTCCAAAACGATTTCTTTGTGCATGATGTGGTTCTGACGGAAATTTATCAGTGTGTGTGTGTGTAGGGGGGGGGGGGGTTGGTGTCAATGAAACTTATTTCCAGTAATCAAAAAATAAATAAACAAATGATTATATTTCTAGAATATATCTATGCTAAAGAATTTTATCTCTCTCTCTCTCTCTCTCTCTCTCTCTGCTCTCTCTCTCTCTCTTTCAGACATTACAAAATTGTAGGAAATATATATACAAAATAATAAATTAAATGTTTAAATAAATTGAATAATTCATTGATTTTCCATCATTACAATATTTTCTTACACGCAAGCTGCAGATCTGTAGCTGAAAAAAAAAATGGGACAACCACTCACATCAGTTGTAATTTTACGAATACAAAAGAAGTCAATATTCATCATAAAACATCAAACATGCAACACATTCTCTTATTATAAATAAATTCTAGAACTCCAAAAGAAATGCCCACATTAAGATTTTCTGAATTATTTATATTTGCTAATTCACACATGCACACAAGACAGTGGACACGACTTTTATTACTCCGAGATCGGGATACATTTGGTAATCAATATTATCTCAACAACAAACCCGATTTTTCCTTGAAAAAAGAAAATGATTTCTTTGCACCGTCAAATCCTTTTCAAAATAAACAAACCTGTTTCGGTAAGATATTTATTTGTATGATTTTAAAAGAACTTGTTAAGCCTTTAGCGTTGAAATAATTTGCAAATCATGTGCGCAGCAATGATAAAATATTTGGGAATTTGTTTTTCCCCCCGAATTTCCTCGGTCTTGTCTGTCATTCTAGTGAAAATCCTATAATTTCAGACAAGTCTGATTCAACGTTTGTCTGGTCAGAGTGGCAGTACGGATGGGCAGTCCACACCCGCACCACCCCCGCCATCCCCACCCCCCTCTGCAGGTCAGAATTCATTGCCAACAGATGTTTTATTTTGTAATTATTTTGTTCTTAATCTTATGTTATTATGCATATATTATACATATTATAGGTTGAAACATATAAATGAATTAATTAATACAATCTACAATCCTATTACCAATTTATCGATAGTTAAGCTTGTGTAGTGCCGTAGGAAAAGTAAGATGTTGTGAACCAGCATTCATGCAGCTGTCATAAGCTTGTGAGGGTGGGGGGGGGATGCGATTTCTTCGAGAAAATTCAGCTTATGTTTACGTTTTTTAACCTGAAAGACGTTAATTAAGTTTTTTTGAAACAGGAAATATTATATATATAGGTCAGATGTGGACAAGTTTACCATGTTGATTCGCTACAGGTACTGTATATTGAAGCTGAACTTACATTAAGGCACCCTCCATATTGCTTTCTTAATAAAAAGTTATAAGGGGAAAAAATTTTTAAAAAGAAGGTCAAACTTCAAGGTCAAGGTCGTGAGATCAATAAAAAATCATAGTGTATTTAAAAGGTCTTGTATTAGGCATTACACAGATACAATATGAAGGCCCTTTCTCTTCTCATTCGAAAGTCACGACCAAGATTAAATTTGTTGAAAAGAAGGTCAAACTTCAAGGTCATGAAGTCAAAAATCAAAGTGTATTTAGTAAGTTCTTGTCACAGGTAATATACATATTTAATCTGAAAGCCCTATCTCTTCTCATTCAAAAGTTATGGCCAATTCAAACTTATAAAAGTAATGTTTAAATTTTTTAAAGGTAGGTCGAACTTGAAGGTCAAGGGGTAGAAAAATATAAAGTATTTAGGAAGGTCTTGTCAAAGGCAATACGTATGTGTAATATAAAAGCCCCGTCTCTTCTTATTCCAAAGTTAGGGCCAAATCAAAGTAATGTTTAATTTTTTTTTAGAAATAGGTCGAACTTGAAGGTCAAGGGGTAAAAAAAAAATAGAGTGTATTTAGGAAGGTCTTGTCACAGGCAATACACCTGTAATATAAAAGCCATATCTCTTCACATTCAAAAGTTATGGTCAATGTTAAAGTTTTTGTTACAGATGCATAGACTCAATGACAGACCTGCAGACTGACTGACGAATGAGATTTTATGTCCCCCCCCCTACTTTAGCTAAAGCTGAGGACAAAAATCAACTTAAAATCACCTAATTTATCTTGTTGATTTAACAGAATCCAAGGCTGATTCAGACAACACCACATATAAAGTAAAGGAATACTATGGATATAATGCCTATTCATTCTACGACATTGACAAGGATATGTCGAAATTCAGGAACCCGCAACCATCAAAATACACTTCAACGGAACCTGCTAAACAATAGACTAGCGAGTTTATTACGGTTGAAAATTGGTATTTAGTTATAATTGTTTGTTAATATTAAAATTGAAAAATAAAATACAACAAACTCAGTCTCTTGTTTGCTAATTCTTTTCCTGTTTGCTTGATTAAATGGGCAATTATCGCATTCTTTTTTTAAGCAAAAAAAATTATGTAGTTGGTAATAGACCTTTTAAAGGATAACATGTTTTTAGGTCACCTGAGTTACTCATGTGACCTATTGCTATCCGTTTTCGTCCGTCGTCCTGTGTCGTGCGTTGTGCGTCGTGTGTTAACATTTGAACATTTTCAGCTTCTTCTCTGAAACCACTGAACCAATTTCAACCAAATTTGGTATACAGCATCTATGGGTGAAGGGGAACAAAAATTGTGAATTTTATGTTCCCCGCCCCCCTGGGGCCTGAGGGGTGGGGCCAAAACCACTAAAATTATTGCAATCTTTAAAAATCTTTTTCTTTACTCCTGGACATCAAGCAGGCAAACTGTTGGCATGAATGTAATGAGCATTGAGTCCTCTACCAAAATTGTGAAATTCATGGCCCCAGGGTCAGGGGTTCTAGTGCTAGGGCGGGGCTATATAGATTATATACCGGGTAGTGAAAATGCTTGATTTCTTTAAAAATCTTCTCTGCTCCTGGGTATTAAGTAAACTAACTAAGTACATAGTTATGATAAGCAAGAGTGCCTCTTCCAAAATTTTGAATTTTATGGCCCCAGGGTCAGGGGTTCTGGTGTTAGGGCAGGGCTCTATTGGTTATATAGTGAAAATGCATTTATTCTTTGAAAATCTTCTTCTCTGCTCCTGGGCATTAAATAAACTAACCAAGCACATAGGTATGATGAGCAAGAGTGCCTCTTCCAAAATTGTGAATTTTGTGGCCCCAGGGTCAGGGGTTCTTTATATTTGAGGGATTTATTATATAAGTCATTTCAGTTCAAAATCAGGCAAAAATTATATATCAATCCATGCATCAAATTATTTTTGTTTTTGTTAAGTACCCTTAAAACATTGTATCAGCAATAATCCTTTGGCAACACAATGCCGTTGGACCACCGTTGACTCAGGACCCACGACGTTGCGAGGAAGAAAAACATTCTATTAGATATCGTTTTGATCTTATATATTCAAAACAGCACTTCCTCTAAATCAGATGTCTCTGACGAGACCGTAGCTCTCCTGGTTTGTACCTATAAAGGAAGAGATAAGTGGCGCCTAGAATTGGAAATATGCAACAGTGATACTGTATAGGATAACAAGACTTGGGTTTAGGTTTTTTTTAGCTCACCTGAGCCGAAGGCTCAAGTGAGCTTTTCTGATCACATTTTGTCCGGCGTCCATCTGTCTGTCCGTCTGTCTAGCTGTCTGTCTGTCCGTAAACTTTTCACATTTTCGACTTCTTCTCAAGAACCGCTGGACCAATTTCAACCAAACTTGCCACAAAGCATCCTTGGGTGAAGGGGATTTAAGTTTGTTCAAATGAAGGGCCACGCCCTCATTCAAGGGGAGATAATTGGGAATTAATGAAAATTTGGTGGCATGTTTTAAAAATCTTCTTCTAAAGAACCACTGTGGCAGGAAAGCTGAAACTTATGTGGAAGCATCCTGGGGTAGTGTAGATTTAATTTTGTTCAAATCATGACCCCCGGGGGTAGGGCGGGGCCAAAATGGCCGACCGAAGTTTTACATAGAAAAAAATAGGAAAATTCTTTAAAAATCTTCTTCTCAAGAATGACAAAGCCATAATTCATCATATTTATTTGGAAGCATTCCATGGTAGTGTAGATTCAAGTTTGTTGAAATCATGACCCCCGGGGGTAGGGCGGGGCCAAAATGACTGACCAAAGTTTTACATAGAAATGTATAGGAAAATGCTCTTAAAATCTTCTTCTCAAGAATGACAAAGCTGTAATTCATCATATTTACCGGTATATGGAAGCATCCTCAAGTAGTGTAGATTCAGGTTTGTTTAAATCATGACCCCCGGGGATAGGGCGGGGCCAAAATGGCCGACCAAAATTTTACAAGGAAATATATAAGAAAATTCTTTAAAAATCTTCTTCTCAAGAATAGTAAAGCCATAATTCATCATATTTATATGGAAGCATTTTCAGGTAGTGTAGATTCAAATTTGTTCAAATCATGACCCCCGGGGGTAGGGCGGGGCCAAAATGGCCGACCAAAGTTTTACATAGAAAAAATAGGAAAATTCTTTAAAAATCTTCTCCTCAAGAATGACAAAGCCATAATTCATCATATTTATATGGAAGCATCCTCAAGTAGTGTAGATTCAAATTTGTTCAAATCATGACCCCCGGGGATAGGGCGGGGCCAAAATGGCCGACCAAAGTTTTACATGGAAATATATAAGAAAATTCTTTAAAAATCTTCTTCTCAAGAATAGTAAAGCCATAATTCATCATATTAATATGGAAGCATCCTCAGGTAGTGAAGATTCAAGTTTGTTGAAATCATGATCCCCAGGGGTAGGTTGGGGCCAAAATGGCCGACCAAAGTTTTACATAAAAAAAATAGGAAAATTCTTTAAAAATCTTCTCCTCAAGAATGACAAAGCCATAATTCATCATATTTATATGGAAGCATCCTCAAGTAGTGTATGGATTCAAGTTTGTTCAAATCATGACCCCCGGGGGTAGGGCGGGGCCAAAATGGCCGACCAAAGTTTTACATAGAAATATATATAGGAAAATGTTCTAAAAATCTTCTTAAGAATAGCAAAGCCATAATTCATCATATTTATATGGAAGCATCCTCATGTAGTGTAGATTCAAGTTTGTTCAAATCATGACCCCTGGGGATAGGGCGGGGCCAAAATGGCCAACCAAATTTTTAGATAGAAATATATAGGAAAATTCTTTAAAAATCTTCTTCTCAAGATTAGCAGAGCCATAATTCATCATATTTATATGGAAGCATCCTCAAGTAGTGTAGATTCAAGTTTGTTCAAATCATGACTCCCGGGGGTAGGGCGGGGCCAAAATGGCCGACCAAAGTTTTACATAGAAATATATAAGAAAACTTTTTAAAAATCTTCTTCTCAAGAATTGCAAAGCCATAATTGATCATATTCATATGAAAGCATCCTCAGGTTGTGTTTATTCAAGTTTGTTCAAATCATGACCCCTGGGGGTAGGGCGGGGCCAAAATGGCCGACCAAAGTTTTACATAGAAATATATAGGAAAATCATCTTCTCAAGAATAGCAAATCCATGATTGGTCATGGGACTACTTTTGGATTTAAACTTTTCAATAATAAACCAATTTCTACTTTTTCCTAGCCACAGTGCTCAGGTGAGCGATGTGGCCCATGGGCCTCTTGTTCTTGTTTCAAGTTTTACTGTAATCTATAGAAAGACTAGCTGAAAAGTCATATCACAGTAACTATGGCGACACTGCTCATCTAAGAAAAAAAATGTCTGCCTGTTAGTCAATTTATATAGATTTCATCTGTCAGATTTTTAGCTCACCTGAGCCGAAGGCTCAAGTGAGCTTCTCTGATCAAAATTTGTCCGTCGTCTGTCGTCATTGTAAACTTTTCACATTTTCATCTTCTTTTCAAGAACCACAGTGCCAATTTCAACCAAACTTGCTACAAAGAATCCTTGGGTAAAGGGGATTCAAGTTTGTTCAAACGAGGGGTAACGCCCTTTTCCAAGGGGAGATAATTATGAATTAAAGAAAACTTAATGGTGTTTTTTAAAAATCTTCTTCTGAAGAACCACTAGGCCAGGAAAGATGAAACTCATGTTGAGTCATCCTCAGGTAGTGTAGATTAAAGTTTGTTCAAATCATGACCCCTGGGGCAAGGGTGGGGCCAATATGGCTGAACAAAGTTTTACATAGGAGTATATAAGAACAAGAGGACCATGGGCCACATCGCTCACCTGAGCACTGTGGCTAGGAAAAAGCAGAATTGGTTTATACTTGAAAAGCTTAAATCCAAAAGTAGTCCCATGACCAATCCTGGCTTTGCTATTCTTGAGAAGATTTTTAAAGAATTTTCCTATACATTTCTATGTAAAACTTTGGTCGGCCATTTTGGCCCCACCCTACTCCTGGGGGTCATGATTTGAACAAACTTGAATCTACACTACCTGAGGATGCTTCCATATAAATATGATCAATTATGGCTTTGTTGTTCTCGAGTGATTTTTAAAGAATTTTCCTATATATTTCTATGTAAAACTTAGGTCGGCCATTTTGGCCCCGCCCTACCCCCGGTGGTCATGATTTGAACAAACTTGAATCTACACTACCTGAGGATGCTTCCAAATAAATATAATCAATTATGGCTTTGTTGTTCTTGAGGAGAAGTTTTTAAAAAAAAATTTCTTATATATTTTTATGTAAAACTTTGGTCGGCCATTTTGGCCCCGCCCTACCCCTGGGGGTCATGATTTGAACAAACTTGAATCTACACTACCTGAGGATGCTTCCATATAAATATGATCAATTATGGCTTTGTTGTTCTTGAGGAGAAGATTTTTAAAGAAATTTCCTATAAACATATCTATGTAAAACTTTGGTCGGCCATTTTGGCCCAACCCTACCCCTGGGGGTCATGATTTGAACAAACTTGAATCTACACTACCTGAGGATGCTTCCAAATAAATATGATCAATTATGGCTTTGTTGTTCTTGAGAAGAAGATTTTTAAAGAATTTTCCTATATATTTTTATGTAAAACTTTGGTCGGCCATTTTGGCCCCATCCTACCCCTGGGGGTCATGATTTGAACAAACTTGAATCTACACTACCTCAGGATGCTTCCATATAAATATGATCAATTATGGCTTTGTTGTTCTTGAGGAGAAGATTTTTAAAGAATTTTCCTATATATTTCTATGTAAAACTTAGGTCGGCCATTTTGGCCCCGCCCTACCCCCGGGGGTCATGATTTGAACAAACTTGAATCTACACTACCTGAGGATGCTTCCAAATAAATATAATCAATTATAGCTTTGTTGTTCTTGAGGAGAAGTTTTTAAAAAAAAATTTCTTATATATTTTTATGTAAAACTTTGGTCGGCCATTTTGGCCCCGCCCTACCCCCGGGGGTCATGATTTGAACAAACTTGAATCTACACTACCTGAGGATGCTTCCATATAAATATGATCAATTATGGCTTTGTTGTTCTTGAGAAGAAGATTTTTAAAGAAATTTCCTATATATTTGTATGTAAAACTTTGGTCGGCCATTTTGGCCCCACCCTACCCCTGGGGGTCATGATTTGAACAAACTTGAATCTACACTACCTGAGGATGCTTCCATATAAATATGATCAATTATGGCTTTGTTGGTCTTGAGAAGAAGATTTTTAAAGAATTTTCCTATATATTTTTATGTAAATCTTTGGTCGGCCATTTTGGCCCCACCCTACCCCTGGGGGTCATGATTTGAACAAACTTGAATCTACACTACCTGAGGATGCTTCCATATAAATATGATCAATTATGGCTTTGTTGTTCTTGAGAAGAAGATTTTTTAAGAATTTTCCTATATATTTCTATGTAAAACTTTGGTCGGCCATTTTGGCCCCGCCCTACCCCCGGGGGTCATGATTTGAACAAACTTGAATCTACACTACCTGAAAATGCTTCCATATAAATATGATCAATTATGGCTTTGTTGTTCTTGAGGAGAAGATTTTTAAAGAAATTTCCTATTTATTTTTATGTAAAACTTTGGTCGGCCATTTTGGCCCAACCCTACCCCTGGGGGTCATGATTTGAACAAACTTGAATCTACACTACCTGAGGATGCTTCCATATAAATATGATCAATTATGGCTTTGTTGTTCTTGAGAAGAAGATTTTTAAAGAATTTTCCTATATATTTTTATGTAAAACTTTGGTCGGCCATTTTGGCCCCATCCTACCCCTGGGGGTCATGATTTGAACAAACTTGAATCTACACTACCTCAGGATGCTTCCATATAAATATGATCAATTATGGCTTTGTTGTTCTTGAGGAGAAGATTTTTAAAGAATTTTCCTATATATTTCTATGTAAAACTTAGGTCGGCCATTTTGGCCCCGCCCTACCCCCGGGGGTCATGATTTGAACAAACTTGAATCTACACTACCTGAGGATGCTTCCAAATAAATATAATCAATTATGGCTTTGTTGTTCTTGAGGAGAAGTTTTTAAAAAAAAATTTCTTATATATTTTTATGTAAAACTTTGGTCGGCCATTTTGGCCCCGCCCTACCCCCGGGGGTCATGATTTGAACAAACTTGAATCTACACTACCTGAGGATGCTTCCATATAAATATGATCAATTATGGCTTTGTTGTTCTTGAGAAGAAGATTTTTAAAGAAATTTCCTATATATTTGTATGTAAAACTTTGGTCGGCCATTTTGGCCCCACCCTACCCCTGGGGGTCATGATTTGAACAAACTTGAATCTACACTACCTGAGGATGCTTCCATATAAATATGATCAATTATGGCTTTGTTGGTCTTGAGAAGAAGATTTTTAAAGAATTTTCCTATATATTTTTATGTAAATCTTTGGTCGGCCATTTTGGCCCCACCCTACCCCTGGGGGTCATGATTTGAACAAACTTGAATCTACACTACCTGAGGATGCTTCCATATAAATATGATCAATTATGGCTTTGTTGTTCTTGAGAAGAAGATTTTTTAAGAATTTTCCTATATATTTCTATGTAAAACTTTGGTCGGCCATTTTGGCCCCGCCCTACCCCCGGGGGTCATGATTTGAACAAACTTGAATCTACACTACCTGAAAATGCTTCCATATAAATATGATCAATTATGGCTTTGTTGTTCTTGAGAAGATTTTTAAAGAAATTTCCTATATATTTTTATGTAAAACTTTGGTCGGCCATTTTGGCCCCACCCTACCCCTGGGGGTCATGATTTGAACAAACTTGAATCTACATTACCTGAGGATGCTTCCATATAAATATGATCAATTATGGCTTTGTTGTTCTTGAGAAGAAGATTTTTAAAGAATTTTCCTATATATTTCTATGTAAAACTTAGATCGGCCATTTTGGCCCCGCCCTACCCCCGGGGGTCATGATTTGAACAAACTTGAATCTACACTACCTGAGGATGTTTCCCCATAAGTTTCATCTTTCCTGTCACTGTGGTTCTTGAGAAGAAGATTTTTAAAAGATGCTACCAAATTTTCATTAATTCCCAATTATCTCCCCTTGAATGAGGGCGTGGCCCTTCATTTGAACAAACTTGAATCCCTTTCACCCAAGGATACTTTGTGGCAAGTTTGGTTGAAATTGGCCCAGTGGTTCTTGAGAAGAAGTCGAAAATGTGAAAAGTTTACAGACAGACGGACGCCGGACAAAATGTGATCAGAAAAGCTCACTTGAGCCTTCGGCTCAGGTGAGCTAAAAATCTATAAAAATCTTCTTCTAAAGAACCACTGGGCCAGGAAAGATGAAACTCATGTGGAATCATCCTCAGGTAGTGTAGATATAAGTTGTTTCAAATCATGTCCCCCGGGGGTAGGGTGGGGCCAATATGGCCGATCAAAGTTTTACATAGGAGTATATAGGAAAAATCTTGAAAAATCTTCTCAAGAACCACTACGCCGGGAAAGATGAAAGTCAGGTGGAATCATCCTCAGGTAGTGTAGATTCAAGTTTCTTCAAATTATGACCCCCGGGGGTAGGGTGGGGCCAATATGGCCGATCAAAGTTTTACATAGGAATATATAGGAAAAATCTTTAAAAATCTTCTTCTAAAGATGCATAGAAACAGAAAAGATGAAACTCATGTGGAATCATCCTCAGGTAGTGTTGATTCAAGTTGGTTCAAATCATGACCCCTGGGGGTAGGGTGGGGCGAATATGGCTGATCAAAGTTTTACATAGGAATATATAGGGAAACCTTTTACAATCTTCTTTTCAAGTACTTCAAAGCCATGATTAGTAATATTTATATGGAATCATCTTAAGGTAATGTAGATTCTAGTTCGTTCAAATCATGATTCCCTGGGGGGTTAAAACTTCAGTAAACTTTTAGTTCTGATCTGATATGTGCTTTTTCCTAGCCGGTGTGCTCAGGTGAGCGCTATGGCCCCTGGGCCTCTTGTTCTTATTGTGATACGATGTCATATGATGATATTATTGTACGTGTTTTAAGACATGCAGTCTGTATGAATGAAAAGAGCCATTTCTGACGATGAGTAATTGAATTAATTTGAACGTCGCGGTTTCAATACCAAATTTTCACGGGTATCTGTTTACAATATGGAATTTATTCTTGAGGCGCACGTAATTCCTGAAAGTATAAAGATATTACACAAGTTTCATTGATCTCTCAACACCAGTAAATTGCGAGTTTTCATTAAGAATTACAAAAAGAGAATTGCTTCCGTGGGTATTCTTAGATTTAATGCATATTGCACGCAACTGTGAGATATACCTAGGTAGGCAAATTACTGATACTTAAAGCATACGTGATATGTCTCTGCTAGAAATAAGGAAAAGTGCCCAATTACGAATGCATGTTACCCCCCCCCCCCCCAATCAAGATGCTATCTAAAGTCCCTCTTGAGAATTTTTTCCTCGTGTGGAGACATTGCCACTACCGGCGAAGTTCCTGCCGCGAGGGGATGTTCCATTTAGCGGTGCTCTTGTTTGAGATATTTTAAAATTTTAGTCCATTGTGAATAATTTAACTTACATTTTATTTTTTTTTTCAAGTCTTTGATTGTATAGAAATATAACTTAAGACCACCTTTAAAATAATATTTGCTAGCTCTCTCCCGACTCAGGGTAAAATTATTGGGTCGATTTCAAACTCGGTCTACAATTTCTATTTAAAGTACTTTGTACAATTGCTATGGGGAACGAAAAATATGATCTTTTAAATCTCTTATTACGTCTAAATATATAAGAAATATAAGCAAATATACTTTGAATATTTCATCTAGTCAAAAACCAGACAAAAATCCCTCTTTAAAAGGAGTCACACAGTTTGCATTATTTAATTAATCACACTTACAAATAGAAAACAACATTCACAATAAGAATAAAAGCAACTTGTACCTGCAGCACGAAATGTATTATCTACCAGGGTATGACTTTTTCTCTGCCTTGGCATTAATATTAATATGGAAGTCTTTTTTTTTAAACCAAATTTAGCACTGAACATGAGGATTGTTGAAATTCTAAAAGCTGCTATATTTCTTGAAATGAGTAACACTGCATGTAGTGGTATACTTGTTGATATTGTTTTATTACATATAATAGAAAAATGAACTTCTTGCATTGAATTTTGTTCGAGATTTTTGTACAGTTTTTTTTCTCATGAACAATATGAATTATACACAAATGGGTTACAGTTTTAAATGGGGGCGTTCATTTGAACTTTGGATGTACAATGGAACTTTTATACTACCACTTTTGACATCTGTCCTATAATCAATCGGAAATTGGCTTAAAAATGGCATTTACATTTCAAATCAAAGGCAACAATTTCCAGAACTTGGTTTTCATACTTTGTCATTTTTAAAAGACATCAGGTATTCCACTTCGTGTTTTAAGGCACATTTGTATGAAAAAGTCATTGGACTCAATCCTCTGTATTGGATTCGATCTCCTTCCTTTTCTCACTGGCAGCAAAATTGGATCTTGCAAACATGGTGACAATAAGCAACTTCTAATGTCGGAGAAAATCGTTTGTACAAAACATTTATATATCAGCAGACTGAGTACATAATTATATAGTACATGTTTATTCCATGTATATATAGAAACAAAATATTGTCAATCAATGGCACAAAATGTCAGAATTAAGATATAACAGTTTTATTTTGCATTCAGTTTGATTTCTGAGCATTACTCCTGGGGTTGCCCTTTTTTCGGGACCCCTTTTGACACTTTTCTTTTTTTAGTGACTTTGTCTTTTTCCTCTCCGTATTTAAGTCCTGTGTACAAAGATGTTTCGGGTTCACTTGTTTTCCTCAAACACTCGTACATATTTGTGTCTTTATCCTCGTTACGTGAAGAAGGCTGAAGCGCCAGACTCTCATATTCATCCCCAATGATAGGAGATTCAGCCCCAGCATTGATGACGTCAACATTGCCGTAAAGTGCTGCCCCGGAATCTTTACGAATGTTATTGTCGTAAATGTTTACGTTAGATTGCTTTTCGTTATTTCCGATGGCGTTTTCGTACAGCGGGTCCTCTGTTATGCTAGGTGTATACGTCTGATTTGTAGTGGAAAAGCCGTTAGCTTCTGATGTAAATAAAAACAATAATTATTTCAATAAAGGTACTGCAATCAAAGATTTTTTTTTTTTTCACGGAAATGAATTTTCCTCGTACAATATACTGGTATATTGAAAATAATGAAAGAGATATATTTATTGCCGCATTGTAAAGTTTTATGCAAGTCTTTATCAATTTTTCGCATTATTGAATTCAGTAGTAAATATTTACCAGCAGTTGCGAGTCTATACCTTTTTGGAAATATTCCATTAAAAAAATTACAGATACATACCTTTTTGAATGTTCTTGACGAGTCTAAATAAATAAATTTAAAAGTCAATTTTAAGTTATACTCATTATTTTTGTAAATTTGTTTTACATAGTTTCTCACTGAATCTGTACTGTACATCATTCAGACTCAAAGAAACAATTATGCTTTAATAACTTGTTTCAATATAGCAAAAAATTTGATTGAAAAAACTTTTAAAATTCATCTCAGTAAAATCTTATTTTGCATCAAGGTAGCAAATTCATTCGCTAATTATTAATCCTGATCTTCATGCTACTTTATACTAGCAATGTTTAATAAAATTATCATAGTAATTGTACCGTTCTCTCTCTGAACTATAATCTTGATCATAAACTACACCTCAAAAACAAGTTAACATAATACTAGCTGCGTTATTGTTTTATATCTTTGTCTTTGACCATAACGCTACAGATCCCGTTATACAAAAAGGTGCAATTTACGGCGCAATATTTTTTGCGCACTTTTGGGGAGAATTTCTCCTTTTTCCAGCATCGGTCAATTAAGAAACTTTCACTCCCTAATTCTAGGCACATTATTAAACTAATCTGTATATTTCATCCATCTCCCAACCCTTTATAATCGTCTCTACAAGTGATAAACTCGCTTGGTTTAAATTATTTGGTAGATTTCTGAAAATTCACTTCAAGCGAGTTTATTGCCTGTAGAGACAACTATAAATGGTTGGAAGGTGGGTAATATATATATATATACTGGCTACAGAATGTGTCTAGAATTAGGGATTGAAAGGTAGTTGATTGACCAATGCTAGAAAGTGGAGAAATTCTCCCCAAAAAAGCGCAAAAAATATTGCGCCGTAAATTGCACCTTTATGCATTACGGGATCTGTAGCGTTATGGTCAAAGACAAATATGTAAAATTAAACCATAACGCTAAAGATCTGCAGCTAACCATATACATGCACGTAGCTGTCCAGTTATAGATAAGAATCGCAGAACGAAGAATACCGGTATTACCTTTTCCTTTTTGACGTAATAAGAAACAGAACCACGCCCACTGCTGACGCAATCCCGACTACCCCAACCACGAGCCCGATCACAATAGACACCACGGGAGAGGCCTGCTGTGGCTCCTTAACCAACACTAAAGCAAACAACATAAACTGCATTATACTCAACATGTAAAATTTAACAAATGTTTATAGAATTTTATTTACTTATGATCTGAATGCCCACCTACAGCAAGTAGCTAAAGACACACTGTGCTTTTTTAAATAAATTTGAAACAATAAGTCTATGAGCCAATGCTTATTAGTAATATCTCCGCTCTGATGTGAATATACAATATCATGTTAATAAACATGCGTTCAGTTACAGGTATATGCACGGATAAATATGGATTTGACATCAGATTTATATAAAAATAAATCCCGCCATACTGTATGCCTCAACAAAGTGTGTACTAAAATTTCAAGCATCTGTTATGAGTTGTTGCTGAGAAAACTGCGATGAAAATTTTTTATTTATGTAACGGACAGATGCACTGACAAACAGGAAGTTGACATAAGATTTGAACAAAAATAAGTCTTACTATATGGCATGCCTCACAAAAGAGTGTGCTAAAATGTCAACCATCTGCGATGAGTAGTTTCTGGAAAACTGTGACAAAAATTTGTTATGTATGAAACATGTATGAAATAGACAGACGCACGGACAAACAGGAAGTTGACATTGGATTGAACAAGAAAGAATCCCACCATATGGCATGCCACAGAGAAGACTGAGTTAAAATTTCAAGCATCTGCAATGAGTATTTGCTGAGAAAACTGTGACGAAAATTTGTTATGCATGAAACATGACTGTATGAAACGGACAGACGCACGGACAAACATGAAGTCGACATTAGAATCAAAATGAATCCAACCATATTGCATGCCTCAGAGAAGATTGTGTTAAAATTTCAAGCATCTGTGAAGACTGCGATGAGTAGTTGCTGAGAAAAATGTGACGAAAATTATGCATGAAACATATATGAAACGGACAGACGCATGGACAAACAGGAAGTTGATATCAGATTTGAACAAGAATGAATCCCACCATATGGCATGTCCCAGAAAAGATTGTGTTAAAATTTCAAGCATCTGCGATAAGTCGTTGCTGAGAAATCTGTGACGAAAATTTGTTGTGCATGAAACATGTATGAAATAAAAAGACGCATGCACAAACAGGAAGTTGACATCGGATTCAAACAAAAATGAATCCCACTATATGGCATGCCTCAGAGAAGATTATGTTAAAATTTCAAGCATCTGCGATGAGTAGTTGCTGAGAGAACTCTGACGAAATTTTGTTATGTATTAAACGGACAGACGCATGGATACAAAGGAAGTTGACATCGAATTTGAACAAAAATGAATCCAATCATATGGCGTGCCTCAGAGAAGTTTGTATTAAAATTTCAAGCATCTGCGATGAGTAGTTGCTGAGAAAACTGCGACGAAAATTTGTTACGGACAGACAGATGGACAGCTAGACGGACAGACACACAAGGGTAAAACAGTATACCCTCCCCTCCTTCGGAGCGGGGGTATACTTAAGATTTTGGCAAGAATTTACAACAGCGTAATACCATAGAGACTTGTAACATACGATATATGCACTTGCTTTAAAATAAGCACTAAAGGTACATACAAAAAAGGTAAAACGGGAGCCAACGACCCGAATTTATACGAGGTTGATCGCAGAAATATATGAAATATGCAGATAACGAATAGTATTCCAGTCCCATTCAAACAATACAAATCAGGAGCAGAGAAAACACGGAACTCTAAAACACCAGAGTTGGGATCAGATGCCATGGAGGAGTGAGCATCCCTCGCTCTGTACTGCTTGTAATGATCGGGAAAAAGGAAAATAATTGTGGACATATTGGCTTAACAATTGGTATAAAAATCGTCAGTCAGTAATTGACTTAATGATTGTACTTTCTTACAATGTATAGTTGTATCAACCACAGAATTTGCGAAATGATACCTAGTAAGACAACTCTTTTCTTTATCTTGCCTTGTTTTAGAAATAGTACGTTTACATACTCTTGCGTACCGAATCAACTGAGTGGCATTAACCTCATATGCAGGTGATATAGGTATATTTATATATTGCTATATAAATTTCAATGTAGCTCGCACGGGTCAGAAAAAACAATTTGGCATAGTTTTTTTAAATTTGACTCTACGTAAATTCGGTTTTATTGCATGGTTTCCTATTTTTATTTGTATTTACAGATAACGGTTAAGCTAAATCAAGTATGTCACCGACTCAGGGAGAAATACTAACCTTCCACGGTGCAATCATCCGACTCATAGCCACTTTTGCACATGCATGCTCCTGATTTTTTGTCACATTGATTGGTATTGTTCATGTGACACGGACACCGCCCTAAACACTCTGAGCCGAAGTGTTCAGCGTCACATTCTGCACAAAAATACAAAGCATTCTTAGCTTCAGTAACACATAGCATTGTTAGCTCCCCTGAGCCCAAGGCTCAAGTGAGCTTTTCTGATCACATTTTGTCCGTCGTCCGTCCGTCCGTCTGTAAACTTTTCACATTTTCGACTTCTTCTCAAGAACCAGTGGTCCAATTTTGACCAAACTTGGTACAAAGCATCCTTGGGTGAAGGGAAATTTAAATTATTAAAATGAAGGGCCAAGTTCCCTCACAAGGGGAGATAATCAAGAAAAGACAAAAATATGGTTGGGTTATTAAAAAATCTTCTTCTCAAGAACCACTGGGCCAGTAAAGCTGAAACTTATTTGGAAGCATCCTGGGGTAGTGTAGATTCTAAATTGTTCAAATCATGACCCCCGGGGGTAGGGCGGGGCCACAATGGGGAATCAAAGTTTTACATATAAATATATAGGAAAATCTTTGAAAATCTTCTTCTCAAGAACCACTGGGCCAGTAAAGCTGAAACTGATGTGGAAGCATCCTGGGGTAGTGTAGATTCTAAATTGTTCAAATCATGACCCCCGGGGGTAGGGCGGGGCCACAATGGGGAATCAAAGTTTTACATAGAAATATGTAGGAAAATCTTTGAAAATCTTCTTCTCAAGAACCACTGGGCCAGTAAAGCTGAAACTGATGTGGAAGCATCCTGGGGTAGTGTAGATTCAAATTTGTTCAAATTATGACCCCCGGAGGTAGGGCGGGGCCACAATGGGGAATCAAAGATTTACATAGAAATATATAGGAAATCTTTGAAAATCTTCTTCTCAAGAACCACTCTGTCAGTAAAGCTGAAACTTATGTGGAAGCATCCTGGGGTAGTGTAGATTCTAAATTGTTCAAATCATGACCCCCAGGGGTTGGGCGGGGCCACAATGGGGAATCAATGTTTTACATAGAAATATATAGGAAAAATCTTTGAAAATCTTCTTCTCAAGAACCACTGGGCCAGGAAAGCTGAAACTTATGTGGAAGCCCCCTGGGGTAGTGTAGATTCTAAATTGTTCAAATCATGACCCCCGGGGATAGGGCGGGGCCACAATGGGGAATCAAAGTTTTACATAGAAATATATAAGAAATTTTTTTTTAAATCTTCTTCTCAAGAACCACTGGGCCAGAAAAGCTGAAACTTATGTGGAAGCATTCTGGGGTAGTGTAGATTTCAAATTGTCTAAATTATGATTAATGGGGTAGGATGGGGTCACAATATATATTGCAAGGGGGAAATCTGGTAAAGAACAGAATGGCCAAAGCTTCTCAGGTGAGTGATGTGGCCCATGGGCCTCTTGTTAAATTATACGATGTGTTCGTGAAACACTATGTCCCCCGATGGTAAAACAATTCTGGAGTTGGACGTAGACTGAAGTGGTATATAAACACTTACCCTTAATAGCGCTCTAGTTATGGGCTAGGTTAAAGTTGACAACAGACAGACAAACAGACAGGACCAAAAAAATATACCCCCGTGATCTTTCGATCCGGGGACATAGAAATAATGGGAAAAAAATTAGCGTATACCTGTGGAACAGTTGCTGCCCTTGTATCCCGGTTTACAAATACATACTCCATCCCACTTCCGGCAGGTTCTAAACTGGTTGTCGTTACAGCTGCACGTGCTCATACAGTTAGCACCAAACGTCCCATCAGGACACTCTGTGATGACAATCTACTGTAATTCATTTCTTGTTGCTGCTTTCTTGTATCTTTACTTTATTACAGATAAGTAGGTACAGTTTACCTTGTAAAATTATTTTTTATAAATTTAAGAAAACTCTCACCCAACTGGCAGTTTTCTCCAGTAAAACCTGGCAGGCACGTGCACATTCCAGATTTAGGGTCACAACTTAATGTATTTTCCAACTTGCACGTGCAGTTAGAAGAACAATTTTGTCCATAGGTGTACATGCTACAATCTGAAGAAAACAGTTGGCTTCAGGTTTTACAATACCCAACAAGAAAGATGTCCAACTACATCTCTAACATGCAGAGAAATCTAGCAGGTGTTGGACAAATCGGCCAAATTATGTTTAGAAAACTGATATATTAAAAAAAAAAAAACAATTGTCTGGAATGTTAGCTTAAGGAGGCTGGGGGGTCAACAAATTAACCACCAGATTTAACTTATTTTTAAGCTGTCAACTTTCATTTGGCAAAGAAAAAATTCATACATTTTAGTTTTAAAATTTGATCATTTTCTATATCTTCATATGGAGCTCTCCTTTTAAAGGAGATAAAAATAGTCTGAAAATGGCTGCCACACCCCAGCCTCGTTAAAAGTTTGACTTCCGTGACCTACCATCCTGGCACAAGAATGGCTGGTAACCAGGCTGACATACACACTCCCCGGTGAAGGCACTACAGCTGCTGGCCCGGCCCGTGTTACATTTACAGGGCAAACTACACCCAGGTCCATAGCGAGGTAACACACACTCTACAATTTAGAGACATTAAAATGACTTACATATACCATTGCATGATAAATGAATTTATTTTGACTTGCAATACGACTTTGTCTTTTTGGAACGCAGACGAAATCTCTTAGAAGCCTATTTGCACACATTTTTGGACGATTGAATTGTATAAACTAATGAAGGTAGCAAATAGTACTAGTAATCAAGGCATTAACACCTCCACCCACCCCACACTCATCCTCCTTCCTCGCCACTTACCCCTCTTACAATCCGCCTTAGGGTCGTATCCTAGCTTGCAGTAGCAGGAACCATCCACATTATTACAAGGTGAGGCAGAATTCTTATCATCACAGGTGCATGTATTAGCACACCCAGGACCATACCTGTTCCTTGGACAACCTTATAATGTAAAACATTATTCAAACTCCATATAAAATGCATTTTACAATAGATTTTGAAAAAGTTAAAGCGTATTGAAAGGAATTTAAAAAAAAATGTATAGTAAGTACATGTGTCGACTTACTGCTTTCACAGTTTTTTCCTGTATATCCATCTTTGCACGAGCAGGACCCACTGACAAAGTTACACGTCTTAGTTTGATTCCTAAAGCACGTACACGGCTTACACCCTTCTCCAAACGTGAAACCTGAACACCCTGTCATAAAATAATATTATTTTGATAAATAGTTACCACAATATCGGTCAGCAATGTGTGAAGTGTAGATTTAGGGGGGAAATATGAGGTGATTGCATGAAATTGTCAATTGTTTACTATGACATGATTTCTTTAAGACGTTAAACAACTAAATTCTAAGCAGAGAAAGAAGTGAACACCAAAACGTTCATCACTCCACCAGAAAATAAGAGTGTAGATGTTGTGTGAACTCTGTCCACAGGCCTTTACATCGCTTAGAAAAAAAATTGAGGTGTTGAAAAAAAAAAAAATTTTTTTTTACACACACAATTTTTTTAAGCGATCCAAAGGCCTGTGACTCTGTCAGACAATAAGTGTATAAATGTTGTATGAACTCTTTCAGACAATAATTGTATAGATGTTGTATGAACTCTGTCATACAATAAGTGTATAAATATTGTGTGAACTCTTTCAGACAATAAGTGTATAGATGTTGTGTGAACTCTGTCATACTATAAATGTATAGATGTTGTGTGAACTCTGTCAGACAATAAGTGTATAGATCTTGTGTGAACTCTGTTATACAATAAGTGTATAGATGTTGTGTGAACTCTGTCAGACAATGAGTGTATTAATGTTGTGTGAATTCTGTCAGACAATAAGTGTAAAGATGTTGTGTGAATTCTGTCAGTCAATAAGTGCATAGATGTTGTGAATTCTGAGTAAATAGTTGTATGTCCTCTAAAGAAGAGACCCATGGGCCACATGGCTCACCTGAGTAGTTTTGACCATGCTGTTCTTTACCAGATTTCCCCTTGTGCTACCTATTGTGGCCCCACCCTACCCAAGGGACATAATTTGGACAATATAAAATCTACACCACCCTAGAATGTTTTCAAATAAGTTTCAGCTTTTCTGGCCCAGTAGTTACTGAGAAGAAGATTTTCTAAAAATTTACTACATATTTCAATATAAAACCTGATTTCTCGATTGTGGCCCCGCCCTACCCTAACTGGTCATGAATTGAATAATTTAGAATCTACACTTCTCAAGGATGCTTTCACATAAGTTTCAGTTTTTCTGGCCCAGTGGTTCTTGAGAAGAAAATTTTAAATTTTCCTATATATATTTTAAATTCAAACTTCGGTTCACTATTTTTGCCCCGTCCTACCCCCAGGGGTCATGATTTGAACAATTTTGAATATACACTACCCCATGATGCTTCCACTTAAGTTTTAGCTTTTCAGCCCAGTGGTTCTTGAGAAGAAGACTTTTAATGTTTTTTCTTATATATTTCTATGTAAAACTTTGATTCCCTATTGGGGCCCCGCCTAACCCCCTGGGTCATGATTTGAACAATTTAGAATTTACACTACCCCAGAATGCTTCCACCTAAGTTTCAGCTTTTCTTCCCCAGTGGTTCTTGAGAAGAATTAAGATTTTTTAATGATCCCACCCTAATTTTGTCTTTTCTTGATTACTAGTATCTCCCCTTATCAGGGAACTTGGCCGTTTATTTTAAAAATTCAAACTCTCCTTCACTTTACAGACGGACGGACGGACAGACAGACAGACAGCTAGACAGATGGACGGACGGACAGACAGACGAACGACGAACAAAATGTGATCAGAAAAGCTCACTTGACCCTTGGTAAAGGTGAGCTAAAGAGTGTACAGGAGAGGAAAAACCTGGCCGAAAATAAGCCTTTCATTTTCTAACCACGAAGTGTTCGAAGATGAAAATAAAATTCCTGTAGCTTACTCTCTGCGCACGTAGATCCTGTGTAACCCGGTGAGCACGTGCACGCGCCTGTTACGTGATGACATGACGTGAACTGTCCTGCTATGCACGTGCAGTTTGATTTGCACCCTGCTCCAAAGGTTCCCGACGGACACTCTAGATATGACGAAGGAAAGGTTGATTTATTTTTTGCAATGCTTCTTGTCATTCATATATATATATATATGTACCCGGTATCAAAATTCAAAATAAACCTACAATGCAAAGTATTTTAAGAAACTCGCAACCTTTATGGGGTCTTAACGACAAAAACCATAATTCTAAAAACTTGCTGTACGTCTACATAGAAGCGCCTTTCTCCAATTATGAAGATAAAAAATTTAAATTAGAAAACACATTCTTTAGACGTGTTCGAATGCAATGGTACTCCGGAATTCCTTAAGTCAGTTGCAAATTGTACCTTTTTTCAATTCAAAGGCAATTAAATTCAGAAGGATCACTAAAATATAAAGGAGGGGATCTTAACTGACTCAGTAGAAAGTGTGCCATACGGACACACAAAGAGAGACAAAGGGAGCAATAATTTACCGGATTTTACACCGAGTTATCTGACCTTGACTACAGGTGGTGCCAGTATACCCGTCTTTACACCGACACGCTCCGTTAACATTGTCACAGCTGAGTGATTTACTCTGATCACAGGTACATTTCAAGGTACAGTTAGTCCCATACTGGAAATTAGTGCAAGCTGAAGAAAAAGTAATAAAACGAAATAGAATGAAATTAAAAACATAATAATATTAACTTTCATTCATATGAATTTATATCAAATTTCTATTTATTTGCCCGATTCAGTAATTATTTTGAAGAGATTATTTTTTGTAAGAGAAACACGAAATTATATACGAGCAACCATTCAGGGATAAGAAGAAAGTTCCAGTCGTAAAACTTGCGATTAGGAGGCGTGTACAATTTACCTTGAGCGCAGCTGTCAACTAGATCGTGACGTAACGTGAAACTTTACAGTTAGCTGCAAACTATAACAACTATTTGAAAGTTAGCTGCAAACTATAATATCCCACAGAAAATGAAATTAGAAATGGAAATAAAATAAAAACGACAATATACGATCACCTAGCGCCGTCGCCGTTTAGTGTCATGACGTACGACAACGTCGTTGTTTTTCGATGTCCGCTTCTTCTATCTCATACACGTACTTTGATTAGATTCTCTGTTTAAACATTTCCTAGATCTATACCAGTTTTTTTTTCACTGGCAAAACTTTATAGAATGCTGGAAAAGGAAACCCCTCACCCTCTTAGACGCCATTTTTAAGTATGCCAACACATACTTGAATTAACGGGAAGTTTTGGATGTCAAATGTTCATATCAAGAGAGTTTTTCTCAGTTACTGTACTCTTGGGTCGAAAAAACGTCGTGTAAGAGGTTGCACCTCCTGGACATACCACTGCTTACAAAAAACATTACTAATTTACTAAAAAATAAAATTTATGATTTGTGGATTATTCTATAGATCTATAGAAAAGATGATGCTTACTAATTATTTTAAAAATCATTGATGTAACTATAGCAGTTTTAATTTTATTGCGCTAGTCCACAACTTTTTGATACCCCTTCGTATGTTTACCCATATCTTTTTTGCTTTTAGATAAGGTGATGGGATGTAGGACAGCGAATAATCTAGGGGTTTTTTTGGGAGGGGGAGGAAAAAATCAGTAGGGGGCCTGGGGACCCAGATCCTGCAGGGGGGCAAAGGTCCCTGGCTGAAATTGAATTTGAGCATTTTTATGGCCATTTAGAGTGCCTAAAATAGCAAAACGAGACCATTTTCTGTGTCAGTCAAAATGCACATGTGAGAAGGTCTACCATACATACCATGGCAAAGATGTTACCACATCTTGTACAGGAGTACAATTTAGTCTTACCCTTGTAGCCCAACAATGTAATTTTCTTTACGGTTTCAACTATTTTTTGCACATAAGCCACTCACAATTTGGATTTGGCGCAAAATAGTTTATGCATATTTACCTTTTATCAGACATAAGTATTTTCAGAGTGTAATTTTATATTTCTATACATATATAATATAATTCATAACTATACAGGCGCGGATCCAGGATTTTTTTCCCAGAGGGCTGGGGTGGGGGTCCACCCCATTAAAAAAATCCAGCCCAGAAATTTCTTGACAAGTAAAAAAAAACAAAAAACAAATAATAAAAAAAAAAAGTTAATTCCTTTCCCAAACGTGAAAAATCTATGTTAGGGGATGGGAGTGGGGTTATTGCCTGACGTCACGGCGTCAGGCTGTATAAGAATTGATATTTGCAAAATCCGAAACTAATATAGAGAGCTAGATTTCGTGCAAGCTGATTTACATTCCTATGAAATTACACAAATAATGATGACGTAGAAAAACTTGTGCGCCATCTAGCGTTAATTCAGGTAATGTCTGTTTTTTTGTTTTTTTTTTACACGCCGTCTAGCGTCAATTCAGTGAATGACTGTTGGTTTTGCATCGGTGATCGTTGGTTTTGTATCGGAGTCTGTTGATTTTGCAAACGAGTCTGTTGATTTTGTTTTAAGGTGGTCTATTTTGTATTTCAGTATGTTTTTAAAATATTTCTACCCTTTCCGCCGCACATAGACATCCGCTTAGAAAGACTGAACAAAACTTTGACTTCATCCACATTTTTTATTTAGAAAACTGCTAAGAATAAAACTTTGACTTTATCCACATAATAGAATCTGATAGAAAGCAGAGAACCATTTTTAAGCTTGCTACTAACGTTTGCATGATAGGCCCTGCGTTGAATTCGACACAAATCCAGTGCAACAAACTGTCACGTTTCTGTAAAAAGAAAAAAGAAAAAAAAATAATAAAGCGCATGTTAAAAGTGATTAAAAGTAAAGATAACAGTATGGTCATATTTTTATGAACTTAAACATGTTTTAACAAATGGATAGACGTGTCGTAACACAAAACAGGGTTTACATAGTATTCATTCATGTATTTGTTTATTTAATTTTGCAAATATTACCAATGGTAGATTAATTTAATCGTGAAAAGACCAGTGGATGTCGGCGATCTCTAATTTCCTTCCCTGTTTAACTGACTGGTTTACTCAGGGAGGAAAATTGAGATAAATTAGGAGAATCACATTCAGAATACGCAAACCGTATCAATAATAAAAAGTCGTATCAATAAAATGATAAAATTTACAAAGCAGTCTTCAGAAGGAAATAATACGTGCAGCCTGGTTATATCTGTAATGAAGCGAATTGAAGTGCATGGTAAAATTTTTCATTTGAATGGAAAGTTTGGATCTTTCTTACCTAAAGTCAATTGTTATATAATAACACGCCCATTTCTACAGAATCGGGAATAAGTATATTTGTCGTAATGCTGTTGGACACCCTGGGCACTGTTTGCGACTAGCGACATAAGTTACACTCAAATATAGCTGCAGATCTGTAGCTCTCCGAAAAAATATATATTTATAGACCGGAGATTTGAAAGGTTTGAAAAGAGAAGGGGAGATCCCTCCTCTGTAAAATACGTACTGCAAGGAATTTGTACATGACTATGAATTCACCACATTATACGTAACATGTATCGGTCGAACACGTGCTTACTTGGTACATTAATGTAGACCGCCAGTTTGATTGGCTAATGTATTTTTGGAATACACTGAAATCCCTTTACTGCCTATTCCGACACATTATTTATGTCCTATTGGATGTCAGATTAAGGTCAGACGACACGTTCCTCAAAAATATATAATTTTTCTTAAGAATTTGTCATTGAAGTAAAGGTACTTAAACAAGATTCCTCACCAAAAATTAGGGTACCTTACCAGGCATTTGGCCGAGATAAAATAGGGTCATATTTCTTATATAACCTTACGGGTAATTTTCTAAATGGCCTATAACACAAATGTTGGTGTACTTATATTTAAAACATTTTGAAATCAATGTAGAAATCAGAAGGGAATGACAATCATGAATAATTTTTGATATAATACCACGAGATACATTATACACATTTGAGTAACATGTCGTCTGACCATAACTGTATAAGTAATCAATCGGAAATCCTCGGCTAACTCCCCTACGCTCCATTCGCAATCCTCGACAGACTCCGCTTCGCTCCATTATGTGCGAGGTACGAGCCATCCGAGGAACTCCGAGTGTGAGGTACGAGCCATCCGAGAAACTCCGGGTGACAAGTTCGCTCTTGAACAGTAAGAAAAATTGAGTATTTGGCATGTAATTTGCAGGAATCATACATAGTTCAAATGTCCAAGAAGAGGGATGTGGTCGACTGACCCTAACAACGTCAGGGGTCATGAATCAACCCACTGACGTCGTTGTGGCACGTTGACTCAGAACAGAAGCCCTGACGTTGTCATCAAGAATGGCTGATCACAGCTGGGTACCAACGCAGGTAGGAAAATGTAACAAATTATAGATAAGTGCAGACATATAATTAAAATTTTAAAAAAAACACCCTCATTCTTCGGAAAAAGAACGATCTTCCAAAAAGTGTTATTGTCTTTCTTGGGAAAAACATCTGATTTTTCTTCTTTCATTTCTTTCATCATTACACTTGTATAATCAAATTCAGAAAATTTCAGGTTTGTTTGAACAAGATATAAAACCATTTTTGACATGTCTGTCCTTATGTAAGAGATATACCGAATTGTGATTAATCAACAATATCTAGTTAACAGAACGCATTGTTCATCAATACAAAGTAAGAACACGTTCCCCTGGATACAACAGATGAATCAGATGAACCAGGAGAAGTAAGCGTCCCCTACTGACCGGTGACACCCATCGTGAGCCCCATGTATTGATCAGATATACGGAGTACTGCGTATTTAAAATTAAGTTTTTAAAATAACCCGACAATAGAAACTATACATCGGAGTGTCTTCCGTCACTTAAGTTGTTTTTCTTTTGATTCAAATCAATATCGGCTTCGAAATGCATGATTATATATACGAATATATAAGTTATAGTTGACATCTCCCCTCTTTTTAAAATACGCATGTCACAGGAGGTAAGTGGATTTCCCCTTGGCATGATTAATTATCGGAGAAAGGTTCTAAATCTTGAAATGAATGGAGAGTGAATTGCTGAAAACATATGCAAAAGATAAAATTTTCTATTAAGTTTAAAGATTTTAATATTTGAAATAGTTTTTACTATTGAAAAATAATTTTTACCGTTTTTAAGTTTTCAGTTTTGAACTACACATTGTATTAATTAATAAAGTATCAAGGTCGAGGCATCTTGATTGCGTGTCTCAATTACAAATACAAAACCCTGGTCCATATATAAATGTCTTATAACTACCTACCCGTTCTGACATTCGGAGTTCTGTGCCACGGCAGAGTATAAAAGTTCCACAACAAGCAGAAGGCAAGCTTTTAACAACATTTTAATTGACATATAAAAATACGAAGGATGGTTAAGCTTCCGGGATGGAACGACAAATAAAGTCTTGGTCATTTCTAAGTTTTAACTTCCTTCAGCGATAGGACATTCCCTCTTGAACCAAACAAGAGGTAATTTCATTTTGTCACATGGGTTATGATTTTATCACTGTGCATTACCTTTTATACAAATTCTAGTTTCACGAAAGAAAGATTTCCTTGTGGGGTATACGACATGCATGGCTAGGAAGTGCTCTCAATTACTGATCAATTATACAAGGCTTTATTCAAGATTTCATTTAAAATATGCACTGTTGTTATTTTCCTTAACCCGAAGCTCAATCATAAGTCCTCACTTTAAACCACTTGATTCAGGATGAGTATACAAAATTAATCTGAGGAAAAAATTTGTTGCATGTGTGTTTGAATTTGATTGGATAACAGTCTGGTCACATGGTTGACATGCCATCAGTATTCTTATTTCTTCATACAATTATGCAAATTACACTGATCAACAAAAGATATTTTCAAGAAACATCGTATCTTACAGTATCTTACAGTTTGCACATTAATCTAAAACACTCTGTGAAACGCTTACACCCCCGTATGTGAGCTATGGCGAAGACCAAACTTTCTAAAATGCAAATCAATCTCGAAGGTCAAGATTAAAATTGTTGGTATCCAAAGGAAGGCCATGCCACAAGGAATACTCAGTACACCTATGAAATATGAAAGCCTTAGTGCTAACCGTTCAAATGTTATGGCCAAGGCTTTTTCAACACCAACTCAAAAGTCACGGTAAAAGTTAAAGTTTTTGCGAACAAACGGACAGACAGACTTTCTTCTCAAAAATTATTTGAATAGTTATACTAAATATAATATATATATAAATCAATTAATAGACAGTTCATTGCATAATTATGTTGAGCATTTGATGATTTATTTCCATTAAAAAAAACCCTATTTCCTGCGTCTTCCAGAACTGTTAGCATAACGAATATTACTCCTTTGTCCAGAAGTTGAGTACATTAAATAAAAATCTGGTTTAAATAAATTGTCACTTTTAATATTACAAGAAATGCAATATGTGTTTATATGATATATATTGTGAAAAAAAAATGGTGGCGTTGCAATAACAGTGCATTCATACCTAATGAAACTTACGAACATAGAAAACTATATGAAGATATTGTTTAAAAAAATAATAAATAAAAAATAACTACTAGTGAATTAAAATTACTTTTGAGAAGCTCAAATCAGAATTAAAGACCATTTAAATTACTGAATTCTGTAGAACAGAGTAAACTTCCCTGCACTTCGTCCATCAGACTTTGATTTTTATGTCCCCAGATCAAAAAATCCCGGGGGTATATTACTAGTATTTTTGACCTGTCTGTCTGTCTGCCGGTCTGTTGTCATAACCATTGCGCTGTCAAGGTTAAGTGTATACCATTTCAGTTTACATCCCACTTCAGAACTGTGTCACCATCAGGTGTTATTTCACAAACACATCTTGTTTGGATATTATATCCTTTATTTAGTACAATTTGGAAATTAAATTACTGTGTACCTTGAATGTTGTGCAGCAGTGAGGGGGATACTTGTTAGAAACTGAGACCCTAATGTAATGTAGGTAAAATCCTACTGCCATCTTCAAGTGGATAAGAATAGGCCTATAGATGAACAGCCATGATGTCAACATGAAGCAGGTGCCTGTGGCATGTACAGGGGTTTGACCTGACCATGCAACTTGATACCACTTGTCACTTAGTATAATCTGATGTCTAATTATTAAAAATGTACTGTACTTACAGTCTGTGTTAAGTCTGCAATCTTCAATATAAAACAGACATGTATTTCTGTAGCTCATCTGCGCTATAAGCCTGACCAGAAGTCTCTGATGAGATTGTAGCACTACTGGTCTGTACGTATAACAAAAGAAAAGTAACAGTTGGATTTGAAACTTTGCAATAGGCACCAATAAATAGAATTATGTACCTTTGTGTAGTCTACTCCTATGTAAATTTATATTGAAATCAAACCAAAACTGTAGAAGAAGTAGTGTTTTAAAAGTATCTCTAAGAAAAACCTATTTTTTGTAACCATAATTACACGGTTCATCAAAAACTTATGCGCTAAATTATGCATCTTAGTGTTGTCTACTTGTATAATTAAGTTATACTGAAATCAGACCCTGTAGGAGGAGTGAAAAATTGTTTACAGACTGACGGACGACGGACACCTTACTATCGCATAAGATCTTTTGGTCGACCAGTAGAGCTAAAAATCAGCATGTAAATTCCGTCCACACGTTGTCCATGGTCCCGGTGTGGACACCTTAAGCCAGTTACAATATGACAAACAGATAAACAATAAAGGGCCAAAATAGAATGGATCATTCAAAAGTTTTCTTCTCTAGAACCACAGGGCCGAACAGAAAGATGGAACATTTGAGGGTTTCCAAATAAGTGCAAATTCTCATTTTTTCCAAGTCATGGCCCCCCAGGGATACTAGTAGATGAATCAAGGAAGTTATTTGGGAAAAATCATTGAAAATAAATCACTGGGTAAGTAAAAATTTAAGTGTACATGTATGTATCAGGAAGTACCTAACTAGACTCTCTAATGAAATTACCGGTATAAATATTCACCCTGCAGCTGAAATGACAATACACAATATATTATAGTCGTATATGTATATTTTAGTGAATTTACGGAATCAAAAGTCCGTAAATATGAGGAATAACTGTCATATTGTGTGTGTGTGTGTATGAGAGAGGGTGTGTGTCGTGATGTAGCTTGCATGATAATTTTATGCATAAACGCCGTATGTAAGGTGTCTGTTTGTCTTTTCACTTATGCCTGAGAAGGATTTTATCGAAATGCGTTTACATTGCGCATGGGTGGAAGATCTGAGGAGAATATTGTTACATGTAATTATGTTTTCACTTCCTTTTCCTTCCATAAGAAAACTCCAACTGCTTGGATCCAAAAATAAAATTAACCGTTTGATGATGAAAAAAAGTGATTTTTTGCAAAATTGACACACAGAGCCGCTTCAAGTTCTAAAGTAACACAAATGTCTAGTCACTTAATATTACGACGTAGAGAGAACATCACTCGTAAGTTTTAAAAAATAGCAACAATAACGCTGGATTATCTATTGTAATTTAAAAAATAACAATAAAACTTGCAGTAGCATTATGTACATGTGTATGTACAAATTAAGGTTTTTCCTTCACATGGATATTTATAATTATCCATGAATATTCCTAAGTGCATCCAGGAGAAAGGAGATGCGGAAACGTTGTATAAACCCATAAAAATATGTATAAAGACAAGGGAAATGATTAAGTTAAAAACCTCTATCCGGTGTTGACTATATAGGAACAGGTGCTTTCCTTCTCCGGAAGATATTCAGTATTGTCTCCCGCGCCCTAACAACATGACAGAGTTGTACGTCCACAACCTAATGAACGGGCTTTACGATGATACTGAAGTTTCAGGTGAGCTTCATACACTTTTTATAGGAGTGATTGTAGATTTGTTAGTTTGTAATGTTGTTTAACGTCCCTCCCGAGAATTTTTCACTCATACGGAGAAGCCACCACTTGCCGGTGGAGAGGTGCAAATTTTGTCCTATACTCGGCACTTAGGGCCATTGAGCAGAGAGGGATCTTTTTCGTGTCAGTACCTTCCGCGACACGGGGCCTCGGTTTATACGGTCTCATCCAAAGGACCGGTCCCACGCAGTGGGATTCGAACCTGGGAAGTAAGGATCAACTCCTTACTTCGCGACTGTGGAGCACACGCTCTAACCACTGCGCCACGTCTGCGACGTGTGATTATAGATAGGCCTAGTTATAGCATTTAACATCATCTGTAAATTCATACAAAGACGTATTTAAGGTTCCTGTTATATCTCTAATTTGTGTCTGAATGAAAAAAACAAGAGAAGATCACAATTTTTAAGATTTATTAAAGAGTATCACATTCATATTTTAATCATATGCTGATGAATTTTCTTTCAGATTTTAATTTGAGATCTTATATTGAAAATGTAGGCCTTTACTAATAAAACTGAACCAAGAAAAGTAGTAGAATTAAACTGGAATTTTTCTGGCTAGGAAAGAAATTCTATTAATCAACGTTACTTCCAAATATTTTGTAATAAAACATGTTTCCAATGTGAAGATTGTTATATGCGTCAATCACATCTTTACTAAATTTGCAGCCAGTTTTGAAAATAAAAGATTTTTTTTTTTGAGTTTTGAAGATTATACGTCATCAATGTTATCTACACCTATGAAGTAAATACAGTATCTTTGTAATGTTTCCCACACTTGATGCCAAAAAAGAAAAAAATAAAGATACAAGTATGCATAAAAACGAAACGAATTAATAATTATAAAAATAAACAATTTCATAAATTATAGTCATTGGAAGCATTTTATTTGTTTATATAACCATACCACACATTTACACATTAAAATGTATACAGTAATACTCGACTGAAGTTTTTTCCTTTATTAAAGAGGCTATTAAGATATGCATATAGATAGTCCGTAAATTTTATCATTTATTAATTTTATTGTAGAGGTAAAGACTTCAGACGAGAAGAAGCTGCCAATTCAGGATTATTTCCTTACATCTGTTTTGGTAGCATGTCTGTGTTTCTACATGCCGACGGGGCTGTTAGCGGTCAAATACGCTACAAAGGTAACTCACGTCTGCGGTCTTATATGCCGACAGGTTTGTTAGCGGTCAGGTACGCTACAAATCATCAAATTTGACCTCTTGACCTTGAAGTTAAACCCAAATTACGAAAGAATTCCACGCTTTAACCTTTGCCATAACTTTTGAACAGTTGGATCTAGGACTTTCATGTTTCACATGTGTATTCCTTGTGACATGTCCTTTCAACGGGTACAACATTTTTGACCTTTTGACCTTGACATTAGAGCTTGAACCACTTTTTAAAAAACTTAAAACTTGGCCATAACTCTTGGACAGTTAGAAATAAGGCTTTTATATTTCACAGGTATATTCCTTGTGACAAGACCTTCCTTTGGGTACCAAAAATTGTAACCCCTTGACCTTGACCTTTTGAGTTTGACATGTATTTGAAAAACTTCAACCCTCGTCATAAGCTACTGAGATGAAAAGCAACAAGAAAGCCTAAACATCGCAAAAATTACATTTACATGTACACACCAAAACAGAAGCACTAAACGTTAAACCTTTCTCTTCGTTGATGAAAATATCCCCATATTATTAGAGAAAGGTTTAAAAGGTCAAGTGCCTGTGCACAAAGAGTTTGCACCTGTATCTAAAAAAGCGCATGTGAACGGGCTTTTAAAACAAACGTACGCGTAAAACTATGCAGTTTCTATCATTTTGCCTAGCCCAGTACTAACCGCTAGCTTTTCTAATTTATCCTTTTTATCAAAATGATCTAACTGAGTAATCTAACTGATTTTTTTCAAACATTGATCGAGAAAAGCACAGGAACATTTACATAATAATTTTATTTTTAAAAATGTAATTACTCATATGACAGAAAATACGTTTCTGCCTTCGTTGTTTAAAAGTGTAGTGTGTTCGTATAGAACCGTTAAGGAGCGCATTTTGTCGACTTCCCGATATAGTTAATATCACTTAAAGCTAGGGGAATTTAGATGACGGAAATGATAAAGAGATCAGTCAAAGTACACTTAAAGGGATTTGTGTAGAACTAAAAGGGTGTATACTTAAATACTTCTGTACAATGAATACGGAAAAGGTTTTGTTTATTTGTTTTTATAGTTTGTTTTGGTTTGATATGTTTTTTTCCCTCAAAATGATGAATATTTTAAGAGTAACAACTTTTACATACATAAAGAGTTTGACTATACTGTCAGACACTGAAAAGAATATTAATATAGCTTTGCTAAGTAGAAAAAGATATGGAGATAACGAACAGTATTCAATCTCAAAGTCCATAAAACATACAAAATAGAGTAGAGCAAACATGGACCTCCGAAACATCAGAGGTGGGATCAGGTGCCATGGAGGTGTGAGCATTTACTTTGCTAAGTAACATTTTCCTGTTACAATCAATTACCTCTTTCGAAATACGTAGAAATAAAACTCTTAAAGCTTCTCAACGATTGACAGTTCAAATTTATATGGCGCAAAGGAAATGACATCATCTGATCTATTGTATTACAGGCCAGGAGTTCTTTACGTGAGGGACTGGAAGAAGAGGCTGAGAGGTACTCTCGGAAGTCCTTAGTGCTGATCCTTACCACACTTCTTACCTTACCAGTCTTACTTATTACGGCGAAGGTCACGTAAAATTAGGATCCGCTCCTTTGTTTGACAGTTTAATTTATGGACAATTAAATCACTTTTGATTGCCATTAAACATATTCTCGGAAACTCATGGTAACAGAGACAGGTACAGTCTTTAAGGTTGAAGTTCCGGACGATGAAGTGACGAATACTGATCTACAATCAGAACTGAATGAAGAGTCGGTCTTTAGTGTCAAAAACGTTATTTTTTTTCAATTTTTATGTGTTTTGTAGCTTTTTATTGCTTTGAACATATTTAATTGAATAAATTATAGTATTCGAAACACGTTCTAAAGACTACCAGGTTCTTTTCTTTTATATTTATTCAATTTGTCATGCAGAATAAATTTATTAAAGAATTCTGAATTTTATAAGTTATACATTGTCAAATGGAATCTATCGTCGCAAACCACGGCCAAAATGTACGATCCTTTCCCATTCTGGCCGTGGTTGAATGAGAGGAGAATATTTCGTACTTCATTAAAATTTTGACCAATGCAAGTAAAACATAGTCGGAAAATGAACTTTCTTGTGACCTTTCAATAGCCAATCACACTTTCTTGTTTACTGATGATGTCAATGTTGATTGAATTAAGAAATAAATAACATTCCCATTGAAGTTTATAAACTTGTTATTTATTACTTATATATACATTTGAGACAGACTATTGAATATTTTCGAAGATTAATTATTGCACTAACCGTCCGTCGTACAGTGGCATGCAAAAGTGAAGATAATTTTATTTTTTCTCTATATATTTTATTGAAAACAACATTTTTTAAAATCATAGGTTAAAGGTCAATTTTTGTCCCATTTAATTATTTATTTCATTACTTAAACCAGAAAATGTGTAGTTATCTTTCTTTAAAAGATCATTACACGTTTAATATGTAGTAAAATATAGTTCATCACTAAACATCAGTTCTAAAATTCAAGATCAATGTTGACTATATAATTCATTGTGAGTATATGACTTAAAAATTCATGTCACACTAAAGTTAAAATAATTTTAAATTATCAATGCTTATCAGATAAAAACTATTGTTTTTTTTAACTACAACAATTTCTTGGATTATCAAGAAATTTTTGATAAAATCTGTCAAGAAATGTTGTCATACCAGCGATTTTACAAAATATTGTTTTCAATGAAATATATAAAGAAAAAATAAAATTATCTTCACTTTTGGCACACAACTGTAGATTTTGAAAAATGACGCAAGGTGTAAATCGGCTTGAATGGCGGTTACGCTTCGAATTCATTAGGCTAAGGATTTTATTTCTAAGGGACTATTTTTGTGAAATGCTACTTGTGATCAGTATGATAGTGAACAGATTGTTGTCTGGGAATATTTCTATTCGTGAAAATTGATAATCAATGCTGAAAAGACACAAGAAACACGTCCGAAGATCGATGATAAAAAGTTGGAGGAATTTCGGTCGCTAGAAAGGGATGGATGATCCGATGGATGGAAACACTTGACCGTGCCAGTTAATTTGCAATCAAGTATTTAAGATAAAAAACTTCTACGATTTCAATAACTAAAGGCATATTTATGATGTAAACAAATCACGAGGACACTAGCGAAAGCTTACATTGAACTACGACAGCGCCGAGGTGTTTGTCAGCTGTTCGTGGCGTGATTGCAATGCTTTGATTGCTTTGATATTTTCCAACAGAATTACACATTTATCGTGAGTAGAATTTGATGAAAAAATTAAAGTTTATCATGAAGATTTAACTAAAAGTCTACCCCCAAAATAAGGATAAACGTTAGAGACTGTACAGCTGAAAAAAAGTGACATAAAACTTGTAAACAAAAGCTAGTTTCTATCGGTAGATTCTCCATGTACACAGGTTAAATCGATAGCCAAAAAAAAAAAAACTGTACGAAATACTTGTTAAGGTTGTAAATAAAATAATTATTATTCTGCTTGCATATTTTGTTCATTTTTATACATGAAAAGCAAGTAGAGCAAGTCATTTTATATTTATGCACCGGTAGATATTATTGCGCCGTGTGATTAGGTCACGTATTGACCTCTGACCTCAGACAAATTTAAGATATTTGTTCTCCGTATGTTTATATAATAGAGAGATACCACAAATGTATAATATTTATATTTAGTTTTACAAATACATGTATATGACGTCACAATAACGTTACGTCATAATACTCCTTAAACGTAGGGGAAAACCTACACTGTGTACAAAAGGTTGTTTACTCGTTGCTATGCTTGCTAGTTCACGTTCATCACAAACAAAGTTTCATCTGAAAGGCTTTGATTGCTCCGACAGAGTCATGGCTTACGGATTCCATATAGACGGAATAAGTCCTTATATGGGCAGCGATTTTGAAGTGAATCCAAACTTGTATGAACCTTGGGCAGATAGCGAGGAAGCAGAGGACACATTGATAGAGAAGTTGGTAGGCCGAGTGATATTAGCCAGCATTCACGGAGAAGGATACGGAATCAGTATGTATCAATATAAAATTTATTCATTTCTTAATTAATCATTTCTCTGTGTAGTTCTGTTGCAAATTGAAAGATCTGTAATCAAATATTTGAATTTTTTAATTTCGCTATTTTTTTTAAATGATTAGATTATAATATTTTTTTTTACAAATGTAAGTTTAAAAAATAAGTTTTAATTTTAATATTACATGTCAACGCCTCAAACGCACCCCAGTAGTGCTGGTACTTTTTATTTTGAAAAAGCTCTGAACTAAGTTAGGATCTTTTCATTAAAGTTTCTATGTTTAAGATGAGTTATTTTTTTGTTGATATGTACCTCAAAAAAGATGACAGACTTTATTATACCCCCCGCTTGAAAAGTGGGAGGGTATATAGTAATCGGTATTTCCGTCCGTCCGTCTGTTACGCTTTGGCGTACCCATCTCTTATCCACAACTCCTCTCAAACCACAGAAGGAAATTTGATGAAACTTTCACAGAATCTTTATTACATATTGCCATTGTGCACCTCCTATTATACTTTTTGATTCGACATATATTTTGGATTTTCCAGAGGAAAACATGGATACTGCCATTATATTCATATGGGAGGCGGGGGGTATTATTTAGTGAGCTGATTGCTCACAGTACCTCTAGTTTAATTGTGTGTTTTTAAATGGTTAAAAGAGTAAGTGAAATCTGACAGCTAAGTTGATTTTGAAAATCAAGGATTATATAGTTCATCGATTAAAAATTTTCTCTCCTAGTAAAAAAACGGTTACTTTTGGAATTTACTGTCCAAAAACGACTTAACGATTTTGTCCAAATGTGCATACATATAGTAGATACAGTGTGCATATGTATCAAGTATACAAAAAAGCGAAAATTAAATGACTGGAAAAAATTTGGGGGTGGGTGTGTTGTACATTCTTAATAGAATTAAGAAATAAGGTATCTTTTTTTTTTTAGTTTTATTGGGATGTAAAACGGATTTTACATCCCAATAAAACTAAAAAAATGATACCTTATTTACTTATATTTACATTTGTGACTGATTTATTCAAAGGGTAGACTTTACTTTACCGGTCCCCAGATCCGCAAGATCCTCGCGCTCATTGGACTATGACGTAACAACTACGTCACTCAACTGAAATGGGTTAAATCTGCACACTATTCGACTGATTAGGGTTAGTCTTGCACCCACCTGAGAGATTAGGGTTAGTCCTTGCACTAGTATTTGACTGATTAGGGTTAGTCTCGCGTCCATCCGAGAAATTAGGGTTAGTTCTCGCACATTATTCGACTGATTAGGGTTAGTTTAGCATCTGCCCGGGAGATTTCGTCTGAACGTCTTAGTCCTTGCATACCATCCGATGGATTAGGGTTAGTGAATCGTTCTTTTAGTTAAGTTAAGAAATTCAGTTGTTTCTGTAATTTTTCCAAGATCATAATTCAGATTCATAGGCATTTCCTTCGTTTGTTTACATGGAAGATTAGCTAAGTCCGAAAGAAATGATTAAGCATGCGCTGCACGCGCTTCGTTCAGAATTATTCTTTGTCGATTTTTTCCATGAACAAACAACTATTAATTAATTTTTTTCAGAGAACGAGGTTAAAACTTTGTTTAAAAACAAAGTTTTAAACTAAACTTTTAACCGTAGAATTCAATTTTGGGGTCAAAAGGCCAAAAAACCTCGTATTTAAAATTTTTTTCGATCGCTCACGCGATCTCATATATACTGAAGTCGTCTTCGGCGACACTACATTTTAGCGCGTTTTTCTGGGGACCGGTAAAGTAAAGTCGTTCCTATTCAAATATTAAAGTACAAAAGTTTTAAACCCGTAAACGATTTTTTTTTCAAAACTCAACGGTATAATTTGAATAAGTTGAACACGTCGATCGCTTATGACTGAGGTCAATATGAAATTACGTAGACCGTTCATGACTACAAAATCCGCCTTAAGCTTTTTCAAGGAGTGTTATATAAGGGCAAACATTTGCAAATGTAAATATTAGACTTTAAAAAAGAAAAAAAAACAGGAAGGGATGACTTCGTGGTCGGGAGGTATACTTGTTCGAATCTCGCGTTTTCGGCATCTCGTCAAACCTAAGACCCGTTATAAACATGTAGGTATAATGACAGTTCCTTCGCTTAAGAGAGTACATGAGACCTTTAAAGGACCTATGCAACGTACCTTACCTACTGATAATTTTCATGATACCGGTATTCTAAATTTACAATATAGTACCATTACATGTTCTTAGACAAAAAATTAGCATGCCTTACCTGGTTTACCAGAGGTTTTAAACAAATATCAAAGGATAAAAATTCATGTATTATTCAAAAAAAAAAAATAATAAAAAATTACTACACGTAAATTTCAGATTTTCTTCATCAAATATTGTTTTAGAAGAGGTGTACAACAACAAATATATATATACATTAAAAGTATTGCACACAGGTGAAGTGGACCTCTTCAACTCCAGGGAAAAAGCCAATAATGTTAAAACTATGTTGTGTATGTCCTTATAACTGAGGTCTCGTGTCACGATAAGATGTGTCATGAAAAAGTAAGTTCTTTATTTGAAAACCTTCACAGGTAGTATAGATTTTAGTTAATTACCTCTTTTTGTCCCCCGCTTTCGCGAAAGCGAGGGGACATTAAATCTCATTCGTCTGTCCGTCAGTCTGTCCGTCCGTCACAAAAACTTTAACCTTGAACATAATGTTTGATTTAGTGGAGCTATGACTGTCATGTTTCACATGTGTATTCCTTGTTACAAGACCGTTCTTTGGGTACCACCAAATTTAACCTTTTGACCTTGGAGTTTGACCCACTTTTACACAAAAATTCCAAACTTTTACTTTGGCCATAACTTTTGAATGGTAGGTTCTAGGACTTTCATATTTCACATATATATGTATTTTTTGTGGCAAGACCTTTCATTGGATACCAACAACTTTGACCTTTTGACCTTGACCATGGAGATTTACATACTTATGAAAAAACGTTGATCTTGACCATAACTTTTGAACGGTAAGGGCTAGGGCTTTTATACTTCACATATGTAATTCATGCGAAAAGACTTTTATTGGATACCAAGACCTTTGACCCTTTGACCTTGACCTTTGAGTTTTAACTCCTTTTTAAAAACTTTAACCTTGGTCACAACTTTTGAACGGTACATACCAGGACTTTCATATTTAACATTTGTATTCTTTGTGGCAAGACTTTCATTGGATACCAACAACTTTGACCTTTTGACCTTGACCTTGGAGATTTACGTACTTATGGAAAAACTTTAACCTTGACCATAACTTTTGAACGGTAAGGGCTAGGGCTCTCGTACTTCACAGATATAATCCTTGTAAGAAGACCTTTCATTGGATACCAAGAATTAAAACCCTTTGACCTTGACTTTGGAGTTTTAACTACTTTTTAAAAACTTATATTGAGAAGACATAGGGCTTTCATATATGACAGGTACATTACATGTGACAAGATAATTCCGAGCAAGCTATGATTTCTTACCCCTTGACATTGACCTTCAAGATTGACCTTATTTTTAAAAAAAATCAACTTGAGTGATAAATTCTAAAAAATTGATATATGATAGGGTGTTCATATTAGACACAATATGTCATAAAAAATAACATCTCACCCAAAAAGACACCGAAAGCGGGGGACCACAATTCTTTGAATTTGCTTGTCGCTCTTCATTTCGATCGGCGTTAAGCAATTTCTTCGCTTATTGGCCAGCCTTTTCAAAGCCGGTGGGTTGATGGGCGGAGTTAATTTAAATCCAAATGAATTAAAGAAAAAACAAAACATTTTCTAATTTCCCACTAGACAAAAGAAATACCCAAGACAGATACATATAAAATACATGGTTACTATCTTGAAATTTAAGCGATATTTGGGCGAGGGTAAGAAAACGTGATAGAGGGCGAGGCTTGCCGAGCCCTCTCACGTTTTCTACCCGAGCCCAAATATAGCTTATATTTCAAGACATTTATCATGTATTTTGTTTATCCTGCAACAAAATTTTACATTTAAATCCAAAACAAGCTATTTCCGACAGATTTAGGCTCATCTCTGGCGTAAACATCGCCATGGCGTAAACATTGCAGTATACGTGACGTCACAATGCTTTTAGAACGTCGGAATACATGCACGAGGCTTTATTAGGGCAGTGACCGGATAAAGCTTTGGTTTTTTAGGTTACCTTTATTAAGTCAATGCAAGGGGTAGTTGCAGGATAAATACTAAATGGTAGGCATCATATGAGCGACAAATTCTTGCAAAGGGCATAAAACAAGAGACAGCAACAACAGAAACTTGTTTAGGAAGGTCATCTGGTTTTAACAGAAGGCGAGCTATTAGGAAGGTCACCTGCTTTTTCCCATGAGAGCTATAATGCGCCGTTTGCTGATATATGTAACGATGTTGCACAGTCGTTTTGCATATATTTTAAGCCAAGGGTATGCTCAGAGAAAAAGTCTAGTGGGAAGCGGTTTATAAAGATGCGTAAACTGCCCCAAGTTATGTTATATCGTATAATATAAGTTGAAATAAGCTTCATTCCTTATAATTTAATTTCAGTACATACAATGATACAATTTTTCCTCTGGAAAAAGCTTCAAATATAGCATATTTTAAAAGTAACGTCAAGCGGAGTAATACGTTTTTGACGTAAGTCATTGTAACGTAGGCAAGTTATGTTATACAAAATACTATATGTTCCTCTGAATGCTTCAGCCAATGAAGTTGCTTGATACAAGTTAAATTAAATTATATAAAATTAACGCAGTTCATCTCTTTAACAGCTAGTGAAGAAGACGGCCGGCTGATGACACACGAAGAGGCCTCAAACGATCTGAAAAGAATTCAGACTTCTAGCCATAGTAAAAAACGGCACCATCAAAAACAGAGGAAAAGACAAAAGAAAGGAAGAAAAGAAGACAAGGAATGTGGAGTCACCGTGAAAAATGCCCACCCCATGTACCCCTGGGTTAATGTAAAACTACCAAATTTCAGGTACATGAATGTATTTTGAAAACCAATTTACAGTGAAACCATAAATAATTCCTCGTCTTTGCGAGGGATTACTGTATTTCTCATTGATGAGTGTCAAACTACCGCTGTATTTTTTAATGAGACATAAAATATATTTTCTCCCCAAATCTCTTCACCTGAAATAATTTTTACATAGAAAAAAAAATGGCGGCATAAGGTGTAAAAAAAAGTTACATATTTTTGAGTTTTTCCTCTCTGAAATTCTTACATTAAAAAAAGAGATGAGGAGTAAATCAACCTCCAAAGTTTAAATCCTTTGAAAGAAATACTTTTTCACTGTTTTATCTGCAACAAGAATATGCAGTTTGCATGCTTATTTGCCCATGTTCTTTGTCATAATCTTTAATTGTGTGTATATCGGATTGTCCTCTGATTCGGAACCTCAATATTCAACCTTTTATTCCTTAAGGTCAAGATCTAGTAAATGAAAGATGCCTATAGATTTATCAAATTTGAGAAGTAAATTCTTTAATGATGCTTTACAGCTTTAGCTTGGTCAAATAAGGTGTTGCGGGACATAATTTGTAGGTAAACAAGATGAAAAACTATATTTTAAACTGTCATCTTCGATGAAAAATTAAGAAAACCAGCCATGAATATGGGAGTTTTTTTCATATTCGACAAAGAAAATACATTCAGATTGCCTACAGTATCTCAGAAAACGGTAATTTGTATATATGTTCATGGCCTCTTCTTTAAAATAATATCAAATTTAATATAGGTATCCAGAAATACTCTTTATATGATTTCAAATTGAATGCCATAAAAATACCCTATTTCTACTTAATTCTGCTAAAACCGTAAAGTACCGGAAGAAGAAAGTCGAAATTGATTATGACGTCATTAGCACCAAAAAATTAGTCTAAGTCATTTACTTGATCTTGACCTTAATTTATACGAGACCAACAAAGTTATTACACGATACATTTAGAGTCTCTTATGCATGTCAGTGCCTGCATTTACAATTTTGTATTGACTTGATATGCAATAGTCCTTGGAATAGTCCTGCATTCCTAATACAATCTGAGTTGATTTAAACATATTTTATTGAAACGTAATCAATGGGATCAGACACAAGTTATTCCAACTTAGAATGTCCTCTCCAACACAAACAAAGAAAAAACAAATTTATATGCACGTGATGAACAACAAACAAATCTACAATGCAAAAAAGAAGAAAAGGGTGCAGAGAGATAAAAACGGAAGGGAATAGGAGTGCAAGGAAAGATGAAAGAGGGAAGGGGATGTAAAGGATACAGAATGGTTACGCTTGCTGTTCAAAAAATCTTTTCGAATTTTCAATATACTTGTGTACGGCTTTACCAATATTGATATCACATGTATTTTGTTGACCCAAGTTTGGGTCCCCAAAAAGAATTTTGTCATGGTCTATTTCTCCTTTGTTATTATTTGAGTTTTCGATGTGCGGACATCAAAGTTAAATACATGTTTAATGTGTGTTTTGCATCAGAGCAAGATTGTATATATTTAAAGATAAAAATTTTTTCTTAAGACTTTTTAAAGGATTTCTTTTTCCATTTTGCAATAGGTATATGGTTTTATCTGAAGTGGAATCTCGTGCGCGAGCAGTTCACGATTACTACGCCAAGCAGTGGTGTGGGGTATTGGACGATAGGTTCCGTAGCTACGTAGACCTACATAGAAGTCTGGGTAAAACCTTTTTAGTTAAACTTTTCATTTCAAATTTTCTTGACAATGAAAGCTGTAATTTTCACCTGAACCTTACACTCCTGAGAAGACGAACATTTAAAGGAGGGGAGCAAATTTTGTCGTAATAGAATACCGGTATTTAACTCTATGCCCTCAACAAAATGCATGTATTTATTGCAAAGAGGAATAGGATTAGATTAGTGCCCGATTCTGAAAATGACAAATCGCATCATTTTGAGCTGTTCAAGTATGCCCTTTCGAACTTCTTGGAACGGCACTAGAACCATTATGATGTGAATAAAAAAAGCCTATAATTGATTCAAATTTACATGTTTATTACATTTTTACCCGTGAAATACTGTAATTTATTCATTGAATAAAAATGATATCCTGTCACAGTGTGAAAGGATATCAAAATGATATCCTGTCACAGTGTGACAAATATCAGAAGTGCGGGAAAACTCTCGATTTCCCTTCCCATAACGAAGATTGTTGTAACAAAATCTTCTTTGACCTAATATAAGATAGATGGAAATAAATAAACCATTCTGACAGCGAGTAAAACTGTAAAAATTACCAAAAATATGTTGCTAAATCCATGTTTACAGTGTTTTACCTCACTTAGCTATGACGTCTCAACCGCTCAACTATGACGTCACGAGCCTATGACTGTATTACAAAAAGACAGAGGCAAAGGAAAAATCAAAGATTTTTTTTTAAAAATGTAATAAACAGAAAATTCAATGTTTTGTAGTTGAATATGGAATTTATTTCACTCGTGAGACAGGATATTCAACTACAAAACATTGAATATCCTCTATATATTCTTTATTTAAGGAATATTTTAAAGTTTTATGTGAGTTATTTAAGAAATAAAATATCATTTTTAGAGTTTCATTGGGGTATGACATGAAGTTGGTACGTGATCAAATGTACAATATAACGCCGTAAGACATGAAGTCGGTCACGTGATCAAATTCTATAACGCCCGAAGGTCGTTATAGTAAATTTGATCACGTACCAACTTCATGTCATACCCCAATGAAACTCTAAAAATGATATTTTATTTCTTATATTTATAATTTACGTATTTATTCATGTTACATAGAGAATAATACATACCCTTTTCCACATCACATCCTGTATCAGCCCTCGACCAATATAAGCCCTCGGGCTGATATTGGTGTCTCGGGCTGATACAGGATGTGATGTGGAAAAGGGTATGTTTTATTATATTTATTACATACTTAGTAATAAAATACAGAACATTAATGATAACTTGAGAAGAAAATAAGTAAATAATCATGCACAGACTTCTTAAAATGTACATAGTCTATTGTCTCATACAGTTTCGGCTTGTTTCTGCATGTACTTCTATTTCAAATGTCCCCAATCCGTAATTTTAAAATAATCTATTATTTAATATCAGTTAGATTATCATGGAATTAAAAAAGTTAAAACTAAGAGAATTATGTAAACCCCAAAATATGTGTATGATCACAAGTACTGTTTTTAGCTCTACTGGTCAGAGACCAGAAGAGCTTATGCGATAGTAAGGTGTCCGTCGTCCGTCCGTCTAGCTGTCTGTCTGTCCGTCTGTCTATAAACAATTTTTCAAAACGCTACTCCTCCTACAGTTTTGGTCTGATTTTAATATAACTTGGCACACAAGTAGACTACACTAAGATACATAAAATAGTGCATCGGTTTTTGATTTCGATGAACGGTGTTGCCATGGTTACTAAAAATAGAATTTTCTGTGAAATTCCTTTAAAATGCTACTCTTCCTACAGTTTTGATCTGATTTTAGTATTACTTGGCACACAAGTAGACTGCACTAAGATACATAAAATAGTGCATCGGTTTTTGATTTTGATGAACGGTGTTGCCATGGTTACTAAAAATAGAATTTTCTGTGAAATTCTTTTAAAATGCTACTCCTTCTACAGTTTTGGTATGATTTCAATTAAGAAATAAATAACAAGTTTATAAACTTCAATGGGAATTGAAGTGGGTCGGTCACTTGATCAAATCCTGTGAAGGCCGAAGGCCTTCTCAGAAGATTTGATCACGTACCGACACACTTCAATTCCCATTGAAGTTTATAAACTTGTTATTTATTACTTATATATACATTTGAGACAGACAATTGAATATTTTCGAATTTAAATTATTGCACTAACCGTCCGTCGTAGATTTTGAAAAATGACGCAAGGTGTAAATCGGCTTGAATGGCGGTTACGCTTCGAATTCATTAGGCTAAGGAATCTATTTCGAAGGGAATATTTTGTGAAAGGCTGCTTGTGATCAGTAATAGTGAACAGATTGTTGTCTGGGAATATTTTATTCGTGAAAAATGATAGTCGATGCTGAAAAGACACAAGAAACACGTCCGAAGTTTGATGATAAAAAGTTGGAGGAATTTCGGTCGCTGGAAAGGGATGGATGGATCATGGACTGAGACACTTGTTCGAGCCAGTTAATTTGCAATTTGATCAAAAACATTCCACGGTTTCAGCAACTAAAGGCATACTTATCGTAAAACACTGATAAACACGGAGACACTGGCGACAGCTTTACATTGAACTACGAAAACGCCGAGGTGTTTGGCAGCTGTTCATGGCATGATTGCAAAGATATTTTCCAACAGATTTACACATTTATCGTGAGTAAAATTTAAAGATAAAATAAAAGTTTATCATGAAAATTTAACCAAAGGTCTTTTAAAAAATAAGGATGAACGTTAGAGACAGTGCAGCTGACAAAAGTGAAGAAAAATGTAAACAAACGCTAGGCTCCTAGTTTTCTCTATGTACACAGGTTAAATCGATAGCCCAAAAACTGTATGAAATACTTGTTTACATTTAAAATAAAATAATATTATCATTTTACTTGCTTATTTTATTCATTTTTAGCTCTACTGGTCAGAGACCAGAAGAGCTTATGCGATAGTAATGCGTCCGGCGTCCGTCCGTCTGTCTGTCTGTCTGTCTGTCCGTCTGTCTGTAAACAATATTTCAAAACGCTACTCCTCCTACAATTTTAGTCTGATTTCAATATTACTTGGCACACAAGTAGACTACACTAAGATACATAGAATAGTGCATCGATTTTTGATTTCGATGAACGGTGTTGCCATGGTTACTAAAAATAGAATTTTCTGTGAAATTCCTTTAAAACACTACTCCTTCTACAGTTTTGGTCTGATTTCAATTTAACTTGGCACACAAGTAGACTACAGTAAGATACATAGAATAGTGCATTGGTTTTTGATTTCAATGAACGGTGTTGCCATGGTTACTAAAAATAGAATTTTCTGTGAAATTCCTTTGAAACGCTACTCCTTCTACAGCTTTGGTCTGATTTCAATATAACTTGGCACACAAGTAGACTACACTAAGATACAAAGAATAGTGCATCTGTTTTTGATTTCGATGAACGATGTTGCCATGGTTACTAAAAATAGAATTTTCTGTGAAATTCCCTTGAAATGCTACTCCTTCTACAGTTTTGGTCTGATTTCAATTTAACTTGGCACACAAGTAGACTACAGTAAGATACATAGAATAGTGCATTGGTTTTTGATTTCAATGAACGGTGTTGCCATGGTTACTAAAAATAGAATTTTCTGTGAAATTCCTTTGAAATGCTACTCCTTCTACAGTTTTGGTCTGATTTCAATATAACTTGGCACACAAGTAGACTACACTAAGATACATAGAATAGTTCATCTGTTTTTGATTTCGATGAACGATGTTGCCATGGTTACTAAAAATAGAATTTTCTGTGAAATTCCTTTGAAATGCTACTCCTTCTACAGTTTTGGTCTGATTTCAGTATAACTTGGCACACAAGTAGACTACACTTAGATACAAAGCATAGTGCATAAGTTTTTGATTTCAATGAATGGTGTTGCCATGGTTACTAGAAATAGAATTTTCCGTGAAATTCCTTTAAAACGCTACTCCTTCTACAGTTTTAGTTTGATTTCAAAATAAGTTGGCACACAAGTAGACTACACAAAGAAACTTAAAATAGTGCAATGGTTTTTGATAAGTACAAACCAGTAGAGCTACAGTCTCGACAGAGACTTCTGGTTATACATGAAAAGCAAGCAGAGCAGGTCATTTTATAATTCATGTACCGGTAGATATTATTGCGCCGTGTGATTAGGTCACGTATTGCCTTCTGACAAACTTCATACAGAATTGAAGATATTTTCTCTCTGTATGTTTATATAATGGAGGGATACCACAAATGTATATATTATTACTTGGCACACAAGTAGACTACACTAATATACAGGAAAAGTGCATCCGTTTTTGATTTCAATGAAGGGTATTTCCATGGTTACTAAAAATAGAATTTTCTGTGAAATTCCTTTAAAATGCTACTCTTCCTACAGTTTTGATCTGATTTTAGTATTACTTGGCACACAAGTAGACTACACTAAGATACATAAAATAGTGCATCGGTTTTTGATTTCGATGCTCTGATTTAATATTACTTGGCACACAAGTAGACTACACTACGATGCATAAAATAGTGCATCGGTTTTTGATTTCGATGAACGGTGTTGCCATGGTTACTAAAAATAGAATTTTCTGTGAAATTCCTTTAAAATGCTACTCTTCCTACAGTTTTGATCTGATTTTAGTATTACTTGGCACACAAGTAGACTACACTAAGATACATGAAATAGTGCATCGGTTTTTGATTTTGATGAAAGGTGTTGCCATGGTTACTAAAAATAGAATTTTCTGTGAAATTCCTTTAAAATGCTACTCCTCCTACAGTTTTGATCTGATTTTAGTATTACTTGGCACACAAGTAGACTACACTAAGATACAGGAAATAGTGCATACGTTTTTGATTTCAATGAAGGGTATTTCCATGGTTACTAAAAATAGAAATTTTCTGTGAAATTCCTTTTAAAGCTACTCCTCCTAACAGTTTTGGTCTGATGGCAATGGCTTCTTTTCTCATCCTTTGTTATAAGTTCAAACCAGTAGAGCTACAGTCTCGACAGAGACTTCTAGTTTTAAGGTTAATTTACTAGGGATGTGATATTGATCCGTATCAGCCCTGTAGGGCTGATAACCAATATCAGCCCCGCAGGGCTGATATGGCTATTGTGACGTCAGCCATTTTGCATATGCAAAAATCCTGTATTTATTACTAAGTATGTAATATATAAAATACATTGTTACTGTCTTGAAATATAAGCGATAATTGGGCGAGGGTAAGAAAACGTGATAGAGGGCGAGGCTTGCCGAGCCCTCTTACGTTTTCGACCCGAGCCCAAATATCGCTTATATTTCAAGACAGTTATGGTGTATTTTGTATATCCTGCAACAAAATTTTTAACATTTGAATGTCCAAAACAAGCTATTTCCGACAGATTTAGGCACATCTCTGCAGTTGAAACTATGGCGTAAACATTGCAATAATATACATGACGTCACAATGCTTTTAGAACGTCGGAATAAATGCACGAGGCTTTATTATGGCAGTGACCGGATAAAGCTTTGGTTTATTAGGTTACCTTTATTAGGTCAATGCAAGGGGTAGTTGCAGGATAAAAAAAAATATATAGGCATTTTTTATGTAGACTTTAATTTTGAAATGCAACAACGTATCTATGACGTTATGTGACGTCACAGTCGGAACTTTCCTAAATTGCTCGTGCAATTTGCTTTCCATACGCAAGAAAGTCTGATCACGTGACCAAATGCATGTCATTGAAAATTGAATTTCAATTTTATTATCATTGTTATACATGTATAAGGAAAGACATCAGCAAATGTAAATATTGGTGTGTAAATCACACAGACTTGTCACGGAGGTCTATTTCGATTAAGCGCGCTATCATGCAGTAAATGTATATTTCAATAAAAATTCAGACAGACCCTCATTGATACTACGTGCCTGTATGTACATTTGGAATTTGTCGTTAAAATACTAGTAAGTACACGTTGTATAAAAAAATATTTCAGAGAGAGAAAAAAGACTGGGTGAAAAATTACAGCAAGCATTAGAAGAAATTCACCACCAACGAAAGGAAAACGAGAATCTCAAGACTGAGGTTTGAAACTCCCTCTCTCTCTTTCTTTTTTTTTTTACAAACACACACACACACACAAACATAAACATTAGACATTGGAGAAGTCTCTAGTTTATAACTTGTAACAAAAATTTTCCAGATTGAAAATATAAAGAAATCGAGAAAACAGAGGAGGAAGGACGCCAAATTGCAACGAATGCAAGATTTACAGGTAAAAGATGAACAGACCGAACTCGATCTAATAAGGGAGGACCAGATACAAGAGAAACTACATGAGGGAGGAGAAGCATCCAAGGGAAGAAATAAAAACAAAGCAGACGATCATCAGAGGAAGACTGAGGATGGGAAGGGGGGAGTTGGGGAGGGTTCAAAAAAGAAGAAGAGAAATCGTAAACGAAGAAAAAACAGAGCAGAGAAAAATGGTGGCACAGAATCAGATATATTAGAACCCCATGTAGAAAAAACAGAAAAGGCCGAAATATGTCATAAGCAGCAACAAGATGATTCCGAAAAACCGGAAATCAATTCTTTTATACAGACTGCCGCCAATAATGATAATGAAGAAAACGGGGGATTAGAGAATAACAAATTACCGTCCGTAGTACTTCAGAAAATCATAGAGAATAAAAACAAAAAATCCAGTTCAGAGAAACTTCAGACGATGGAGGATGTAATTACTAAGATGATAGAAACACTCTCTAAGTCGACAGGGGGTGGGGGTGTGAAGGACGAGGAAGGAGAAGGGACATTTTACTCCGGGGAGCCCGCTCAAGCCACACTAGCGCCCGAGAACCCAGAAAAGAAACCACCAAGTTCATGTACTTCAAGGAAAATGGAAACCGGAAATGGTGATGAAAATACCAGGAAGTCCGGAAATGGTGATGAAAATTAGGCAACTGCGGTGTTGGAGTGATATGGATTTTTGTTATGTGTTGCTGCTGATTGATAGATCAAGACTTTTTTTTCAATTCAGTACTAAATTCTTTTAGTATAACATCTGTTTAGATTCCATTAATTATCCCTTTAAAATTTCCTTTTTTCTTTTCCTGCTTGATTTTAACCAAGAAAATATTGTTTTATAATCTTTAGAGGTCAATAAAAAAATTATTTCAATGATTTTATTATTTTTACAATGTATAAATATTATATGAATTTGAATACTAGTATTTTATGTATGCTAGGAATATTAGAAATAGTATTCGAATACTATTTTACTACTTTTCTTATATTTTCCAAACAAGTATGGGAAACAATCACCCAACATACTATGCAAACAAATTGAAGTATACTTACCCCACCTCTGTTTATTTTTCGATGAAATCCTGGCTTACGATTGGTTGAAGTCAGTGACGTGAAGGTAGTGTGTTTAAGGTCAAGATCTAGTAAATGAAAGGTGCCTACAGATTTATCAAATTTGAGAAATAAATTTCTTTATTGATGCTTTACAAGTTTAGCTTGGTCAAATAAGGTGTTTCGGGGCATAATTTGTAGGTAAACAAGATGAAAAACTGTATTTTAAACTGTCATTTTCAAAGAAAAATTATGAAAACCATTCATGATAATGGGTGGTTTTTTCATATTCGGCAATGGAAATGTATCCAGATTGCCTACAATCTCTCAGAAAACGGTAATTTGTATGTTCATGGCCTCTTCTTTCAATCAATATCAAATTTAATATAGGTATCCGGTTTACTTTTCATATGATTTTAAACTGAATGTCATGAAAATACTCTATTTGCTACATAATTCTGCTAAAGCAGTATAAAGTACGGGAAACAGTTGAAATTGATTATGACGACATAATGATTCTAGCACCAAAAAAATTAGTCCAAAGAAATTTAAGTTATTTACTAGATCTTGACCTTGATTATGACGTCATAATGGATCTAGCACCAAAAAAATTAGTCTAAAGTTATTTACTAGATCTTGACCTTCTAGATCTTGACCTTAAGGTCAAGATCTAGTAAATAACTTTGGACTAAATTTTTGGTCGACTGAACTGTCCACAAGTATTAGCAAAATCCATAACGCTTTCAAATAGACTTTTGCACTAAATTTAAAGCTAACACATTCTTACAAACCGTGCGCATGTCGTTTGGCCCCTATAAATTCATTAGGTAAGAATCTAAATTCTTTACAAATATACTTGCTTCATGCTACAAACACCAACTTCGGAGTTGAAACCTCATATGTTACTTAACCGAAACCCCATATGTGCCCCTTTACACGGTGAACTCGTTGTGTTTTTATCCCCTCGCCATGCAAGACTCGCCGGGGATATAAAACACACAACTCGTTAGATAAAAATCATATCCAACTACAAATCATGTGAGATCCTATATACATGTATATTTGACGTTTTCCAATGCTATATTTTACGATTTTGATATTTTACTCCCCAGGTCTTCCTGGAACGTAAAATATCAAATTCTTAAAAAAAAAGCCTAGAAAACGTCAGATATTTCGGACTACTTGTGGTTGAGAAGATGTAACCCCACGGATGTAACCAGAAGTCTCTGTCGAGACTGTAGCTCTACTGGTTTGTACTTATAATAAAGGAAGAGAATAGGAGCATTTGGGACTTAAAATTTTACAAAAGCAATAAATAGTATAATGATCCTTGATTAAGTCTCTTTTTGTGGCAAGATTTCGATAAGACTGCAACAGTAGGAGTAGCTTTTAATAAAATTTTACAGAATTTTCAATTTTAGTTACCATGGCAACATCAATCAACAACATCAAAAACACAAAACAGATAATTATGTATCTCAGTGTAGTCTACTCGCATGCCAAATTATATTACAATCAAACAGTGAGTCTATAACTGTACGAGGAGTAGCATTTTGAAAGTATTTCACAGGAAGTCCTATTCTTAGTAACCACAGCAACACCGTTCATCGAAATCAAAACTGATGCACAGAATTATATATCTAAGTGTAGTCTACTTGTGTGCCAAGTTATATTGAAATCAAACCAAAACTGTAGGAGGAGTACCATCTTAAATGTTGTTTTCACAGAAACGAATTTCTATTTTTAGTAACCAAGGCAACACCGTTCATCGAAATCAAAAACCGATACACAGAATTATGTATCTTAGTGTGTAGTCTTCTTGTAAGCCAACTGAAGTTATATTGAAATCACACCAAAACTGTAGGAGGAGTAGCATTTTGAATGTTTTTCACAGAAATTTCTATTTTTGGTAACCAAGGCAACACCGTTCATCGAAATCAAAAACAGATACACAGGATTATGTATCTAAGTGTACTCTACTTGTGTGCCAAGTTATTTTGAAATCAGACCAAAACTAGGAGTACCATTTTGAATGATTTTCACAGAAATTTCTATTTTTAGTAACCATGACAACACCGTTCATCGAAATAAAAAAACCGATAAAGAGAATAATGTATCTTAGTGTAGTCTACTTGTGTGCCAAGTTATATTGAAATCAGAGCAAAACTGTAGGAGAGTAGCATTTTGAATGATTTTCACAGAAATTTCTATTTTTAGTAACCAAGGCAACACCTAACATCGAAATCAAAAACCGATAAACAGAATTATGTATCTTAGTGTAGTCTACTTGTGTGCCAAGTTATATTGAAATCAGACCAAAACTGTGTAGCATTTTGAAAAATTGTTTACATACGGACAGACAGACAGACAGACGGACGGACGACAGACGCATTGCTATCGCATAAGCTCTTCTTGTCTCTGTCCAGTAGAGCTAAAAAAAACCAAAGACATAAAGCCGCTTTATATCTAGATGAAAATTTTACAAACCAAAGACACGGGTTCGTTCGATGGCTGACCAGATAGCTCAGATTGTAATTAATACTTAATTTCTGGTCTTGCTCTGCCAGCAAGCTATATTTTGTTACCGGCGATCGCCACATAAATGCAGCTTCTGTGTCTGACCAATATCTATTATCCCTGACAAGGTCACTCTGTTTGTCTACATGATCAGAAAATGACCCCAAATCAAAAATGCATTCCTCGAAGTCATTTCCAGAACGACTTAATTAATTAATATCACTGCTATACTGCGCATGTGCATTGTCCCCTGTCAGCCGCAAATATAAACATTGGACCACGTTATTTACACTAACATGTTCAGAGGATTGACATCGCCAGACACCCCCGGAATTTAAATTTTTGACGATTTGATAGGAAGAGGAATGGGTCTGTTGTCTGAAGGTTCGCCCCTTGACTGGACAGAGACGAAGGCGTATGCCGATCACGTGCGAAAACATGGCATCAAACAGTTCATAAATCTATATCACAAACTACAGGACAGGACCAAAGATGTGTTATACTGGGGAGACGAGGTGAGGCTTGGAACATCGTAGGGGGAGGGGGTATTAAAAATATGATCAGTGAAATTCCCTTTTGCATGAAATATTTGGCTTGATTTGCTTACTGAGTAGGGCTAAGATATAGAACATTGAGTCCATTATATTGATATTAAAAAAAAACATTGGTCTAAAGTTTTTGAAGAGCTATTGTTGACTTTCCTGATGTTTTTTTGTTATACCTAGCCCTCAAAACAGTCGAAAAGTCTATTCGATATGAATAGAGATTGTAACGTAAATCTTTTTTTGTGATAACTTTATTTTTGCGTAAATGTGCAAGACAGTGTCCTCCCAGAAAATAGCATTCTCATATAAGAATTGCAAAAGACTATTTAGAGTAGTAAGCAGATTTTTGAAAATTTTGTTTCGCAAATACAGAGTTAAGACAAAAATAAGATGACGCAAAAATTTTGTATGTATCCAAAGCATGCATGCTTTAATTTTTGCCAAAACCTATTGATGACATTTTATTTAAAAAATATATACATTTTTTTAAGCTGATTGAAAGTTATGAAATACCTTATTGTAAAAATCTGTCTGCTGAGATATAATATATATAAATTCATCAATAAAAACTTTTCGTTGGGTCCTTCATCATAAAACCGAATGTTAACATGGCAAAGATTCTTGTATATATCACGCATTCTCAATTTATAGTGCCAAATCGATCTTGGGAAAAGTCAAAAAAATTAATGAGCTGAAATTAACACTTTTATACATCATTTGAAACATGAAAGTGTAAAGTTATTAAAAATCGCAATTTGATTTACATACTTCATGCTGTGTTTTGTTGGCCTCCTTCGAAATAAAAGCGGTTGGAGGGCTAATTTTACACCAAGATATTTACGTGATGTTGAAAAGCCATATTTGGAAACAAAAGAATTTTTTTTTAAATACAAAATCAATATAATACACATCAAATTTTGTTAACTATAAACATTTATGAAACCGCTTAAGCACATTTGTAAAAGGGGTGCAGAATCTTTGATTCAATTATTAGTAAAAATAAAACGGACATAATTTTCATTAAATGAAATTATTTTCTTTTTATTTTAACAAGTTTTATCACATCCGATGATAAGCTTAATAATGACAATATTCCCTAAAATGCTACATTAATTGATTCTTTATTAATCTGCTCAGAGAAACGCACATTATTTAGAATATAAGAAGGTTAAATATTTCACTATTACCTGATTACGAAGTGTTTGTTAAATATCACGTAAATATCGCACATAGATATCATACAAAAATAAAATTATATTCGGGGAAAAAATGATTATATTATTTCAAATTATTGAATTTTATGAATCTTTTTATCTGTGCTCTTTACAAAGGGTTGAATTGAAAATTCAAGTTATGATTTATCTATAGAGGACTCATGTAATTCATCCCCCCTTCCCCCATTTAATCTGTTGATTATTTCAAATGCAGCCACGTAGCATCGTTTTTGAAAAGGGGGAAGGGGAGGGGGGGGCAGCCAGAGAATTTTTTTACTTACCTGAAAAGTTGACAAGGCAACAAATTGGGGGGGGGGGGGTGAGAAAATTTGCTCAAAGTCGAAAATCCTAGAGGGGGAGGCGAACTTTTTTCAATGCCAACTACTTTCAGTACCAATTATTACACTACATTTTCCGTACATCACTATTAGTGGGGGTGGGGGCAATTAGCCTTTCATTGAACATTTACTATAGTTGAAGTAAGGTTGGAGAAAAAAGTGGGGGGGGGGCTGCCCCCCCCCCTCCCCCCACCGTTGCTACATGTCTGAAATGGTTAATTGTTTGTGAAAACTTTATCGTCAAATCTCAAAAATAAAACAAAGATCGCCCACCACCCTTAAAAGGTTTGTCAATAATTATAGTTGTATATCACATGTGCTCTATAGAGCAATATACATTCTACGTTCATATAACGTAAATTGAATTTTCAGTACCATTAAAGCATAGACGCATACCTTCTAAGTTATATGTCTAAGCAACAATTCAAATGGGAAAAATTAGGTGCACAATCTTATACATGTTAATATATGTATTTTTTGCAAAGCAACAAAAATTGAAATGGATTCAATTTCAACCAGTTTCTTGACACCCAACACCCACAGCCGTCTTTCTTTTTTTACCTGATGTAGACCCCCCCTCCCCACTGCATGCAACGCAGCGTCTATTTTCTGGAATTATATTTCCTACAAAAATGATATTTTTTCTTCAAAATGTTTAGCTTGGTATACAATTGAGGTGTATATAACCATTTTTTTTACGTTGACGGTACACTATCAGTGCAAACAAACAGCAAAATACAGACTTGAAGAAAGTTTTGTTTCAGATTTACGTTCCGAATGATAACGTGTATTACACTTGAAACTATGCAATAATATTTCCATTTCTAAATTTGTTCTCTATAATAACCCTTTGAAAGTAAGCGGAGTTGATTTCCTGATAATTCTGCCGGAATGTGAATTAGGCAGGTCGATAGGTCAGCAGCTAAGGAGGCCTAATACGCATGCAAAACTCGTGCGCATCTGTCTCTGTGTCTGACGCTAAGGAAGCCAAATATGCATGTAAATCTCGTGCGGCTGCCTTTGTGTTTGACGTCAGTGTGCGAGGACTATTGAAATTGGCATGGAAGTCCTCGTGTAATTTAAATCGATTAGTCTACATTCTTAATGTCTAAGTCTACAAAGTTCACAATGAAATGGAAATATAAGGAATCACTGTCTAGTTTTGAGAGTATGCCAGGGACATCAACAATAGTGGGAAACATGGGATAATTTTAGCATAACGGGCTTCGCCCGTTATGCTAAAATTATCCCATGTTTCCCACTATTGTTGATGTCCCTGGCATACTCTCAAAACTAGACAGTGATTCCTTAATTAACCCAATTGCCTGAAATGGAAAGATTCAATCATTAAACCACAATTCTACTTTTGAATAATATTATGTCAATTCAATTTTCAAATCACATGGATGCACAAGATATTGAGTAAAAATGTTCACCTTTGCATGTTCACTTCCATTTGCATTTCTGCACTCTTGTTACAGAAAAAATGACATTTTAAGAAACAGTGTATATTTCTTCATGTTCTTAGTATTTACATCATAAAGATTCACTCGCAAATCTGTTCAAACAGCTTTAGAAATTAATACTTATTTACTTTAAAACATCGTAACGTAAATATCGGTAACGTAAATATCCGTAACGTAAATATCTTTCTGAGATTTATCGTAACTTTTAATGGCATTGTTCAATTATTCCACTGTTAATTAAAGGCATATTCTAGTGCTTGAGTGTAAGGCAATTTGACCCATTGGGAACAGTGTAGTTCTCTTACTTAATTTGTGAATAAATACTAACACGTAAATATCGTTGAATTTTTTAACCATTGGACTTACAAGAAAAGGAGGGCTATTGTTCATAAATACAGATAAACAGTGTCGTTTTTACCATTCCATGCAATAGAAAGGGTGTTCATGATGTTAAAAAGTTACAACTTAGTCCTACTGAGTCAGTTTATCAATCCTTCCAGTCCTTTTGAATTTCCAAATAGAAAAGTAATAATTTTGCGGTGACATCAAAATTTGATAGATATATTAAATTTTTTGAAAATTTGTGACAGGCATATGTGTGAAGGGTGTGGTATTCAGAAAATATAATTCAAATGTAGGACAATTTTACTAAGAAAAAGATATGTAAATGATTTAAAACTTCTTTTTGGTTTAAAATAAAAACTACACGATGATCGGCGACAGTAACGTAAATATCCATTTCTGCTATAAAATGTGATTTTCTCCTAAGACAATCATTCAAGCTACAACTAACAATTGTTGTATTTTAATCAACAACCAACAATGGTTCATATGACTGGCAGAAAATAAAATTTATTTGAAATACTATATTACTTAAAACGCGGTACATTATTTAAAGCGAATTGAGACTATAAATTGAGAATGCGTGATATATATATTTGAGATGCAGTGCCAGACTTGTTGAATTGGTTGAAATGAGCGATAAGTAGTAATCCTCATGTAAAATCTTGTTCTGTGTAAAGAGTGCAGCTTTGTAAAGGATGAAATTATTATCTTCATGACAGCAGGTGGTCTTTGAGCATGTTGAATGTACAGAAAAAAGTTATTCAACAGACTTTCTATTATTATAAAATAAAATTAAAGAGAGGAGAAAGGAATATTTCATTATTGTTTGACTTTATTAAATATCTTAATCTAGATAAATGTAGGATGTGTTATTTCATTGTTGTGTGTGAAGATTATAATGTCCTGCTGTGTTAAATATAGCTTGAAATTAAAGTCCATTATAGGAGAATAATTATTATGCAATCCTATAATAATTATTATGCAATCCTATACAAGTACAGTACCGACCAGACCCAACCTGACACAAAGCAGTCCCAGAGCAGTCCCGGGGACTGCTTTCTGGGACTGCTAAAGCAGTCCCACAGCAGTCCCAGAGCAGTCCCACAGCGGTCCCAGAGCAGTCCCACAGCAGTCCCAGAGCGGTCCCAGCAGTCCCAGCGGTCCCTGAGACCAGTCCCAGCAGTCCCAGAAAGCAGTCTCAGCAGTCCCAGAGGGCGGGGTTTATTAATTTAATGGGCGGAGCTAACTCAGAAATGAGATTTCCAATAAACAATGGAACTATAAAAGGCTGTAGAAATTGATTGTGTGTAGTATGCCTGGAATCCTTACATGCGATGGTCATTTAGGAACAGTACGCACATTGAAACAAATTGAAATAATATTAATTGAAGGAAGAAGGCTTTCACACGTACACGTATAAAATTAAACTGAACATGAATATTACACAAAAGCAGTCCCAAATTAAAATTGATTAAAATTAAAAAAATTATTACTTAATTATAAATCATAATTAATCACAATTATCTGGTATATGAATAATTCGATACTTTATTTTTTGTGATTGATACTGTTTCCCATATTTATTTTTTATACAGAAAATTAAACGTGAATTAATTTATTTTCCACCAGAATTAGCTTTAAATAGATCTTATCGTTATATGGTCAATTTCCATACTATCGGGATACTCTAATAAGTTTTCATAAGTATTGGGACTTTTAAAAAATTGTTTGTTAATTTTGCCAAGTATTATTTTTCAGTCATGATTATTTTTACTGACATGTCAATCTAATTATTTAAAATTTCTCTATCTCTATAATACCGTGCTTTAAGTTTTAAGTGATGCATCAAATGACATACTACCACATACATGTATAATGTTTAAGCATGTTAAAAAAACAGTAATACTCTGACAATAGATATAGTTATGTCAAATAAAAGTCACTATTGTGAAATGGTAATGAATAATTTACAAAAATACTGTAAAATAGAGTGTAAAATAATTAGATGTTCCTCTCACTCTAAGTCTTACCCTCGCTATATACATTTGTATATTATAAATATGCAAAGGCACATGTCATATTCAATTTCAGATAATGTAAAAGGGGGGTAGAGTCAGAGGTATCTTGGATTCAGTGTGCAAGTGATGCATATAAAACAATGACAGTATAGATGTTGGAATACTTGAATGGTTCTGGGTAATTTTTTCTTCACACCCTTTTAACTGGACAGAATTTGGGGAACTCTCCAGGATGATATGCTCCCACTCACTCAGGGATGTCTATAAAAACATTTTTGCTTACATTTCACTATTAACAACAGGTATTGTGAAATTTTGGCCAAAAAGTGTCAAGTTTCTAAACTGCTAGGTAAATATTGGGTGATTTTTTAGAGGCAATTGGATGTGAAAGAAAAGCAAAAGAATATCTTCTAAATAGCTTGAATGACCTATCATTATAACTGCAATGAGAAATGATTGGGTTCTTGATTCCATCTCCATGATCTCTGTATTTTAAATATTTTTATTTCTTCGTTGACCTTTTATACATTTATTGGCTTCTTTTAATTTACCTGTTCCATTTCTAGAATTGATCAAGTGCTAAGTTATTTTGACAAAGCAATCAAATTCTCATAAAAAATGTTTACGATAACTTTTAGTTCATTCATTTATATTAAAGAAAATTTGTAAGCTTATTAAAACAGCTATATATTTTTTTATGAATATAATATGGAGATAAGTAAGTGAAATCTTGATCCACCTACACACTCACCCCCTCATCAAATTTAAAATCTTGATCAAACTGGAAGTATAGTAGTTTTAAATAAGATCGTTGATGAACATAATTTTATTGAAACATACAATTCATATAAATTTTTTACTAAGATTTGTTGTCTTGATAATTAATTTTTTTTGTTATTTCAAGCATATTGAAACTTTTTGAAGACAGTAATTGCGATGAGGTAACACAGGTTATATGATGTAAACCTTTTTTAGCTCACCTGAGCTGAAAGCTCAAGTGAGCTTTTCTGATCACATTTTGTCCGGCGTCCGTCTGTCTGTAAACTTTTCACATTTTCGACTTCTTCTCAAGAACCGCTGGGCCAATTTCAACCAAACTTGCCACAAAGTATCCTTGGGTGAAGGGGATTCAAGTTTGTTCAAATGAAGGGCCAAGCCCTCATTCAAGGGGAGATAATTGGGAATTAATGAAAATTTGGTGGCATATTTTAAAAATCTTCTTCTCAAGAACCACTGTGCCAGGAAAGATGAAACTTATGGGGAAACGTCCTCAGGTAGTGTAGATTCAAGTTTGTTCAAATCATGACCCCCGGCGGTAGGGCGGGGCCAAAATGGCCAACCAAAGTTTTACATAGAAATATATATGAAAATTCTTTAAAAATCTTCTTCTCAAGAATGACAAAGCCATAATTCATCATATTTATATGGAAACATGCTCAGGTAGTGTAGATTCAAGTTTGTTCAAATCATGACCCCCGGGGGTAGGGCGGGGCCAAAATGGCCGACCAAAGTTTTACATAGAAATATATAGGAAAATTCTTTAAAAATCTTCTTCTCAAGAATGACAAAGCCATAATTCATCCTATTTATATGGAAGCATGCTCAGGTAGTGTAGATTCAAATTTGTTCAAATCATGACCCCCGGGGGTAGGGCGGGGCCAAAATGGCCGACCAAAGTTTTACATAGAAATATATAGGAAAATTCTTTAAAAATCTTCTTCTCAAGAATGACGAAGCCATAATTCATCATATTTATATGGAAGTATGTTCAGGTAGTGTAGATCCAAGTTTGTTCAAATCATGACCCCCGGGGGTAGGGCGGGGCCAAAATGGCCGACCAAAGTTTTACATAGAAATATATAGGAAAATTCTTTAAAAATCTTCTTCTCAAGAATGTCAAAGCCATAATTCATCATATTTATATGGAAGCATGCTCAGGTAGTGTAGATTCAAGTCTGGTCAAATCATGACCCCCGGGGGTAGGGCGGGGCCAAAATGGCCGACCAAAGTTTTACATAGAAATATATAGGAAAATTCTTTAAAAATCTTCTTCTCAAGAATGACAAAGCCATAATTCATCATATTTATATGGAAGCATGTTCAGGTAGTGTAGATCCAAGTTTGTTCAAATCATGACCCCCGGGGGTAGGGCGGGGCCAAAATGGCCGACCAAAGTTTTACATAGAAATATATAGGAAAATTCTTTAAAAATCTTCTTCTCAAGAATGTCAAAGCCATAATTCATCATATTTATATGGAAGCATGCTCAGGTAGTGTAGATTCAAGTCTGGTCAAATCATGACCCCCGGGGGTAGGGCGGGGCCAAAATGGCCGACCAAAGTTTTACATAGAAATATATAGGAAAATTCTTTAAACATCATCTTCTCAAGAATGACAAAGCCATAATTTATCATATTTATATGGAAGCATGCTCAAGTAGTGTAGATTCAAATTTGTTCAAATCATGACCCCCGGGGGTAGGGTGGGGCCAAAATGGCCGACCAAAGTTTTTAAAGATATATATATGAAAATTCTTAAAAAATCATTTTCTAAAAAATAGCAAATCCATGATTGGTCATGGGACTACTTTTGGATTTAAACTTTACAATAAAAAGCCATTTTCTACTTTTTCCTACCCTTAGTGCTCAGGTGAGCGATGTGGCCCATGGGCCTCTTGTTTTACATCCAGTGAAATTGCATTTTATAACCAGAATTACATATTTAAGAATATGAAAATTAAAAAACATGTACCACATATGAAAATTCATACAAATGTCATTGCAACCCCCCTGCTCCCTTTGACTGATTTGAGGACACTTATAAGACATATGATATTGATTTTATTTTTAGTAACTATATAATATGCTCAATAAATTACAATATTAATTGACTGATTTCATATTTGAATTGTGTAAAGATTTAAATGCACATTATCACCATTATAATTTGTGTGTTATGTTCTAGAACTTAAACTCTTCCTAAGGCATTTTAAAAACGTTTTTAGATAAAGTTTCATTTGGTTTTCAAATATTTACATTTCCAATGTCTTTGTCCGAGATAAAATTACCAAATGTAAATGTACTTTATTTCCCCATCAATGTATTGGCGCGGTTCCAAAAAAAACACGTGCAGGGCGGGACAAACAGCTAGACAGAAGCAGGGCTTGGAGCACGTGGATTGGCGGAATCAAAGCATGTAAATATAAGGAATAACTGTCAGATTTTTCAATTTCATGAAGATGATCAATCGATTGGCTTGCGTGATAATTTTATGCATAAACGCCTTCGGCGTTTATGCAAATTATCACGCAAGGAATCTATTTTTATCTGGATATATTTATCTGATAAAACAAATGTGCAATACATTTGATTATTTAAGCATTGAATTCATATTTTGGGATGTCTTCGGTCCTATAACACACGTGGCGGTGCCGACAAATTGAATACCGCGCGTTCAATGCTTATATTTACATTCTTTAATTTTTTCCTCTGCATAATTGTTATTTCGGTAATCTTTAATGTGAATTTAGTGTCCTTCAAAACTGATGTGCTTTATAGATGTAAGAGCCGTTTGTGACGTTATAACGTTAAATAACACAAACGAACATTGCGAGGAAAAAAAGGGACCAACTAATTTTAAGTGCACAATTGTTGTATTTTTGCGTTAATTCAACAGGGTTAATTTTTTTTTTTATTAAATTGTGTCAAACACTGTACATTTTGGAGATCATAAAGTACGAAAATGCATATAGTTCCTACTGTGTATTCTAACGCGCGGTGACAAGGTTTCGCATGTGTTATAGAGATTTGAACGTCACGGATTTCATAAAGAAAATTACTCTGAATGTAAATATAATATTCTGTTACTTATATTTAATTTGTCTTTATTGTATAGAAAAATATATTACATTTTTGTATGCATTCAAGATTCAGAGTTTATTCTTTGTGCCTATATTGATTGTCCATTCTGACAGGTGAACATTTTTTTTATTTACTGAGCTAGACTTAATGCACAAATCTGACATGAAAAAAGATGACTTATTTTTGTGAGATTAATACATTCAAAGCAACCATGTTTAATCAGATCTAATAATTTATTTGGTTGCTATGCAATATCTTTAGTTCTGTTGCCTGAAAGACATTAAAGTAGTCATAGATGTTGTTATGCTAAGAAGGTATGTTAAAAATGGATACTCAAATACATGTAGGTATTGAGGAATTACCGTCTATATTTTTTTATGCATGACTTTTATCATGATTTAATGAAGGAAACAGCTTTTGGACTAATTCTAAATAAAAAAAAATAGTAAAATGTGATTATCAAGCTTGAAAATTAAAAAAGACTATTTCCATACCATTTCAACGCAGGTTTTTAATAGAGTGAATAAAGTAAATAACCTTGACTCACATTGTATGTTTGTCTGTAGGTGGAGTATATGCTGGTTAAAGTGAATACAGTAAACTACCTTGACTAAGATTGTTTGTTTGTCTTTAGGTGGAGTATATGCAGGTTAAAGTGAATACAGTAAATTACCTTGACTAACATTGTTGGTTTGTCTTTAGGTGGAGTATATGCTGGTCAAAGTGAGTCAAGAAAAGAAGAAAGCTCAGCTGGCCCTGACTGCTGAACCAATCCTGAAGGAATTACAAAAGGCAGAGCAGGCTAACCCTAAGTATGATACATAACCTTAAGTATGACACACTCACCCTAAGTATGACACACTGACACTAAGTATGACACACTGACCCTAAGTATGACACACTAACACTAAGTATGACACACTGACCCTACGTATGACACACTAACCTTAAATATGACACTAACACTAAGTATGACACATTCACCCTAATTATGACACACTGACACTAAGTATGACACACTGACCTTAAGTATGACACACTAACCCTAAGTATGACACACTAATTCTAAGTATGACACACTGACCTAAGTATGACACACTAACCCTAGGTATGACACACTAACCCTAATGCCTAGGTCACATTTAAGCCGATGGTCGGTCGACTAAATTTTTCTGGTCTTGTCGGCTGAAAGAACATGATCGGCCGATACAGTATCGGGCGACACGGAGTAGTCACATTAATTCCTAGGGACACCGATGACTTGGACAAATAACACAAAAAATCTTTTTTCTTTAGAATTCAGCAATATTTTTTCATAGATCTATATTCAGATAGGTGACGTGAGTAATGTTTGCAAGGCAAAGTTGAAAATGTGTGCAAAATTTTGTGTGGAATTGCATGAAAATGACAAAAGGTGCATATCTAAGCAGCAAATAATACTTTAGATTTCTTTATATCTTACGGAATAATTATTCATGTTATTTCCGTTCAAAAAATTTATATCAATCCATGCATCAAAATTTTGTTTGTGTTATGTATCCTTACTAGGTTAAATATTCATAAGTCGGCCAATCGTCGTCCGATCATCGAGCTCTGAGCTACAGTTTGATTTTAACCGTCGGCCGAAATTTTAAACACCCTTATTGTCCAACGACGGACAACCGACTTTATAAACTGACCGCCGATGGTCGGACGATGATCGAAGGTTGGTCGACGGATAACTTCAATTGAAGGAATCGGCCACCGATGCATAAAAAATTATAACTTGGACCGATGGACACAAAATTGGTCGGCCGACAAAAAAAGAGGTCAAAATCGGCGAAGACAACGGCCGATGAACTTACGACTGTCACCCGAAGAATCCCATATTTGCTTCAAAACCCGTCGGCCGTTGGTCTTTTTTGGAAATGTGACTGGGGTTTTAGTATGACACACTGACCCTAAGTATGACACACTGACACTAAGTATGACACACTAACACAAAGTATTACACACTAACCCTAGGTATGACACACTAACCCTAAGTATAACATGCTTACCCTAAGGGATGACACACAAACCCTAATTATGACACGCTAACCCTAAGTATGACACACTAACACTAAGTATGACACACTAACACTAAGTATGACACACTAGCACTAAGTATGACACACTGACACTAATTAAGTATTACAGGATAACTCTATGTATGACACACTGACCCTAAGTATGACACACTGACCTTAAGTATGACACACTGATCCTAAGTATGACACACTGACACTAAGTATATGACACACTGACACTAAGTATGACAGGATAACTCTAAGTTTGACACACTGACCTTAAGTAATAAGTATGACACACTAATTCTAAGTATGACACACTCACCCTTAGTATGACACACTTACCCTAAGTATGACACACTGACACTAAGTATGACACACTGACCCTAAGTATGACACACTGACACTAAGTATGACACACTGACACTAAGTATGACACACTGACACTAAGTATGACACACTGACACTAAGTATGACACACTGACACTAAGTATGACACACTGACACTAAGTATGATGCACTGACACTAAGTTTGACACACTAACACTAAGTATGACACACTGACACTAAGTATGACACACTGACACTAAGTATGACATACATACACTAAGTATGACACATTGACACTAAGTATGACACACTGACACTAAGTATGATGCACTGACACTAAGTATGACGCACTGACACTAAGTATGACGCACTGACACTAAGTATGACGCACTGACACTAAGTATGACGCACTGACACTAAGTATGACGCACTGACACTAAGTATGACGCACTGACACTAAGTATGACATACGTACACTAAGTATGACACACTGACACTTATGATGACACACTGACCCTAAGTATGACACACTAACACTAAGTATGACACACTGACACTAAGTATGACACACTGACACTAAGTATGACACACTGACACTAAGTATGACACACTGACACTAAGTATGACACACTGACACTAAGTATGACACACTGACACTAAGTATGACACACTGACACTAAGTATGGCACACTGACACTAAGTATGACACACTGACAGTAAGTATGACACACAAACCCTACGTATGACACACTGACCCTGAGTATGACACACAAACCCTAAGTATGACACACTAACACTAAGTATGACACACTGACACTAAGTATGACATACGTACACTATGTATGGCACACTCACCCTAAGTATGACACACTGACAGTAAGTATAACACACTGACACTAAATATGACACACTGACACTAAGTTTGAAACACTAACCCTAAGTTTGACACACTAACACTAAGTATGACACACTGACACTAAGTATGACACACTGACACTAAGTATGACACACTGACACTAAGTATGACACACTGACACTAAGTATGACACACTAACCCTAAGTATGACACACTGACACTAAGTATGACACACTGACCCTAAGTATGACACACTGACACTAAGTTTGGCACACTAACACTAAGTATGACACACTGACACTAAGTATGACACACTAACACTAAGTATGACACACTTACACTAAGTATGACACACTGACCCTAAGTATGACACACTGACAGTAAGTATGACACACTGACAGTAAGTATGACACAATGACCCTTAGTATGACACAGTCACCCAAAGAATGACACAATGACCCTAAGTATGACACACTGACATTAACTATAACACACTTACACAAAGTATGACACAATAACCCTAAGTATGACACATTAACCATAAATATGACACACTGACCCTAAGTATAACACACTAATCCTAATTATGACACACTGACCCTAAATGTGAATTGTTTACCCTAAGTATGACATGCTTATCCTATGTGCGACACTGTAATCATAAGGTATATACTGTTTGTCATATCAATTATTTAATTAATCACACCTGAAAGTCTGGTATATCATATCTGTGATTAAGAAACACACTAGTTTAAGAATCACACTTAACACATATCCTACATATTATCTAGATTCGTGTATCATCTAAACATGACACAGTGAGTTCAAACTAAATAAATGATGAGTACTTATCAGGACTGTATAATCATGTTCAATAAATAAATGTACCATCTTAATATTCAACATACAAATAAAAAAACACACACAAACCAAAGTGTATCAGCTCAACATAGTAAACTTGCTCACAAAATAAAGAAAACAAGGTTATTTTCTCAAAAATTTGAAATAATATTTCTATGTGTTTTAGGAAAAAAAAATAAATTAAAAGTTATGCAGATTGAAGTAAACATTCCTTAAGTCAAAATAACACTATGGCTCAGAAAAGTCCTGGTGGATCATGCCATCAGTTCTGCAGTGGAGCATAAACCTATAAACCTCCTACTCAACCCATTTAAAAGTTAAAACAGGCGAATTGACCAAAAAAAAAAAATCAACAATTTGAACATTTTTACACTCTGATATTTTATGACCCTCAAATGACCTTGTTTTGGGATTGTCAAACAATCTCTAACATGTGTGGATACAGCAGGCTTCCATTCCCACTTTAGTTCTTTTGGTTGTGTTTAAATTTACACAATAAAAAAGGATGAAAATCTCTGAATTTTGTTTTTTATGGTCCACAAATAATATCCTGTTGATAAAAATGAGTTAATTTGTCAGTATACATGTATTATATAACTATGCAAACTGTTGTTTTAAGTTTGATCTCTCTCTCTCTCTCTCTCTCTCTCTCAAAATTTGTTAACTCATGGTGATTCAGCAGAATTCTGGTGATTATATTCCTCAAAGCCTCTAGCAAAATATGAACACAGTGTGAAAAAGTAGACAGACATTCCACAAAAAATTAATCTTATAATTTTTGTTCAAGTCAAGAGGAAATATTTCAGAAATGTGTCCAAGATCATGGTTTTATTTATACATGTACAATAAAATGTATATTGTATTGAGTTTTAAGTCCTTTCTGCATTATACTTGTCCTGAAACAGTGAATTGTCATAACATTATTTAGAGGCTTTTATTTATAAAAATTTCATCAATACTAACATTTACCTGTCTTTTAAAATTCAAATCATATATTCATTTTTATATACCTGTAAATTAGAAACTATCTCTTTTTTTTCATTATAGCAGCATGACACCTCGTATACAATTAATGTGGAGTCTCATTCACGTTAAAGGTGCCTGATTCTGAGTTGAACTTTTATTGCAAATTTAAAAGAGACGTTTTCAGTGGATCACTGAAGGAAATTAAGAGCCATTTAAATCTGGCCTGTAATTCATAAAACTTATTGATGTACAGTAAAATTTGATGATCTACATAGGTGTCCTCAGGAGGTGTCTTTTAAAAGTAGATATAAGAAATATGAAAGTTTTCTGTATCAAAACAAAAATAATAGTGCCAAAATGTGTATGTTGATACTACTCACAGTAGAAGTACTTTTTTTCCGCGTGGTATTAATTTACGCTATGTACGCGGTCACAAATTTTCCGCGGAAATTTGTCCAAGCGTACTAGATATAAATGTAAATGATATATAGTGACAGTCTTGGAAATCCGTGTAATTTTCTACACGCGGATTAAACAGAAATTGATATTCCACGGAATTATGACCTCGTGGAAAAAAGTACGTCTACAGTATTTCAATAAAAATTTCAATTACAGGAACCATCCAACCACATGGCGACCAGAGTATGCCAATTATATGGTGGAGGGGACCCCGGGGAAACCCTATGGGGGAATGATGGCTCACTTCAATGTGGTGGAATCCAACATGAGACTCAGGTGGGGCCAGAATAAGGGCATCAAAACATTGATTATTCACTCTGTTGTTTGAAAGAAAAGAAAGCAGTATTATACACAAGTAAAATTTTTTATTAGAAGTAAGATAATTTCATTTGGATTTTTTTTCTCTGTAGGAGGGAGGAGATTCAGAAATGGTGTGGTGAGGATATTGTCCCCCTCTCTCTGACTTCCTATCCAAGGTAAGAATTAAGAATTCAGGAATTTTCTAGAACCTTGGGGCCAGAAAAGATGAGAAAACTGAAGTGTGAAAGTTTCATAAGTCTTGATTAGTTATATTTATATGGAAGCAGTTAGAAGAGTGTAGATTCAAGTTTGTTCAAATCATAACCACCCCCCCCCTTCCCCTTCAAAGTTTTATGTAGGAAAGAATAGGGAAACGAATCTATTGATGAAGGACTGTGGTCACTCAGACCCTCGGACCTCTTTTTTTATTGTACTTTTACTACAAAACTGCATCCAATTTTTTTTAGAAAGAACTTTTTATGCCCCCCTTCGAAGAAGGGAGGGCATATTGCTTTGCTGCTGTCCGTCGGTCTGTCGGTCGGTCTGTCGGTCTGTCGGTCCATTTAGTTTCCGTTCATTTTCTTCACAACCGTTGCACATACTGAAATGAAATTTGATATACAGGTTTATCAGGTAAATATCTAAGTCAAGTTCTGTTTTGGGTACGATCACACCATTTTTGACAGAGTTATGCCCCTTGGACTTAGAAAAATTCCATTTATTTGCAGTTTCCATTCATTTTCTTTGCAGGGGTTGCACAAATTGAAATGATATTTAGAATACAGATATATGAGCTAAATATCTAGGTCAAGTTCTGTTTTGGGTACGATCACATCATTTTTGTTAGAATTATGCCCCTTGGACTTAGAAAAATTCCACTTATTTGCAGTTTCCGTTCATTTTCTTTGCAGAGGTTGCACATATTGAAATGAAATTTAGTATACAGATATATCAGATATATATCTAGGCCCAAGTTCTGTTTTGGGTACAATCGCATCCTTTTTGTTAGAGTTATGCCCCTTGGACTTAGAAATTCCACTTAATTGCAGTTTTCATTCATTTTCTTTGCAGAGGTTGCACATATTGAAATGAAATTTAGTATACAGATTTTTCAGCTGAATATCTAAGTCAAGTAATGTTTTGGATAGGATCGCACCATTTTAGACAGAGTTATGCCCTTTTGGACTTAGAAAAATTCCAATTTGGGGGGAGGGGGGCATAAGTGTTTTATAAACATCTCTTGTCTTGAGTATATTTTTACATTTAGTGTATAAAATTATAATTCAGAACCAAAGAGGAGAAATTTTTCTACTATGTTTCTTTTGAACAGAATTTCTGTGCCTTATTTACTTGTATTTGAAGTGGTAATAGAACTAAATATTTTGTATTGGTCTGTAGATCTGGCTGTCCAGGATTCACTGATCCGGAACACACACCCACACCAAGCAGCGGAGCATCACATTCACTGTTTTTCCCAGATGAAGCCATTTTTCCTGGACATCCACGATTTAAGTAAGGCTAAAGATGAAATGTTAATGGCATATGTCTATGGATTGGTACAAGATACACAATTAAAAAAAATGAATTTTATAAAAAAAAAAATTCATGTAAGAGAAAATGCTTTGAAGTATTAAGAAAACATAAAGCAGCATTTTAAAAGGAGATTGAAATACAGATTGTTTACTTTATTTCAGAACCTTGACCAGAAACATAAGACAGAGAAGAAACAAAAAAGTTGCAATAAACATTCCAGGTGATTTTCAGTTCAAATGAAGTTTATGTCTTCTTGTCATCTAAATTTCTGTCAGGACAAGCTGCTGGTCAGTACAGAAAGGGGACCAAAGTATGCGTATTGACTCGGGACTTAGTTTCTAAGTCAGTCAGTAAATATTTAGCCACTAGGATTAATTTTAAAGCTTCTGTTTTCAGTGTGCTATAAAGAGGCAGTTGGAAGATTTTTAAAATATCACAAAAGTTTATTTAATACCCATTGATTAAACATGTTTACTTCCTCAGGACCTTGAGTGAATTAAGTTATAATAAGCAATTTTATTCAGAGATATTAAATGGAAATTAAAAAATCTTCATCACATGTTCATGAAAACTTTGCTATGAGTCCAACTGTCTGTTTGCTTGTAAAAACTGAAACCTTGTCCATATATTTTTATGGGTTATAGCAAAGATTTTTGTGACATTACCTTTCCTTGGGTACCAACATATTTGACCTCTTGACCTTAGAGTTTTATCACTTTTTCAACATTTTACCAACCTTTTACATTTTTCAAAGTATCATTAGGTGAATAGCAATGGGGAGGAACTTCTCTCAGAAGAATATAAAATAACAGAGCCCTGCCCAGCAACAGAACACTTAACCAGGTGGTCCAAAATGTCGAAAGACTTGTAAAATATACAAGTATACTGTACTCAGCTGAGTAGAACTTGCACTTAAGTCGCCCTTACAATTAGAGCCCTTGAATTCAGAATATTGGAAGAGGCACCCTTGCTCATTCATAACCATGCATTTAGTGTGTTTTTATATTCATTATATATTTTTTTGGATATGACAGAACATAGTGATGTATAGCATTCAACTAACTATACACAAATCTGAATCAGTATTAATACCTGAAAACGTCGTACAGTTTACAAGGATAAGTTTACCAAGTCTCCGTACCTGGATGATTTCGCTGCCCTGGGGGATGATGGGGAGAGTCAGGCGGGGGCTAAGCCGGACCACATCTACATGGACTGTATGGGGTTCGGTATGGGCTGCAGCTGTCTCCAGGTCACCTTCCAGGCCTGTAATATCACCGAGGCCAGGAAACTCTACGACGACCTGGCTCCTCTCTGTCCTATCATGGTAAGGTTATATAGTTATCCAGATCCTCTCTGTCCTATCATGGTAAGGCTTTTTATCAAATTTCTCTAGATCCCGTATGTCCTATCATGGTAAGGCTTTTTATGTTTCTAGATTATTGTCCTATCTTGGTAAGGCTTTTTATAGTTAACTATATAAACTATGTCCTATCAATATTAAACTTTTCTCTAGTTATCTAGATCCCGTATGTCCTATCATGGTAAGGCTTTTTATAGTTATCTAGATTTTTATGTCCTATCATGGTAAGGTTTATCTAATAATCTAATCCCGTATGACCTATCATGGTAAGGTTTATCTAATTATCCAGATCCTGGTATGAGTTGTACATGATAAAAATTAATTTTCTCTTATAATTATACATTTTTTTAAAATAATTTTTTAAGCTCTTCTTTGTTGTATCAGCATGAATTTTTTAGTTATTTATCAATTATAGCTCTGTATTAATTATATTAACTTTATAGAAATTATCTGTTTGTTTTACACAGTTGAGTGACTGGGAAATATTTCTCTGTTTTCATAATTCTTGTTACTGTAAAACGAAATATTTGATGTACTTATTTTAGCGCCTTTGGCACAGTTGGCCCTGAGAGCGCTAAAATTTATTGTGCGCTAAAGGATTTCTAAATATCATTTTTTGTGTGTGTTCAAAGCTTTTACATAAGTACATGTAAACCGGAACGCGCGATTACGTAATGTCGAAGGGTCATTGGATTTTATATACACACTAGCACTGCACACGTTCGGAAGACAGAAGGTTCTGCCAAAATTATAATTTAATTAAACTATTGTTACCCAAGTAATTGTTACCCGATTATAATCATTAGCACCTTCAAAGTTTGGCTTCTCGGCGTGTCAATCACAATCGCCTCGAGGTAAACATTGCAATCAAGCATGGCAATTGAGCTTGCAGACAATACCTGATTAGGATTACCGTTTTATCGAAGTAATTTTTTCGATGCATGCATTGTTTTGATATGATTTAAATGAGTAAATACTCCATTTCTTTTAATAGAAAATAGAAATAAAAAAATTAATATTTAACATTGTGTCACGTCCATGTGATAGCAACACGTACCATGGTAAAATTAACGAATCTTTACTGATATACCTGAGTACTTATATGTTCCGTGCTTGACTAACCATAAAGTCAGATACGGGTGTGGATAAAAAAAAAATATCACATATATTTTACTGACAAGTGCAAGCGCTAAAATTTATTTGCGCGAATGCATTCCCACTTGTGTTTGCGCTAAAATACGTATGCGCCAAATTTTCTCGTTTTACAGTATTTTAAACCCCTTCTGGGGCTTTGTTCATTTTTTCCTGCAATAGTTATCAGTCCTTGAGTGAAAAAATAGTAGACATTACAATTTATATTGAGTGAAAAGTTTCATCTACAAAACATTGATGAAATCTCCTCTCCAATACAGTGTAATGTAATAGAACTTCATTTCTTAAATACATCTTAAGTGAAGGTAACTTAAAAAAAAAAAAACTAGCATAAGTAGAGCCAGAATAGTTGTTACATATCAATGTTCATTATGCTTGCAAGAAAGAAATGACATCCATTTTTCTATTGATAGCTGGCCCTGAGTGCAGCAGCACCCATCTACCGCGGTCACTTGGCAGATATTGATGCCAGATGGACGGTCATCTCACAGTCAGTGGACGATCGCACAGATGAAGAAAGGGGAGAAAAAGTGAGTATCATGTCATCATAATAAGGATTATGAAATTTTTATCTACTTTTCTTTAATTTGCAACACTAAAATTTTCACAAGGCCATCCATACAATAGCACTAAAATTTCATATTTTTTTGGCACAAAAAAGTCAAGATAAAAGTAGATTTATTTATGGTATCACTGTTTATGAAATACAAGACTATTTTTTTTTAATTTTTGCTTTTTTCAGCCATTAAAAAGTGACAAGTTTGTGATCAACAAATCTCGTTATGACTCCATAGACAGTTACTTATCGCCCTGTTACAGATGTAATAATGATATTGACCTGGTGTATGATCATGGTATTTACAAAGAGCTCCGAGCAGCAGGTAGTTGTTGTCAACTAAGTGAATTTTAGCTTCCTTATTGGCAAAAATATTTACTTTAACATCCATTCAACTCTACGTTCGACGATAACAAAAAGTATTTAAAGAGAGTGATTGTTAAACAAACGTTCCTTAAATTTAATATTAATGAACCATTTTGTTTTTATACCCCGCACAACAAGTTGCGGGAGGTATGTTTTTGACCCGTTTGTCAGTCAGTCAGTCCGTCAGTCCTGTTTTTTTTGTTTGGCAGGGCAACTACTCATAAACCGCTGCACAGAATTTCGTTAAACTTTGCAGATATTTAGGACACAATGTTTAGATGTGCATAGGCACGAGTAAATTCTAATTCCTTTATTAGTTCTGGGAATTTCCGCACTTTTCAACTGAGATTTTTGGCCATACCTTGAATAAGAGATGAACAGTTTGTCAGCCGACTCATAAACTGGGGCACAGAATAGTCAAACTTTGCATTTATTTAGGACACAATGTTTAGATGTGCATATTACCAGGAAATTCTAATTCCTTTATTTTTTCTGGGAATTTCCACACTTTTCAACGTAGATTTTTGGCCATACATTGAATATAGAGCTGAACAGATTGTCAGCCAACTCCTCTTAAACCGCTGCACAGAATTTGCTAAAACTTTGCAGATATTTAGTACACAGTGTGTATATGTGCATATTACCAGGAAATTCTAATTCCTGTATTTTTCTGGGAAATTCGGCACTTTTCGACTTAGATTTATGGCCATACCTTGAATATAGAAATGAACAGATTGTCAGTGCAACTTCTCTTAAAGAGCTGCACAATGTTTCATCAAACTTTGCAGATATTTAGGACACAATGTGTAGATGTGCATATTACCAGGAAATTTGGATTCCTTTATTTTTCCTGGCAATTGTGGGGTATGTGAGCTTGCTCATTTTATCTTTCATTAAAACATCGTTGTTAACCTGGGAGTGCATTATGTTTAATAATGTCCTTATTTGCATCAATCACCTGAATCTGTTTACAACATTGTGTACCTGTGAACACTTACCTGTGAACACCTGGTCTGTTTTACAGATGTAGACGAACCTCTCTCTAAACACATAGCTCACCTGTTTATCCGGGACCCGGTCTCCTTGTTCAGTGAAAAAATTAATCAGGACGATGAGAAGGACACAGATCATTTTGAGGTATAGCAGTATGTTAATAATGTCCGTAACAGAACTTCAGCATTCTAATTGTGGTATTATTACAGGCCAAGGCTTAATTATCCAATACTTGTATTGAGTAGTGTGTTTTGTCTTGAGTCCTTATAACTTTTAAAAAAAATGTTTTGAGAATTTTAAGACCAATCTGACTTAAGATATTGTGGCTTGCCAATGTAAAAGGTTTTCTTGATGTATTTTGCCTCAGAGTTATTCCCCTTAGCCACCATCTTGTAGAGCAAAGTAGTGAAATTTCTTCTTTGAGCAACCAATTTTAAACATGCATGCCAGAAATATATGGGAGAAAATATTTACAATATTAAAATCATAAATCAATGGGGGGCCTTAACAAATGAATATTCATAAGAAAAATAGTGTTATCTTTACCTCAGTAACCAGTATCAGCCCCATAGGAAGCAATTTCAGGGGTTTTTTGGGGGGGGGGGTTACATACAGCCAAACATCGCGAACTAGTTTATCCCTGGTTAATTGTGAAATAAAGTCGTCGCGAAGAAAAGTTTCAGTTTGGGGGCAATATTTACTGGTTTGAAACTCCTTGATACACAAAAACAAGCTACCTTTTCTATAGTATTCTATAATTGGGAAAATTATTGGGTTGGGGGGGGGGGTGGATGCAGCCATAATTTTAACAAATTGAACTTGGTTGAATAATGAAGGGATCTGGGAATGTTGACCTACAATATGGCGGTCATGTGTAATAACTCTTGCTAAAATCACCTCAAATCACCTAAAATCACACTCTATAGGTTCAATATCCCCCGACAGAACCTGTGGGTTTGAGGCTGTTAATGTCGCTTTGTCCAGTTGACAGTTATGGTTCAGAAGTATGTTATTTTGTAATTTTAGAATATCCAGTCAACCAACTGGCAGACCATGCGTTTTAAACCTCCCCCTCCCAACAGTAACATTGGGTGGAGGGTAGAATTCAGACCAATGGAGGTAAGTCCATACAAACATTCTGTGTGTCATATATTTTACATGAAGCAAATTACTCCATAATTCAGGATTCTCATGTTTGTCTGAAATTACTGCAAAAACATAAGAACAGCATTTAAGTTGCCATTTGTTGGGAATAAAAATTTAGGTTTAAAACTTAGAGAAAGTGTAAGGTTGAGGACTTTTAAAACTCTTGTTGCTGAAAGATGAGAATCTGAATTGTGGAAATATGGATGTCATGAATGAAAATAAACAGGATGGATTTTTTATGTTTACATGCTTGAGAAGTACAATGGTAACCAAGTAAAATTAAGTCCTTTTCAGTAAATTTGGTTACTGTAAGTCGTTTTAATTCCATAGTGTTAAAATTTTACGATTTCTCAAAAAGTTCCAATCGCGATGGTTTTAATTTCACGCTGTAGGAAAATGTCTTACAATCATTTAAATGTTTTAAAAGCTAATAATAGCATTCACGATGGGTTTATTTTCGCAGAAAAATAATAAATCGCGAACATAGCGAAATGAAAACCATTGCGATTATTTCCCAATCTACAGTATTTAAAATGGAGACTACTATGGAATGATAACTAATCCAGCTAAATTATGAATGCTGTATGTTATAGGTTCAGCTTTCTGACTTTGAGAATGCTGCTTACACTGTGTTTATAGTTTTACTGACGCGGGTCATCTTAACCTACGGACTCAGCTTTGTTATCCCAATATCTAAAGTAAGTAACGAAGTCTGTAAGAATGAAGTTAATAGCTGTCCAAGCTATACTGTATAACCTGGGTTGGGGCAGTTTATGCTCTATAATCTGCCCTTTGTGGTGCTCTTGTTTTTTTTTTTTTAGTTATATATGCAATACCCTAGTATTGATGAATATTTTCAAAAGGATAAATATGATAAGCAGGAATAATTTACTAAATTTAGGTAGATGAAAACATGAAGACTGCTCACAATAGAGATGCTGTGCTCAATGATCAATTTTACTTCCGCAAGGAAATCTTCACAGGTTTGTCCATCTGATTTTAATGTATGGAAGTTTCTTGTAACTTCACAAATTTGATGTTCAGTGAATTTTAATCTTTGTTTTAGAAGACAGAATTTGTAAAAATCAAACAATTGTTTTATTTGCCTAGACTGTACCCCAGAGGAGTTCACCAAGTGTATGCCTGAGTATTGTGCTGATTCAAAGTGTACCAATAAAACAGACGAGCAGTGTAGACTGATGTCAATAAATGAAATCATCAATGGCAGTGTAAGTCTGCTTTGTTAAGCTCATCTTATAATGATATCTCTTTAGTAAATGTAGAAAATATGCTTCTGATTGTACCTGTACACTTGTGTGTCCCTTAGAATGATTTGAGTTTGAACCTACTTTCAGGCTGACTTCCCTGGAATGATTCCTTTGATTCATGGCTACTTAAATAGCATGGAGGATCAAGATTTAGATGTGGACACAAGATGCACAATATTGAACTATCTCAACCTGATATCTCATCGAGCCTCAGGTAAATACATTAGAGAATCTTTACATTTCAATCTGATATCTTATTGAGCCTCAGGTTAATTAAATTTAACATCTGTATATCTCAACCTGGTATCTCACTGAGCCTCAGGTAAATATATCTAGAGAATCATTACATCTCAATCTGATATCTCATTGAGCTTTTGTGTAATATATCAAGAGAATCTACATATTCCAACTACTGTATGTATACTTTAAAAAGTGGGCTTCTCATATTTTCACATCGGCTTTGGCACACACAAAAATGTGCTAATACATGAATACTGCTAATAAATTATTTACATATACATGAACAATACACTGAACGGACATGTGTAGCACTAATTTATGATGACGCCAACAACTCTTTATCCAGTGATTACACTAAATTTTGAATACACCAGATTATTTACACATACAGTAAATTATAACATTTAGCCATAATATGAAGGAAATTTTAAAATCTCAACCTGAAATCTCACTGAGCATTAATAAGATAAATTGAGATAATTGGTTATCTCAATCTGACATCTTTTGTAGGTAAGTGTGAGACAACTGCTAGATGGATGAGGAACTTTGTCTTGCACCACCCAGCGTATAAACAGGACTCAGTGGTGTCCGATGAAATTAACTTTGATTTGATGTATGCATGCATAGAACGCAGTAAATGCTGCATGTCTGCCACAAAGACTAACCTAACGTTACCAGAGGCTCTGGTCAAATCCGAGAAATACCTCAATAAAAGGAACCCGTATACGTACACCAACACTATAAAAGAGGACCTACCAAACGGAGACGTGGACAAATAAAAACTCAGACATTTATATATATACCGGTAGTGAATACTTAAATGAAGAGGTCAGATTTAATCAGGTCATCATTTTATCCAATGACTGTGGGAATAACTTTTACACACAGATTATTTTTGCTTTTTGTTTTTATAATTGGTGTATATACTGGTAATTTATGCTGCAGGCATGCTTGGGTACACATTTTTATTGATTATATGAAAGAATAATGATTTTTTAATCATGTCAGATGCCCATTAAAATTTTAAAATTTGGCAAATGCCCATTGATCTTTTCTTTTTATTTTAAAATACACAGTCTAACTTTGTTATCCAAGACATTTACCTTGAAGAAAGATTGAACACAAGGAGCAAAAATGAGCATTTTGTATATCCTAACTTTGAATATCCTAAAGAATGTTGAATGCCTTGTCCATGTGAGAAGAATTCAGGATAACCTTGTTCCTTTTAAGCAGATTCTAATGTAGGAGACTCACAGTCTCATAAGAGGATGTTGTTTATTAATGGCACTGAATCATGTCCTTTGTTTAAAGTTATAGTTGAATTTGACTCCTTTCCAGCTAGTTCCATCTTTCTGACGATAAATAAATGTCATAGGAAATATAAAGTTAAGGGCCCAAAAATTACCAAACACTGACACAAAATTAGCATTAACGGAATTAGTGTTCAGGACTGAAACACCTTTCATCATTTCAAAGAGAGTCACACCTTTGAAGATAGAAACAATCTGGCTTGGGAAAAAGATGATGCCCAATATTCCAATGGCAGTCTCTGTGTAAATATGGATGATCATTATAGCAATGTGGGACTCCATTGTCCCAAATAGTCCTCTAAATATAGTGATCGGGAATAGGAAGTCCGTCCACACTGCGTCCGGCCAGTAGAACAGACGGAGATAGGAGATGGTCAGTATCACACCTCCCAGCCCTACGATAGTGGCGTAAAACGTTAATACCACAAAATATCGCTGGTTGTAATGGCCTATACATTTCCCTAATACAAAACAATGATGGTCCCTCTTCAGTATACACACATTACAGATTTTACAGTGGTGAGCTCGTGGCGGGATCATTATATCACATTTATCACAGTATCGCCACGGGAGTCCCCCATCATCCGGCAGGTGCCCGTTCAGGTGTAGAACCGGCTCAGAACTCTTACCGGGGTCTCTGCTGCTGTGATCCCCAGTAGTGTCTCTTGTTTTCACGTAAATTGAATTAAAAATGGAGCTACAGAACAGGTTAAGAAGAGCTTCTACAATACAAAAGAGATAAAGGGATTCCATGAAGTGCTGTGTCTGGTCTGTGAAATCATGAAGGAGGTAAGGAAAAAGATACTGGCGAGCTATGTACCACTGCGTGGGTGCTTGGAATGTCCACAGACCCCAGAACACATACATCATATAGCGGGATCTTTGTCCGTCTCGCTTCTTTAGTTCGTAATGCTGACGTAATTTGTCCATCAACGTAACGGGTTCTTCACTCGGACTGTTAATGTCCAGCCGCACGCTCCTTGATACAGCCATGTTGTACAGGCTATGAAAAGAAATATACTAGTATAATGCTAACAAAGATGTTAACAGCAACAAGCCTTTACAATTCAGTCAGTTTTCACAACTGAGCTTATATTTATATGATGTCACATTCCAATACTTGAAAGTACAATTCTCTGTCATCCTGGGACTTTCTGACATTCTCGACGTTGATGTCTCTGAAATGGCGAATAGAATCTCATTGGGTAATTATAAGAAATTAATAATATCAGCAACTTTAAATTGTTGTTGACAACGATGAGACGACTTAGGTCCCATCTCTTTGCCGTACGAGACGCTGTCGTTGGATCATTGCTATACTCTTTGACATTTGTCCGAATTTTTATCCCATGTATTTTCAACAGTGAATGAAAGGCTGTGTAAATTTCAGACACTAATTATGTAACGTCGAGAATACCACGCCTTACTGAAAGTCCAAGGATAACAGAGAATTGTATTATCACCTTCGATAGGTTAATTCGAATACTAGTAGATGATGTCACTCAATGCCAATTAATTTCAAAACGGCGCCTCACACAGATAATTTTTGCAAAAAATGAGTGATGTATTGAAGGCAAAAAATTATCCAAAAGAGTAAAATGAATACACTGACTCGACTGGCTCATTAAAAATATGGAATGAAATTAAAGTTTAAAATATTAACCCATGCTTATTAAATAATAATAAATAGATATAGAATGGAATATAATATTTTTTTAAAGAATTTATGTAATGTCAAGTGCCTGCGAACGATTTTCATTGAAGAACTGACGGGTGGTGGCGTCTTATATCTTTTTTATGTTACAGTGGTAGATTCAAGTTAAGATATCCGTCCGTCTACAGTAAATAGAAAAAATTATAACATTACCTTTTGTGTGTTATTTTCAAGCTGCACTCACTTCACAAACATGTCAATCTCGTCCGTGAATTTAAACTTTCAAAGTAAAAAAAAAAATGAAACATGTTCCCTACACGTTCATTAAATCATTCTTCAAAATGTTACTTTAAATCACCGGATAATCCTCTAAGTCTGATGTTACAGACTAATGCAGCCAATACAATGTAAGTATTTAATACGACAAAGTACTTAGTAACCCATTCAAGGGGAAGTTTCCAATCAATGCAAGATTTATCCGATTTTAAACAAAAATTATACTCCAAAAATTAGGACAATTAAATACGGTGTCAAAATTTTCTAAAATGAAGAAAATGTAATATAAGAAATTTAAAAAAAATAAAAATATTTAACGTTGGTCAGCTGATTTATGTGTAGTATACAAGAAAGGGTCTAATGCAGGAGACCAATACCAGCACTAAATCACATTTACTTGGGAAACAACTATCAGCAGAATCAGTGGTCCAGAGGTTAAAACGTTTGCTCTATAGTCACGGAGTAAAGAGTTGATTCTAACTTCGCGGGTTCGAATACCTGCGTGGAGACCGGTCCTTCGCCGGATGAGAGGTATAAACCGAGGTCCCATGTTGTGCACAGTAGGTTCTGGTAAAATAAAGAAGAGAGATAAATATGTGTGGAGAACCCTTAAACATGCTTAAAGGTCAGTACATGTACTGAAAATGTCTGCTGGCACAAAAAAGACACTGTACTTCACTGCCCTAAGTCTGTAAGTGTTGAGTACAGGTCTAAAGTTGCAGCCCTCCATCGGCAAGTGGTGGCATCTTAGAATAAGTGAAATGGTCCCGAAATGACTTTAACAAAACAAACAAACATAGGAATAAAGTCCAGTTTTAGTTTGTATAATTTGTTTATTAATATAAGTAAGTATTTTGAATAAATAAATTATGACATTTGATTGATGAGCACGTGTCTTTAGAAATCAGAGGAGAAGTCCTCGTTCTTGTAAAACAATCCAAAGAACAAATCTTGAACACTTCAGCTGTAGAGAATTTGTCGTAGGTTCACAGTCTTTATCATTACAGTCTTCATGATTTCACTTCACTCACTTTCATGATTGTCGTAGGTTCACTACACATTCGTTTCCAGAATGCCGTGGGTTCACCATGCGTCGTTGTAATCACCGTAATGATCTAACCAGCTGGTGCCACTTTCCTTAATGCCGTGGGTTCACTATTATTGTTGTGATCTATTTCACCCCTTTTCCGAATGCCGTGGGTTCACCATGAATCTTTATAACTACCGAAGCCTATTGCATTTCTTTCCAGTATGCAGTGAGTTCTATTAAGATTCTTTGTAATTGCCGTTATGATCTAACTTCACTCCTTTCCAATATGTACCATCTTCTTTCACGGGAAACAAAATTGTCATGGGAAAGAAAAAATTAAGGAACCAAAAGTTTCCAAATACTGTCACAAAGTTCGCATTAACGGAGTTTGTGTTCCTGATTGGAACTTGTTTTGCTAACTCATACAAAGTAATACCTTTAGACACTATGGTCAGTTGTGAAGAGAAATAGAAAAAGCCCAAGATTCCAATAAATGAGGCTGTATACATGTGGATGATCATTATGGTAATGTGGGGCGGGATCGTTCCAAACACTCCCCTGAATATTGTAACCGGAAATACGTAATCCGTCCATACGGAATCTGACCAGTAAAACATGTGGAGATAGGCAAAGGTAGATATTATACCCGCCCATCCAACAATAGTCGCATAAAATGTCAGTACCACGAAATAACGCTGGTTATAATGTCCAATACACTTCCCCACAACAAAACAGTGATGGTCTCTTTTTAGAATACAAGCTCTACAACATTTACAATGATGTGCTCTGGGAGGTTTCATCATGTCGCATTCGTCACAGTACGTCCACGGCAGACCCCCATCATCCGGTAGGTGTCCGTTGGGAGTACCATTCAGGGGCAGAAACTGGTCAGGGGGGTTCTCCCAGCGTTCTCTGATCCCCTGAACGTCAGGTTTATCTCGGGATTTCTCGTATTTAGTACTGTACAGTGTGGTGCACACAAGATTTCCGAGTGTCTGTATGGCACAAATGGTATAGATCACCTTAACGTAGTACTGGGTCCAGTCGGTGAAGTCGTGAAGGAGGTACGGAATGACGTAATAATAGGCCATGTATAACTGGGTGGGGGTCTGGAATACCCACAATGCCCAGCAGTAGTACATCCCGTATTTACCGTGATGTCCTTTCTTTTTCTTTTCTTCAATATGCTTCCTGAATTTTTCCATTAAGGATTTGGGTTCTTCTTCTTCGGCGGTCGACTGGACGTCCACTGTTACACTTCTGGCCACCGCCATATTGACCAACCTGTAATACGGAACACGTGTGTGAATTGAATTAATAATGCATTGTGTTTCTTTCGATTACATGCAATTGTTGATTTGTTTGAAGTATTATATTTAGAGGTTCAATTTTTTTCACAATCAAATATTCATGATATTATTTTCAAATTGAACTTATTTTATCGTATAATTCAGATATTATTAATACACTATCACACCAGCTGTTGTTTTAGTATCATTTGTGACAAAAAGTTAGTGTGTAGAGAAACCGCCCTTCTCATGAACATTTTCAACAGTAAAAGGTTATGTTTGGGGTGGGGGGGAGGGGGTTGGCAGCTCCCATTCCCCCCTCTGATACTACTGGAGAGGAGGTGGTGATTCTATGGGCCTATTGATAAGACAATTGCATTCACAAATCATACAACTCTCATTTTAATGATTTTAGTTATTTGGTAGGAAGTAAAATATGCCAAAGGTATTGTAAATAGTTCTTTCAATAAATTTCAATGTAAACCTCCACTAGACACACTGAGCTGAAGCTGTTCTCAGGAACACAATGTGATATATCGGCGTTCATTGTATAGGTAATTGATTCTGTATACACTTATGATGTCGATCAGACCTGCGTTTATTTATTAATTCATTTTTGAATTCTGATTGCCTAAATAACAATTGCCTTCTTTGATTAAATAGCATATACATTATACACAGTTTAGAAAATATTCCAGATAAATGTATAAATTTGTATCTTGATTTAAACTTACCTTAGTAAGGTCTTGTATCCAAAAATGTTAAGCGTTGATCAGCTTATAAGTGGTCTTTCATTGATTTCAATGGTATTGAACACTGGATATTTTCAGAGTTCTCGGACAGGTCAAATCTTGTTGTTCAAAACAAACAGTGGTTGTCCAGCCGTAGCAATTAAGTAATACCTTCAATATTAATAAGCGGCACAGGTAAGAGCTTGCTATTTATTGATTCTAGCGCATGGAAACCGAATAATTGGGCGCCCCCTGGTCACTCAAAGATCCACCGCTGTGTTAAACTGACGGTAAAATAGCTTTTCAATTGTTAAGTTTTAAAATTCAACTTTGTAAACGTTTATGTTAATTCTTAATGTCTTTTTTTATATATAAGTTTTGCGGTTATTTATTCATTGCTTCGCTGTGTTCAGTAGCTATCGGAATTGATTCTTTAGCGAGAGGTTCTCCATTGTTTTCTATAAAACAAAAGACAGAATTTTAGCTAGTTTCATGTGAGTTCTTACTCGATGAGGATGAATGGCTCTAAGCATTGTGAAGCATGTATTCGGTATAAACGCTTGCGCAACTCGTCCCGCCCTAATGTGGATGTACCATAAATTAAGTTATTACTCGTTAACTGTTCTCTAAATATCACATATTTACTGCTTAAAGATCGACACAACAAAGAGAAAAGCTGTCATTGAAATGTCAATTTTTATTATCATATAATAAAAAATTATAAACTTTGTATATTATTCTATTATGCATTTAAAAGAGAGTATTATTAGTATAAAGACATAAAGTTCTTAATGAGAATATACCCATTTCATACAACAAATCCGTCCTTTTTTCTCCTTCATCTGATATTTTTACAATATATTCAGAATTCTTCAATATAAGTTACAAAAATTGATGAGAGAAACATAAATTATTTATTTAAGCATGAACATGTATGAGATATATTTTCTTTTTCTTCGCCATTCCTAACTTAGAGATAAGACACAGAGGATACTAGTATATTATATTCTTTCAGTACTTAGAAGAACAAGGGGTCAATGGACCATAACTCTCACCTGAGATTTGTTAGTTAAAAAAACAAAGTAATACAACATTAAACAACTCCTAAATAACAAATTGGAAGAATTGATTTTAAAAATTTGTTCTTGTCTCGTGATTTTTCTGACCACTATGACCTTAATCTGACATCAGGAAAACTTTATACAGAACATTTTCCATAAAAGGAAATTTTTATCATAAAACATTCAAAATTAAGATTTTAAACAATCAAGTGAAGGATGATATTTAACAGTTTAAAACAATTAATTTTCTAAAATCACATAAACAATAACAAAACTTTTCAGTACTTGACTACTAAATTCTTCATACTGAACATGTACTTAGGCTAGTCATACATAATTTATATTTTAACAAATCTTTTGTTCATAGATTAATAAATATCACAAAAATATGAATCTGAATAAAATCATTACGAATAAATTACAAGGGAAATTACCAAAAATGCTCATTCTGGATTATTAAAAAAGTTCCAAGGTTTTTTTATATCGAATTTTTATAAAAAGTTTTTCTTAAATAATGATCATTTTTCAATAAGCAATCACAGGTTTATGTACTGTAAAAAAAATTAATAAATAATCATAAATAGCTAACAAACTTTAAACATTTTTCAATAAAATGTTTTCTAATTTTTTCGATTGTACATTTTTTTGGTAATTAGCATTATGATCAAGTTTGATGCCCTGCCAATGGGTTCCGTCATCCTTCTGTCTGAAAAGTATCTGCATGGGGAAGATAAAATTAAGTGCCCAAAAGCTTCCAAACACAGAGACAAAATTTGCATTGACAGAGTTAAGGCTCTTGACAGGAATTTCGTGTGCCAGTTCATACAGAGTTTTTCCTTGGCCAATGATTAACATCTGTGACAGGAAATAGAATAATCCTACGGAACCAAACAGGAACTCGGCATAGCAGTGGTAGATCATGATGCCGATATGAAGAGGGATATTGTCAAACAGAGTTCTGTAGACAGTGATGGGAAGGACAAAGTCTGTCCAGGAAGCACTAGGCCAGTATATGTCACTAAGATATTTCAACGTAAAGATCCCACCACCAAGTCCATTTATAAAGGTGTAGAATGCCATTATAACAAAATATCTCTGATTTCTGAAGCCAATACAGGTCCCAACAAAAAAGCAGTGATGGTCGCGTTTCAGGATGCAAGCCTTACAGAAATTACAGTGATGGGCCCGGGGAGGGATATCCATCTTACAGATATCACAGTGTGACCAGGGCAGCCCTCCATGCTTGTCTCTGAGATCTCCATTAGATACCCCATTATTGTACAGCTGGAGAGGAACAAATTTTTCTGGGGGGTTGTTCCAGCGGTCATGGATTTCTCTCGGTTGTGGGTTGTCTTTTGATATCCTGTATTTTGTGTCATACAGCTGAACACAGAGAAAGTTTGCCAAAAATTCTAAAGAGGTCACAACAATGAAAACTTTCAGGTAATACTGAAACCATGGATCAAAGTCCATAAATAAATATGGAATTATATAATACATGAATAAATACAGCTGAGAGGGGACTTGAAATGCCAGGACAGTGGTAGCTAGAGCTCTTCCAACTTTTGCTTCATGGCCTGATTTTTTCTTTTCCTCCACATGTCTCCTCCATTTTTCCATCAGACTGAGTTCTTTTTCTTGCTCAGGCTCTCCCAAGTCCACCTTCACTGATCGAGCCACAGCCATACTGTAAAATTATAACAAAGGATTTACAGGAAACAATTAAATAAATTAATCTCATGTATATTATAAATAAAAATTTATTAAGGTAATACATTTAAAACTTGATTATACAACTTTACCAGTGTGTTTACACTTTTTAAACTTCAAGAAATACCATCAAATTTAAAAGTTGTATTCTTCATGTTTAAAGACTCATCTTTGATAGCATTTCCTTACAGACTCACAACTTTGGATTTTGTATATTTAATATGGATTATATTTTAACTGAAATTGATCTGTCTTATCATGTAGAAAATTCAGGATTAGATTCCTAATTTTAATGTTTCTGCTGAGAGATTTTTTTTTTTAAAAACCCAACAACTCAGATTTAACTTAAGACACTGTGAATTCTTCAGAGATAGATTTATTGATTCAAGCCAGTGTATAACTATTATCTCCCCCTCTTAACACTTTTCTTTGCTTAACGAAAAAAAAAATGTTTAAGATATTGAATACAAGTGACACATTCATTAGAATGGAGAAAGTAGATGTCAATTTTTATCCATCATGTATATTGCTAATTTTGATTCCCTACATTCCGAGACGCGAACCATGCATCATGTGGACTTTCTCTTTTCGATTGAACGATTTTCGCCAGGCCTAAGCATAATGAAAAAGAACCTGACATGGAGGAAAAGGTCAGTTTTATAATTAAATACCTTAGCAAGTATTAAAGGGATCTTTTATATCAGCGTGGGATGACAAAATAACATTGATTACAACTTTAGTTTCCCCCGGTATCCAATAAAAACAGTGCAGGTACTTGTTAAATCGTACGTTTTATCTTTCGCACTAAAATAAATTAAATATGCTTTGGTAATAAATAAAACATGCACCTAAAAAGTTGTTTCAATAATGAATCCAACACTTTCAAGCATTAAAAACATTGAAAACCGATCCACAACTACCAATTCACATAAACTCCAGATCGAGAGAACTAAACTGAAGACTTACTAGTATCTATATAATCTCAGCTTTTAGTTACAGTGCTGATCAAGGACGTTTTGGATAACTGTGTTTTTCAAATGCAAATCCAAAAATTGTTTAACAGTAGTTCAATCATTTTCAAATCTAGATCCCACCCGACACCAGTATGAAAAGTGAAGATATTGAATAAAAGTAGAGGTGCTGTGAACACTGCATGAGTATAAATGATACCCCAGCCTCAAATATGATGACAAAGTCCATGTTTTGCCCTGGGGAGACCCGAAATAAGTTTCAGATCAAAAAAGTTAAATAGGAGGTACACGGCACTATGTGATAAAGATTCTGTGAAAATCTTATTAAATTTCATTCAGTGGTATAAGAGGAGATGGGTACATGTACCCACAAGCGTAACAGACGGACGTACAGACAGACATCTAGCCTGGTTCCCTATCCCTGTTTTGCTTCGTATTCTCCGCGTCTCCTGCCTTGGCAAGGATGAGACAGGGACCAGGCTAACAGACATCCCGATCACCATACCCTTCCACTTTTTAAGCGGGGGTATAATGAAGAACCGGTGTACTGAAGCCCCCCCCCCCCTTCCCCGCCCCTTGGAATTCAAGAAGGTGCATGAGTCTTGGACCTTTTGTCTTATTATTTAAAGAAATACTATTTTGTTAAAAGCTGATAATTTTAGCGATTTATTTTTCATATGAACTTGCTGTATTTAGACAGACTTATGCACACCAGCTCCCCTTCTAAGGAGAAAATCATATGTCAGTTTTTGTTTTTAAATATTTCCAACAATCAAATTGAACTAACATAGCTAAGCAGGATTCCTAAATTCATACAAATCCGTACAAACAAAAATACATATCGGCTTCCAATAAACTCACTGATTCCCCCCTCCCCTCTCCTCCATAATTTTGCCGATATATAGAACACTGTATAAAACAAAGCTTAAACATATATATGCTCCCTCAATAATAAGTCTGATGCCCTGGTTGCCCCCCCCCCCCCCACTCGGCAATTGCTTTTGACGGACCTATTTAAAGCAGTGAAGGAGAAACTTCAGGAGTAAATGTGCAGCAGTATATACTAGTATTCAAAACGTGATCAGTGTAACTACATGCAGACGTGGATACTTAATCAGGCATTAGGACTTTCAATAGCATTAAACATACGTACTACTTTTCATCACCATTCCCAACGATAAATTAAAAGTCCAGGATTTTTGACCTCACTGACAACTATCTTTTCTATTAAAAAGGAATTCGTAAATATAGTTACCTTGTCCTTTATCATTTCCAAAATTATTTAGATAAAACATTAGGGTTGTACATATACTAGTAAGTATTTCGAACTTGATATTAAAAAGATGCTTGAGTTTTTGATGGGCAATATCTATATAGTTGGAATTCCCATGGGTACCCAGTGCGCCTTTCTCAGCAGACCAATTTTTTGGGGGGTATTCATATGAAGCAGATTTTATTCAAAAACACTTGCCATGGTCTTCTACTCGACAATTATATATAAATCGACGACGTACGATCAGATAACAATACTTGAGTAGTGAGTAGTAATTTCCATTCATATGTCGATTCGATTTATCTAAGTGAACGTGAAACTATGGTCAATACAATGACCCTACTAAGTTATAAGTGAATACAATCTGTCATAGGTAAAATGCTGTCTTGAGTTTGATAATTGTGAGGCCATCATTTTACACACTGAAATCTTTTCACGTTTACTCGATCATGACAAAGAGAACACAACAGGTGCTCACTCCTGCATGGCACCTGATCCGCCCCTGATGTTTTTGGAGGTCCCTGTTAGCTCTGCTCCAGATCTGTGTTGTCTAAATGGTGGGAAACAGTTCGTTATCTCCATACTTCACAATACGTCATCCTGAACCTAAGCTGTGTGTGACGGAGTAATAGAGAAATGCTTGAAAACGCAAGAAAGCGGCGGAATGGTGCTGTATTAAAGGTTGCAGATATTTTATTTCAATAAATTAGGGTACCCAATGCTGGTGAACAGCCCCGTATACTCTAAAAACCCTTAAAGTAAGTCAGTAAGAGGTCCCAAGCGAAGTCCAATATGGCGGGTAGTTGCAAGCCTTGGTTATTTTATAGTGTAGAAGGGGTAGACCTATATATAACTATCTTTCGTCATTTACAGAACTACATGGGGAGGACCTATGTATATAAATTGCAAGCCTACAAGTCAACTTTCATTCCTCGTGTTATATTGACGAATTGAACTCATCAAATCTTGTAAGATATTTTTAAAAAGTCTGTTTCCTACAATGAACCTTCGCCACCCTTTTACTTCAGACAAGACTTCGACTCAACTGAAAATTTTCGATATGTTAAGTAATTTTGATTCCCCTTTAATCTTGTAGGAGAGTGCAGGTGGGGGATACTTATCAGTCCATATACGAGTATATGATGCAGTTAGGCGGAAACATATGCGCTGTAATATTATGATTCAAGGGTGTGTACACGGGAGTATTTATCATTAGAAAAGCTGCTATCCAACATCAGAATTCTGATTACAGATTGTGGAAAATAGTTCAATTTCAGGAAACAACAAAAACTTTCTACTTTAATTGAAATGAATAAATTTTCACAAATTGTTGATTTCAGGTAATTTTGTACTACAACACGAGTTACCTTTCCTATAAGTAGCCACCAGACGAGTTGTTTAACAGGTCTGGACGATTTCCAAATAAGGAAGTCAAGAGCAATAACCGTGAATTTCTATAAACACACAGAATAAACAAGGTGCTAGTCCTTCTGACCAATCAGATAACAGCATTTATACAAAACCATGAGAACATTTATAAATAAAACACATGGTTTTATAGTTTTTTGCTCAAAGGATTTTTTTTGAACAATTTTTTTGTAAACATTGTGTACATCTGGGAATAATATAATATTTATGACAATTTAACCGTGAACAAACATGACTTGAAAGCTTAGAAAACGTTTTAAGTGGGATTAAAAATCTGTCACATAAGGAGATAGCAATCCCAAAAGTTTAACTTACGTTAAAAAATTATGGAAAATTTTTAATTTTTAGAGCCTGACATAAAAATTTTATCGAATCGATAACAGTCTTAATTATGTTTTGAGTGTTTATAACAAAACCGTCCATGCAGTTGGTATGCGAGGTAAGACATTTTTTAATTCTTTACCGAGATAAAAATGTCAAGGTTGTTCACGGTAAATATGTGGGAAATACCTTATTCCTCAAAAGTTTTCATCTTACTTCTACAGATTTTTTGTTAAAAAAATCTTTTTTGAGGAAAAAAACAAAAGCAGGTGTTTTCTTTTTGTTCTCTTAAGAAGTGTTTTGGAGTGTGTAAAAATGCTGTTGTCTGATTGGACAGAAAAATAATTACGTGTACATGATGTATATTTATAGCAACTTTCAGTTATCGTTCTTGACTTCCATATTTGGAAATCGTCCAGACCTGTTCAATTAATTTTTTACCATAATACATGTAGTAAAAAATTACTTCACATGGTCAAATTAAAAAGTATTAATATACATTTTAAAGTATTTTAAAGATTGTTCTGTATAATACACTTTAACTGCAAAACAGTTTCCAAACATTTAGCATCAAAATCAAAACATCACATATAACATCACTCCATCAGACCATATATGACTTTAAGTTCGTGTCTGAACTTAGAATCCCTGAAACTGTAAATAAAAGGGTTAATGGCACTGTTTATGAAGTAGGACCAGATGAACGTGTAGTAGAACTGTCCCTCCAAGAGGGTCAAAGAGCAGTCAAAGGAGGGATTCGCAAAGAAGATGATGGAGAGCACGTGGTGGGGAATGGCGCTCAGAATGTAGGCCAAGGTCACGGTGAACAGCGTCCCCGTGGTGCGGAACAGAGTGGCCTGGGAGATGTGGGACGGACGATTGTCGTTCTTAGCCTTCAATTGCGGAGACTCTTCAGCGAATCTATCTGACCCCCTCCGCACACTGTCCTGGAAGAAGGTGTGTTTATAAATCTTACGCCCTATGGCGACATAAATACCGATCAGAGCAGACGACACAGCGAGGAAGAACAGAATATGGCAGATATGGAACACAGCCAGGTATTTCAGAGTCTCACCACTTGCTAGACATCTGTAGCCCTACAATCAATATAAATTTATAACCTTATAGTTGTAAACATTAATTCAAAGATAATGACAAAGAATTACTTTAGGAACTAGAAACAATTTGATTACAAATCTAAACTGTTATTTCAATATATCCGGTATACTTATTAATAAGTTTTTAGAGAGAAAAACTAAGCCGTGTTTAGGTAACATTAAAGCTTTTCTGATTAAGTTATGTGGATATTTGGAAAACTTCTAAATCGAAATAAAAACCTACCATTAATCCTGGTATGCCTGTTGGCACTTTGGTAATTCCATATAATATAAGACTTGGCCACGAGAACACTAAACTGACCACAAGGCAACTAGCACACATCAGTCTCGCTTGACGTGAAGTTATCTGGGTCCCCAATGGCGCCGTCACTTTACGGCATCTGTCTACAGCGATAACAACCAGGGCACAGGTCGAACATATAGATACGAAATAAAGAATAAACCTGTAGATTTTACAGAATTCCTCTGATTGAAACGTCACGGGGTAACACAGGTAGATAATTACCAATGGGGCACTCACAGAAAGATTAAATATGTCCAGAATGGCCAGCCATAACACATATATTCGATAGTTTGAATTCTTAAATTTTCGGCAATATACGTAGATAACGTGAACATTTCCAACCAATCCGATCACAATTAGAATTCCGAGGAATATGATTCCACCAATCAGACGATTGACTAGAATTCGGTTGGCGAACTCCAGTGTTACTTCTTTATCTGGAGGCAGAAAGTCTTTAATCCACTTATGACAGGTGAGGTTCGGGTCATACGCAGACATTATTCCTTTATATTGGTCAGATGAAAGGAACAACTGAAATTAAATTCAATTTAAATTTATTATTGAAATATATGCATTATCATAGTTTAATATATTGCTATACTATGATTGGGTGTGATACATTACTAACTTGCACAATTACTTGCTGTATTGAAAGGGGGGGGCAATAATATGTTTTAGTTAGACGTACAATATAATACTTAAGACGTACCTGAGACGTACAATATTCATCGAGTCCAAAGCGCGAGAGGAATAATTTACTTCGAAGATGTTTTATGTAATTAGGGTTCTCTCTATGTGTCCCACTTTTAGACCAAAATATTATATATCATTCAGCCTCTATGAAATGGTTTTACATCAAGCCCATAAAGTACTTGTAATGTCCGCTCATTAATAGTTTAATTTGCTTTAGATGTTCAGTATACAACATACTACATGTAAGTATACCTATATATTTACCGGGTTACTGAGTATATGCTATTGGCTATCCAAAGTAATTTGCAATTCTTCAAGCTCATTACTGAAACCTATGTCCATTTTCTAATATTATGTACAAAATATCACAAAAGCTACCCAGTGCAAAATACAGGTACATGAAGACTTAATTATAAGATTGTCGTTGTCAATCGGAAGTGGCGATTTATCATGTGTACAGGAAGCGATTGAAAACCCGGGGATGTCTCCTTAAAACTCAGTAATTTCCTGTTTGTGGTGAATATTTTGGATCTACTTCGGGAGCTTTTATTTGCCTTCACATGATTCTGACTGATGTACGTGTAACAACTAAAGTAACAATCATTGATATGTTTTTGGTAGACTCTATATATGGGAGACAAAATGCACTATATTTACGCAGTGCAGAAATATCGTAATTTAATATAAAAACTTGAAAAAAGGTATGGAAGATACAGATTCATTTAATGCTCTGCGGCTTAATTTGAAGATATAACATTAAATCGAGTGACTATCGACGGCGTAGAATATTGTAAGATCGTAACCTTCATTCGGATTTCTAGATCTTCAATGTGCGCAAAATAAACCGCATTTTTTAAAACAAAAGTTATAGGTATAACAAATGCCGTTTCAATAATAGAGCATGTAGAGAAAACATCCGATGTATCTATAGTTACGGAAAAGTTCTTGTAAAAATGCATAATATATTTTCAGGGAATTCGATATAGTAACCTTGGTTGTTTTTTTAATAGCCATGTTACATTTATTATAAATTAAAAATTTATAAAAATATAAAAATAAATATAAATTCCCCTTAATTTCGTAAACTGAAAATATGATTAAGAGTATTTAGATGTATTTTATGAATTACCATCATGCATGTCTTTCTTTGATTTAGAATTTTTGAATGAACGCCTTCGCAATCCACAACAATGTCGAATTTACATATACTGCCTACCGCCTACCATTATCCTTAATTACAAAGTCTTTCTTTCATTGAAGATGGGAGTCAAAATGCCATTTGAAAAATCATCAATTTTTGCTTGATCGAATGCTTCCTATTGTCATACCATCAACATATCAGGAAATTTTCATTGTCTTGTACAATATGCACACGTTATTATCGGATGAATCATTTATATTGTTTACATAGAACCGAGTCACGCACGGTTTACATATCCTAAATGTAGCCCCCATCGTGTGGCCGGGAAACCAAAGAAAACATGGGTATATCTGTGTTTTATATTAAGCACTTATTCTTTTGTTTTCTTAGCTTTACTATGATGTAGAGAAATAAATGTGCTGGCTAAGCATCACAGTGGACAAGTCGAGAGATTTAATTAGAACTGTATACCATCATCCCTACCGCAGTGAAGGGGAATGGGGGGGTGTCATTTGTCCTTGTGATACGATAGTAACTCAATTACAATACGATTTGATTAAAAAATAAATATTAGTGCGTCCTTATAATTATTGTTGATAAACATTTTATAATTATTGTTGATAAACATTTTATTTTTATATAAACAAACTGGAAACAAAACTAACCTGGTATGTTTATCATTCATTTGAGAGCAAAAAATTATGCATTTTGGTAAATTTTCAAAAGGTTAATCAAATTAAGTTTACGTATTGTCTATAGTGGTGTTTTTATAACGTTTATATAAATACTGAGAAAACTTACCTACATTTCAAATAGTAATTCAGGATTTAAGAATAAATGATACCAAAAAATGGATTTCTGGTTTTGATTGTGAATGTAACCAATAAATAGTAAAAAGTAAATATGTTTCTAAAGTATATATTAGGAAATTCTGAAATTACTGCGATGTTCAAAATTTTGCCTTTCTATAACTATCCTAATTAATCTATATACAACTTTTTATTACTTGTAATCATATTGATGTAGAACATTGAACATAAAAATTCAAAATTTATGCGCTTAATAAATTTACTCATTTTACTTATTAAAGCATGGCAAACGTTGTTATTTTCAAGATTTTGGATAAAAGTTTGTACCATCAGTTTGTATCATAAGCTACTAGGGATTCTCCAATACTATTTGTGTGAATTTAAAGAACCATAGAAATTCGAATTTTGATATTCTAAAATTTGATATGAAATTTTCATTTTAGAAAGTCTAGCTCTAAGATAAAATTATTGTATATATAGATGTACGAACAAACAATTTTAACAATTATAAAGTTCAAACATAAATTAATTCCTTGTCAGTATGGTCAGTTTTCAGTATTTTCATAGAGCTATAGCTATGTAGAGTTTCATTTAATTATCAATATCTTGGGAAAACTTTTACTTACAGTTATATTATGATTTCTAATCTCCATCTGTGTAATTCCAGGTATTTTTCCTCGGACACACAGCTTACATTTTTATTTTATACAAGTCCAAAAGTCAGCGGACAGAAAACGTCCAATAGATAACAAACAATGAAAACCGTGGACGAGGTCGACTCGTGGTCGATATGTAAAAGCTTTCTCCAATATTTATATACAAACCTATTCGGTAATTATGAATCTATTGTATTCTCCAGAAGCCTGAAGTTCCCAAATGAACAATTTTGACACACAGATTTAGGCTTAAAGTCTGTAAAAGTTTGCAATTCATCAGGAAGCGGACAAAATTTTCGATTTTATCATGTAATTGTCTCGCTTGGTCGCCCCCGTTGTGATTGGAAATGATCTCATCATTAGTGGGTCGTAAACACTCACTTCTTAGTTTATGATGAATTAATGATATTTACACGTGTGCATAGCGTATCAATTCATAAACGATGTCTCTAATAAACAAAACTCAGGACAAACTTCTGGGCAGCTACTATATACGTGTAGAGGGAAATATTTCGTGTTCAATTTGAGACTGAACTTTGCTTTTCCGGAGCCAGAACATGCAGAATACACAAACACATTCCGAACTTAGTTTTTAAATATAGAATTAAAATTATTAATCGAGGTTTTGTTTTGTTTCCTGTATACGGAAGCGTATAAGTGCCACTTGGACACTTTATTTTTTTTTTTATTTCTACACTTTCATCTGTAAATTTTACACTTTAATCTGTAAAATTTACTCTTATGACAGATTTATAATACAAAATGTTCAGAATACAGTGTAAAATTTACAGATTTAAGTGTAAATTTTACAGAAAAATGTGTAAATTTTACAGATTAAAGTGTAAAATTTACACATTAAAGTGTAAATTTTACAGATTTAAGTGTAAAATTTACAGATTAAAATGTAAAATTTACAGATTTAAGTGTTAATTTTACAGAAAAAAGCGTAAATTTTGCAGATTAAAGTGTAAATTTTACAGATTAAAGTGCAAAATTTACAGATTAAAGTGTAGACACTCAAAAAATAAAGTGTCCAAGTGGCACTAATACACTTCCATACCTATAGGAATTATTTCCTTAAATAAGTTCAGATTCAATCATCGAAAAGGGAGGATATATGAATTTTCACTAACAGGAGGAGCACGGAGTGTGTTCTATCCCCATAAAAATGGTCGCTTTCCTTCTTGTACACAACCCTCCCTTCAATCTCAGTTTAGTTTAGTTTATTTACTAGGTATTTAATCTTCTATAGTGGTTCGACAAACTTTTTTTTTTAAAAGATTGCCTTAAAGAAAATGTTTTTATTTGACAATATTTTCTTAAAGAGTACAAACTTCCTTAGATACTGTATTTACATATCTATACATTAAGGTCTGCATATATCCTACCGCCTCAGAACAAAACTGAAGATTCCTTCATCAAAATACCATTTTCAGACATTGATCATCACAGAATACACGTGTATAGCATATTCACTCTCGGTAAGCAGGATAAAAGAACCACAAATTTAAAACGACCTGGACAACCAGGAAAACCCAGAACAAAACAAAGTCTATGGCAGACGAGACGTTTTGCCAAGTTAGTCTTCCGTCCCCTGCGTGTGACGTTTTCACGGAGACCGGAAGTCGAGCTCCTCCCGTAAGATCACCTCTCGTCTTACTGCGCCTCATCGCACGGCTGGTTTTCCTGTATTTAGAAGGTGCGTGTTTTTCCTGAACAGAGGTCGTGGGATTCCCTGGATCTGTAACTTGTTCTCCATCCATCGACGAACTCTCTATTTTACTCTTGGTACATGCTCGACACCGACATGTTAGAACTTTCACAAATTTAACAATGTATTTGTACAGTATTGGAATGTCTTCCTCATCATTGCGATGGTAGAGTCGTAACTGTAGCGTAGTACAAAATATAATAAGCGATCCAATAAAGAACTGAAAGATGACGTAAAAGAAGAGATCGGAGACATTATCGGAGTCTTCCGGAATGTTGTCGGAGACGAAGCTGATGAACACGCTATAGGACAGTAACAGGGCCACAGAGTACGATAGCTTCTCTCCGGCGTCAGCGGGAATCAGGAACACCAAGACCTCCAAAAACCCCAGCAACACCACCGGAAGTATGATGTTGATGACAAAGAACAGGGGCTTTCTCTCCATACTGACGACGCACTTTATGGCAGCCCTAGAATACAAGATCTCGTGGCGGACTTGGAGATTGGTCCATTTAGGATTCCCACTATCCTGTCCGACGCTCTGACAAGCGGAGGTGTTGGAAAACTTGAGATTTGAGGAGAGTGCTGCAATCGACAGAAGGAAAGAGAACGACTGTTTATCAAATGGAAAGTTTGTCGTATCGATGGAACAGAAGAGTGAAAGACCCAGTGAAGTATGACGATGCACGCTTCCGTCACTGCGCAGAATCATTTCCAGCTCTTTGTTGTCGCCCTCAACTATCTGGTCCATTTTGCTCCTGTCATTCTGAGGAATCTGGATCAAGGTCTGAGGTCGCCACACCCAGTCCCCCACTATCGGGAGCTGATAGAGGAACCCATACTCAAAGGGGTCCCAGTTCAGAGTTTCGTCTTTCCACTGTGTAGTGATATCCACAAGTATTTTGACCTTGTTTTCAATCTCTATGAATTCTACGTCACTTCCCGAGAGTGATAGCGAGAGACTGATTTCTAGATTTTGACTCTGGTTTAACAGTGGCACTATAAACCGGTCATATTCACTCCGATTTTTCAACATCTGATGAAGGTTCTCCGCGTCCTGTAGAGTTGCACTGTTAGCAAATGATGAAAACCACCAAATCACGGAAAGGTGAGCGAACGACATTCCCCTAGATAAAACAACAGAGTATTCAGCAATGTATGATGAAGAAAATGTTTGTCCGGAGCAGATCGTCTGCTCCTCCCATCAGGTGAACTCTGAGGCATCGGCTACCGACATCAAGTATCACCGGCTCCATTAAATCAAATATAATATCACATCTACTTAAATTATTAACATGGCCACCAAATATGCTTGAAGTATCTCATAAATAGTCCTGAAAGATGGTGCGAAATAACCATTCTGGGACTACTTAAATCAATAGATTATTCCTTCCTGGATATTTTATTTGCATATAGTGCGAATCCTGTATACATGTATATACAGATGGATTTATTGAAATGAAAATTTCAGTTGTCTGATAACTCGGCCTTTTGTGCAGTGATGTGCTTAATAATCTTTTCGCAGCAGAGTTGGGGGAGTATAATAAATCAATCCAGTGTGTCTATGTGTTTGTTATCCCCTTGCAATTGAATAAGAGGGGATAGAGTAACACAATCATGTGGAGGGGGTATAAGGGTGTATGTGGTGTTTTATTTGTGGGTGAAAAAATAAAAGAAACGTCAACAAATTTTTTACCTGTGCGAAACTTCAAGTGACATTGTAATTTTGCATCCAATCACAGTTGACAAAACTGCTTTGATTTTTAGCTCTGTACTGCATAACAGTTAGACGGCAAAATGTCTTATGCGATGTTTAATATATTTTTAAATCGACTCAGTCATTTTAAAAAGTAAACAATTTTTCAAAATGCTATTCCTCTTACAGTTTTTTAATGATTTCAATATAACTTGGCACACAAAGTATCAAATGTTTACTAAGATACATAATTCTGTGCATCGTTTTTTTTTATTTCGATGAACCTTGTTGCCGTGGTTACTAAAAATAGAAATTTCTGTGAAATGCTTTCAAAATGCTACTCCCCCTACAGTTTTGGTCTGATTTCAATATAACTTGACACACAAGTAGACTACACAAAAATACATAATTCTGTGTATTGGTTTTTGATTTCGATGAAGGTGTTGCCGTGGTTACTAAAAATAGTAATTTCTGTGAAATGCTTTCAATATATGCTACTATTACATACAGTTTATATATTTTGACTTCAATATAACTTTGCACACAAGTATCTCTACACTGATACAAAATTTTTTTTGCATTGGTTTTTGATTTCGTAAGGGTGTTGCCATGGTTACTAAAAATTTCAGAATTTTTTGTGAAATGCTTTGTCAAAATATGTTCTCCTAAACATTTTAAAACATGGATTTCAATATAATTGGCACACATTTTGATTATTTTCACTGAAGTAAATAGTGGTACATAATTCTTTATTTTTTTGATTTTGATGGACAGTGTATGCCGTGGTGAAATAAAAAAATTAATTTTATGAATATGTTGCCTGGTTTCTAAAATTGTGTGCATAATTCTGTAAAATTTTATTCAAAACTACTTGTTGACAGTTGTTGTTCTTATTGGAATATTCCAAAAAGTGACTTAAACAAAAATCATCACTCTATTTATTGCTGTATTCAAGTTTCAAAATCATAAAAGTTGTACTAGAATTTTGAAGCATTGAAGGAGGTTAAAATAAATTCCATGTAAGTTAGCACACCCATTCGACAATAGAACACTCCAAAGAAATGGCGCGATACTAGTATGCTCATTTGCGCGGAGCGATTCACCCCTTTCGTACGAATGGACTTCCAGTTTAAGAAATGCAGAAAAAAGGATACACGGACATGTTGAAACGGTCAATCACATGGAATGATCTGCTTCATGCAAAAAGAATAAAGTAAGTAAACACTGCAGTATTTTGCATCGGTAATATCATTCTTTTTTCTGAAAACTGTTTCTTTTAAAATGCAGGTAAAAAATTCCAATGTAAATCAGCTCACACAAAATTTCTCTAGGTATGATCTATTAGTTTCGGATCTTGGAAATATCAATCCTTATACAGCCTGACCTGACGTTGAATTATAAGGTATACGTTTAAAATGAAATTTTTTACTGCTGCCATTGTGTAACACATTAAAATAACAACTTTCTTTACCACAAAAAAAATACAGATTTCAAATATGAAGATTAGATGATACGGGTCAAAAATATATGTTTTTTTTTTAAAAAGTCGTGCTTTTGAATATGCTTTCAGGAAATATAAGATATTTTTATCTACCTATGTGTATAATTAATGGTAATTAATTGCAAAAACGATACACGCAACTTTTTGTTGCGAAATAAATATACAATTTTTTAAAAGCCTTACTATATTCTTGCCATATGAACTGTATAAATCCTCAAATTGGTCATTATTGATGCTAATTTTCAGATAATTGTTTTGCATGCATTGCTTTTTTTCAAAGAACTACTTTCTGCAGCTAAAATCTGAAAAAACATATGAACCATTCTTAATTTAAAAAATAAAAAAGTACATTTCCAAAACCATCTATGAATTGTGTGATTTTTCTTTGTTTTTATTTGTTTAAATCCCTTGAAAAAAATTTTCAATTAATCAAATGGAAATGCCACTACTTGCCGGTGGATAGCTGTGTGGAGGGTGCTATATTTGGCACTTACGATTTATTTGAGCAGTGAGTGGTTAATCCTTTTCGAAAGGGAAGTGCCAGCATTCTCTGCGACACGGGGTTGAATCTGTTAACACAGTCTGGTCTCATCTGCGAGGGGACTCGTCACGCTTTACGACTGTCCTATGGTTGTATATAATGTCATTCATAAGTAAGTTCAATTCGTAAGTTGCTTAAAATGCGCAGTATTACAACGCACTTGTGAAAAATTACGTTTTGAAAAAAAAATTCAAAGTGCTTTATTAATTTCATGGTCTCAATTTAACAAACTTTGAAAAAATAATTTTTTCTTTTCAAAGTTGTGCTCCCTTGCTGTAATATGTACCTTATTAACGCACTTTGAAAAAAATGTTTGGTCCAACACGCTTCATGCTTAAAATATTAGTTGAGTCAAAAGTTTTAGCAGATTTTAATTGATGATAAAAAATTAAATTCAAAAAACGAATAACTTTTTTGTGTGCGATACGTCAACTTTTCTATGGGATCTGAGATTTACATATGGCCCTTAGAGGTATAGGGAATGCAACAAAATGGAGTCCAAATTTGAATCCTGATTAAAAATAATTTTCCCACATACCATAACGATCATTTTATAGTTATTTGATAAGTTTTCCGAAGTATAATTTTTTTCTAATTCCTGTGCAAGATAATGTCTTTTCCTTCACAGTTATTTAAAGAGATTAATCATAAGTATGAAAAAAAAATATGCATCGTATATTTATATTTTTGATTTGTAAATTAGAAAATGTAATTACTTTAGAACAAAGTTTAGTCAATAATTGTTGATTTTTAGACCAGTATTTTTTGCTCTTGATCCTCTCTTCTATAAAACAGGATGCGATAGTTTTTTAAAGGAAATCTTGTTAATTCTTTTTTTCATTATTTTACGTGAACTTTATGGAGAGAATCTATTTCTCTAAAGCTACATTTTTTTTTTGTTTTATAGGAAAGAAGTCAATTTTTATAAGGATATCTTATTTGTATTAACAGTGCAAGGATTTCTAGATCAAAAAACATCTTCATTTATAAAGAATATATAAGGAAAAAATTTCTTTTCAAGCCGTTTTGATTACAAAAATCTAATTTTTTTGTCCTGGAAATCTTATTAGAAATATATTTTTTCAAAGTGCATTAAGTACCTCCATGATAAAATATGCTGATGTACACTTTTGACGCGCTTTGAAAAATTTTTGCAAAGTGCGTTAATGTTGTCCTAAAATTGACGCACTTTGAATTTTTTTTTTCAAAGTGCGTAATTTTTTCAAAGTGCTTTGCCACAGCGCAGGCAATGATTGCTGGCATCCAATTATATTGAATTTTTAATTCCTATCTAAATGTTTCACAATGCATCGTTCATTATTTCAACTACTGTATATCTTTAACCTTGTATTTAAACCTTATATATTCTTCAGGACCATTTTTAAAATTCCAATCTTATTCAAAAATTGACACAAATCTAAACAAGTAATGTTTATTGATAGAGACCGGGATACCGTATATACTTTGATTTAAATCGTCCCTTTGTTCCACGATCTGACTTCATCTAGACATAAATTGACCCCTATGACAACTGTCTATGGATGAGCACCGAACTGAACGCACCGATACAGTTACATTATAAGAAGCCCGGTTAAATGTTTCTTATATTCTATGGCTGTTATCAAACACGTTGAAAGCTGATATATAATCAATATTCGACCTGCCTGTTAAACCTACCGGTCGTTAATACACAGTAGGCGGATTAGGGGAAGCTCATTTAAAACTTTGGTCCTTTCTTAAACCCCAAATACGAACAGACCTGTTCAATCTATGTTAAGGGGACACTTAATTATGTAGTGGACAACGAAAAGCATACGTTGGAGACAAACTTTGTTTACGGAAATTTGGAGATTTATATAGGCACTTGTTAAATTCTTTCACGTATTCTAGGACAGTTGAGAATAATCTACAAAAATGTCTTCTGGGGTGGGAAGCTATATGCTGGCAACTCGAAAAAGGTGAGAGAAAAAATTATATATTGGAAAAACATTTCGAAAATGAACCTTAAAATCAAAAATGCTTTTGGGTCTATGATTTTGATTATAAATTACATTTGTTTTATAGCACAGTGCTCGTATTATAGTGGTTTTGTTTTACAATCATTTTGTTGAAAATAGTTGTACACAATCAAATCACAATCAAATCATATATAATTTGCGCTGTTTTTGTTGTTATTGGTGATGAAAAATTGGGATCGTTCTTTGTTGATGTTGTATTTTTATTGTTGTCCTATATTCCACAAACTTTTATATTTTACCTACATGTATCTATATAACTCGAGTTGAGTACAGTAAAACTCTTATCTTGACAATTCTATTTGATGTAGGGTTTATGTAAAAAATTTTAAAACTGTTCTCCGGAAACGTATATTTAATTAAATATTTTTTTTCCATTTGAGGTAGAATGTTCCATCTTTAAATAATTTGACTTTATTAAGTATATAATAATGGAAACATTGTCTAAATGAAGAGGTCCAGATTATTTAAACGATGGAAAGTAAACAGAAAAACTAGAAAGTCAATGTGTTAAATAACCCGTTTTGTCAACATGGCTTTCAATTAAGTATATTACATTCAGTGAAGGGGAAGAAGACTTAGTTTAATATC